ATTGTTGCAGAGGATTGTGAGTTAGGGCTAGATCTTTGGTTAGGGTTTGGGCTAGCCCTGTTTACATCTCGTGACATTGTCGAAATCTGCAGGTGGCCTTAATATTAAGATCTAAACTGAATATTATATGCTTTTAGGGGAGCGGCCATTTTGTCGGGCAGCTCGGTCTCATTTTCAGGAAATGTGAACTCAACCGTAATTATGGTGTAACGGTGATATATTCGAATGCCTTTTAAATCGGATAAAAATTGTAACCTCTAGAGGGACCACAAGCTAAAAACGTGATATTTCGTACAATCAGGGGCTACAATCCAGAAAGTTACAATCAAATATTCGCGAATATTGAAAGGAACCAAACATACATTTCAAGTTTCATCAAAATTGGATGAAAATTGTGACCTCTAGAGTGTCCATAAGCTAAAAATGTCATTTTTCGTACAATCAGAGGTCATAATCCATGACGTTACGGTCCAATACATGCCAATTTCGAAAGAAACCGAGATGTTTGGGATATAGACCTATATTTCAAGTCTCGTCAATTTCGGATAAAAAAAATTTGAATGTTTTTTTACAATCAAATAAAAACTGTTACTTCTACTGGGTCCACGGTTCGTAAAATCAGGGGCCATAATCCAGGAAGTGACGGTCCTATATACGCTAATATCGAAAGGAACCGAGATCTTTCGGTAATAAACGTACATTGTAAGTTTCATCGTGCATTATGCATATATTTGTCAAGTTCAGCATCACGGGATTAAACCACCATAGATTGTGTTTTTATGGTAAGGGAGTTAAAAATGAAATAAAATTTCACTTCATTGCTGAATAATTTTATTAGCCAGATATCGCTTAGAAAGCGTCTCCGACGAACTAGATTCCCAAGAGCTTCCGGGGCTTAGGCGGCCCCTGGACCCTCGCCTAAGGACCTAGGATGGTACCCCCCCTCCCCCAATCAAGAATTGCTTCCGCCGGCCCTGTGGTTTGATTATAAAAGCACGACGTTTCGATAAGTATCCTCTTATCGTTATCAAGCACAATGGTAAGAGGATACTTGTCGAAACTTCGTGTCCCATAGAAATTGTGTTCTGTTTCCCAATCGCTAAATGCCACTTAAAGATTATGTAATATCAAGGTTGTGGACCTTCTAAAGGTCACAATTTTGATCCGATTTTGATGAAACTTAAAAGATGTTTACATCACAAAAATATCTCGGTTAAATTGTACGAAAAAATCGCGATTTTAGCTTGTGGGGCCTCTAGAGGTCATATCTTTTTTTACCCAATTTTAAAAATCGTTTAAATATATCATACATCGCGGTTTTAACTTGTGGCCCCTCTAGAGTTTAAAAACCGTTTAAATAATCATTGTTACACCCTGGTGATGGTTGAGTTCGAATTTCGTAAAAATCGCACCGAACCTGCCCCACAAAATGGCCGCTCCTTGTACGCAAATAGTGTAAAAGTATGTAATACCAAGGTTGTGGACCATCTGGAGGTCACAATTTTTATATAATTTCGACGAAACTTAAAATATCAGACCATAACTTCTTGGATTATGGCCCCAGGTTGTACGAAAAATCACATTTTTAGCTTATGAACCCTCTAAAGTCATAATTTTTATCCGATTTTAAAAACCATGTAAATATATCACCGTTACACCATAATGAAGGTTGAGTTCGAATTTCGGGAAAATCGAAACGAAACTGCCCGACAAGATGGCCGCTCCCTGTACAAAAATGGTGTAAATTTGACACCTTTATGTCATGATGGCGGGGCTAATATTTATGACGTGTGCAGCAGCCAATTAAAGTACTACTAACCTGAAGGGGGTTGCGCGTGACTAATGCACTGTAATGTCCGTATCTCATCGCGACCCGGTAAACCATCCACATTCCGATAAAGAGTGGAAATCTATTAAAACTAGTTTCACTTTCCAGATCAAAATGTTGCAATGAGAGACTGGGGAAATAAATCATGGGCGTCAGAGTATCTACCATACTAACATACAAATTGGAATTGTAAGAGTGCGACGATCGATGATTTTATAGACATCTCAATGGCGCATCTTTCGTTACTTTACAACGTCAAGAGAGCAAATCTAACACTCACTAATTTCTGAACAGCTCAATAATATGATTTAAAACATGCAGACAGGGTAACACTTCTTCAAATTTATCAACATTATTTGCAAGGTATGTTTCTCGGTCAATCAGGAGCCAGGTTTGCCCAGTGAGTCAGCCGTTGGCTCACCAACCTCCTGCGTTTCCGGTGTGATTCCGCGTTGCTCATTGTCGGTAGTGCAACACTGCTTATAGTCGAGAAAAAATGCTTTCCCGATTTCACCTTGGCAGTTGGAATTCGATATAAGAGTAGGACGTAAAGCCGCTGTCAGTGTGAAATTTCCCTCATAGCACACTGTATGGCATATGGCCGTATTCATTATCCCAGTCGGAGCAGAACAATAGGACGTCAAATTCCATTTCATTTCAATTCTCGTCAATCAACACTGTATAATAATAACTTTATGCTTCAGGACCAAAATAGGACTGAGCGTCTGTTGTAGTTAGGTGCCCGTTCGGCTCATTTAAAGACGGAGAGAAATGTCCTTAATTGAATGCGCCAGAGTGACCCCCGGGACAAACGAGGTAATAGTTACTTAATTGGTCATTTTGGATTTAAAAGTTAAGTCTCATTAGCTACTGTGGTACTGTTGAGATGCCGACATAAAAACAAGAGCAACGCTTCCACTATTCCACATTCCTGCTTTGATTGATATGGTATTTTTTAACTGGAATATGACAAGCGACAATGAACGCTAGGTGTTGAGTTTGTTATGTCAAAATTTGCAGAATAATTGTTAACAAAAAAGTGTGTGTGACACCGCCCCAGGGGTTCGGGGCCTGCACCAAAATAAATAGTTGCTGTCCTTACGGTATAAGGGATAGATAGGCCAAGTTCCAAGATGATCCATTCAGAATTGCAGTCTGTAGTAGATAAACACAAAAATTGTGGCTCTGCCTCTGGGTGTTGGAGATGGAACAATATAAATAGGTACAACCCGGTTATTGAAATGCTGAATTTGAACAAAATCTGCAACCTGTTGAGTATTTACAGAGTCGGGCATGCACCAAGAATAAATGAGGTCATATCTAGTGTATAAGGAATAAGTTTGAAAAGTTTTCAAAATGATCGATTTAGGCGACACACAGACACAAACAAAGAAAATATGCGTATCTCTGCCCTTGGGGGTCGGGACATGCACCAAAATCAATAGTTGACGTCCTTGGTCTATAAGGAATACATATGCCAAGTTCCAAGGCGATCAATTAAGAATTGTGGCCTGTAGGCAGCACACCGACACACAAAGAAAATATGGGTACGGCTCTGCCCCTGTGGGTCGGGAATTCACCAAAATAAATAGGGATCATCCTTAGGGTATAAGTATGCAAAGTTTCAAAAGGTTCTGTTAATAGAATTGCCGCCTGTAGGCGACGCGCACACACAAAAATTGGCATGGCTCTGTCCCAGGGGGTCGGGCATGCACCAAAAATAATAGAGGTCATCCTTAGGTATGACGAATAAGTATGAAAAGTTTTCATGTCGATCAATTAAGAACTTAGGCCTGTATGAGACGCACACGCAAAAAGAAAATGGTTGTGGCTCTGCCCCTGGGAGTTGGGCATGCACCAAAACAATAAGGAATAGGTATGCAAGTGGATCCATTAAGAAATGCGGACTGTAGACGACAAAGAAATAAAAAGAATGGGCGTGGCTTCGCCCCTGGGGTCGGGCAAGCACCAAAAATAATAGGGACCATCCTCAGGGTATAAGGAATAAGTATGTAAAGTTTCAAGACGATCAGTTAAAGATACATTGTCCCGAAAGTATTTATCGGGTAGTCATTTCCAATAAATGTATGGCAAATTTAGTATATTATGGAAATTATAGACACCCAGTCTTACTAGAAAAATACTGGATCAACCGAAAAACTCCCATGGGGCAAGCACTGGGCAAAAATGTTTGGGTATCACTAACTGGCAACCCAATTGTTGTCTGCCAGCTTATTGTGTGCTAGCTTGACCGAGGGAGCGGTTGTTATTTTTTGATCAAATGGTTAGGGGGTTTGGAGAACAATGAGGGGTGTCAACGTACAGAAGATCCTGCAATTACACGTCAGAAAAAGTAGTGGACAGAAAATAATTACAAATTTACTTAGGCCTCAATATGTATGATAAATGGACAATAAGTAATGAAAAATACATTCTGAAAAATGGACCCTCCCTCAACGAATTGAGCTGACAGACATGGCGTATAACAAGTTTATTTATAGCGTTAGGTATATCCCCGCGAAAACAAAGTTTTGAGAGGGGTTTGAAGCAAATTTTTGATAGGTTGATTACATGTAGTTTGAAGTCAGACAGGTTGTATGCGGGAAACTTTCCCGCGGAAAGTATCTTTAAGAATTGCGGCCTGTAGGCGACAAACATACACACAGACAGGGACAACGGCATTATACGTCTACATTATGAATATGGACGTATACAAGTCACTATTTTTATGTCATACTATGAAAACATTAGCGCGAAAACAAAACGTTATTTTCCAATCGCAAATAGACTGTTTGTCATCTTACATGTTTTATGTATATATCCGAGGAGTTTTTAGGGTCACGTGACAAACAGTGTTTGAACATGCCGGAGAAGCTGTGGAACAAGGGCATGAATGCCAAGGTCAGTTATTTTGAAAAATAAGTGTATAACGATTTCCATCGCATATTGATTAGGGGGCTGGAAAGGTTTGGGAATCGCCTCGTATGTATACCCCAGTATGTTTCCAAATTTACCCAACACATTTATAATGGTTCTTTTCAGGAATAAACTGTGTTTTGTGCACAGATAGTTCACATAATTGTTTTGGTTACACCCACACCACTCAAATAGTCAACAGTAATAAATATTATATTTATACACAGTAAACTGAAAAAACACCAGTAACTCACAATTTATTTCATAGGTGATTTTATTCATAAAAATACAAGCTGATGATTACGTAGACAATAAGGAAAGATTATTTTAACAACAAAACTCTTCTATTTTCTTTGCACATATATTAACATATTGAAATACATTTATAAAGTTATCATAGGATAGCAAGATAAATCAATATATCCCCAAAGGCCACAGCGTTCTAAAAGACAAAAAAAACTATCACAAATTAAATTTGATAATCATTATAAAGATACCAAAATAAATATAAACTGTTTATTAAAATTATTATTTAACTTACATGTACACCAATATTTTAAAACGTAATATGAATCCCTAAATGGTGTAAATATCACAAATCTAGATATATTGAGAAAATTGGCTTGAACTCACTATGGGGAAATTTTGTCGAGATAACATTTCTCACCATTCTCAGTATCAGTTTAATTTTTTGTTTTTTGTCAATGCAAATTTTATTAATAAAATCCCGACTAACATCTTTATTAAATGAATTTACTATTTGAATAATCTTATGTTATGTTTTGTGAATATCTCAATTGTAATTTTTTCTGGCTATTACAACACCGAACCAAATTTTAAATAACCAGGGATTATTCGCAGTTCTTTCTGGCTGTTACAAAACTTAACATAAATTTAAATAACTTTTATCAGAGTTTTTTTTACCCCAATATTCAGAGATTATTGTTTACTAATTTTATTCCAAATAAACTGTTCTAATTGTCTACGCATCAGCTGACTTAAAATAGTTTATCAATTGTTTATTTACAAAAACATGAATAATATACATTATACCAACAATAATGTTCAGACCTGGTAATAAGAGTATGTCAAATCTTAAATACCCCCCTTTGATTCATGGTAGACTGTTCCTCATTCAATACTGAAATCATAAACTGCTTTGGGTCAATCCATTTTTTCAAAGGGGTGTAAAAATAAATGACTAGCATTCGTTCTCAAGTCTGGTAATGTTTAAATGTAATAACAAATGTATGAGTGATAAGGAAGAAAATGGGGAAGGGGGGAAGGGATGAGGGGTAGCATCTGCATCAACTTTACTCTCCAATAAACTTACTGACAACCACTACAGCAAAACATTCAGGACATTATTTTCTGTTTTTATTTTTTAAATTTGTGTATTACTGAAGACACAAATACAGGGATGCAGATACATGTAACAGTATTTTTAGAACACTTTATGAATCAATCAACGTATTGTCCCGTCCATTGGGTAAGATTCGCTGGTACCTTATAATATGATCAGTAAATTTAGACATTTCGCCATCTACATCCCTATGGAAAGTTCCTAACAATACATTTAAATCCCTTTTGTCTTTGTTGTCCATGAAAAATAATGATGTAGATTTAATAACAAATGAACATGTTAAAATCGTCTGCGTATTCATGACTAAAAATGTTCAGTTGATAATGATTATAAGAGCATGTATTGCTTCAGAAATTTGGCATTTTAAAAATATTTGGACAATATTTGAAACTTGAAGGTTAAAAAGATGTAGAAATCCAAAAACTGGCTGAATAAATAATCTAATGAAATTTTGTTTGTAAGTAAGACGAAACCAGTCGTCAAGTCATACAGTTCTCTGCTATTTTATAAAATATTCAATAGCTTAAATAATATCAATATTTTATATTTGATCACAAGTATACTTATAAAAAGTTTCATTTGAGATATAAATCAGAGATGAGCCCATAAGGGTTTTATCATTAAAACCAACATCAGATAACACAATTAAAGGCTGATAGTGATGTTTTAACTGATAACTGCCTCATTTCTAATATAAATGATGACAGTTTTAATTCACCAATTTGCTAGAACACTTAATAGAATTTATGGCTCCAAGTAAATAAAACAGTCAGTCTGTTGCCGAGTTTCACACAAAATATTCCAAATGATCAATTGAAAGTTTATTTATTGTTTTAAAATATGGATGAAAACATCAATAGAATGGTCGTTGATGTAGAAAATATGAATGATTTAAGACTAGTTCTAAGGTCCTTTTTTTCTCTAAAATTTGACTTGGAATCAAAAATATTTCATAAAATCAATTGTCTTCTATTCCAAGAAAAAGTTTGGTCTTCTTTCTTTTTTTTTTTTGATTATTCATTCACTCTCACAAACCCTCCCAAATGATAAAAAATGATATCTATCTATACTGATATTGAAATGCTTACAGGGTCAACAAATGACCTTGACTTGCTCTTCAAACGTGATGCTGCTGCCTGATATAAAGGTATAGCTACTTTTATCCAATTTTATCCAAGATAGCACCAACACTGCTATAACAATTACCAAAAAAAACTCAATAATCAAGTCTTCATGGCACATTAAACCACAGTTTATCGCCGACAAAAGTCCAGATCACAAAGTCTTTTACATACAATACACATCATGATTCAGTCACAAAATCAAGGGGAAATAACTCATAAACAAAACAAATTAGTCTTTAACAAAGAGTAGATAATCCATGTTCTCTCTCAATAAAATATATTCGGAACACAATTGTTGTCATAGATCAAGGGAGATAACACTGCTGCTAAGAAAATGCCGCCTGATGGCCCGCGTTTAACAACTCACTAAACGAACTCTCAAAACACCGCTTGATTTCAGCATAACTGACAACAATAACACTCTGTTCATCTCGGGACATCAAACATATCTTCTCTGGTACACCAGCATCCACCTGGCAAAACAAATAAATAAAAAATTCAATGACATCAGGTCTGTCGACAACTAGTATCGCAGTGTAATTTGCGATACATATTTCGTCTGTTGTATCCCCCTCATATTGTAAATAAAATATAAAAAAATAAATACATGTAACCATATTGTAAAATGAGAAATCAAAGTAAGAATTCCTGTAAAATATTATTGTTTATATCGTGTGTCTAGTTAATCGAGTTTATTCATTAATTTCCATGTGTTTCTGATTGAACAAAAATAGTAACACGATAAAAAGCAGACAATATTATTTTCTAATGAAGATCTCTAATCAACTATGAAAAATTACCGACAACCCTGAATGACATGTTAATTGTTAGAAGAGGTATGATAAATTAAGACTAGACGAGAACAAAGAAATGAAATGAAATGGGGTTTAATGTCCTACTTTTCTGCACCAACTGGGCTAACGACGACAGAAAGAATAAAGGAAAAACTTAAATTGTTTCAAAGGTACTTAGTAATGAAAATTGAGATACACAGGACACAATTCTATGGAATACAATTACAGTTATTACTGAGCGACGTTTCCACTTTGATTTTCTAGCCTTTATCAAATACACAGTTAACAATTCTATGGAATACAATTCTGAGCGACAATTGGACTGGCTTCTCTACTCTTATCAAGCAATAGTACATAATGATTAGAGAATCCTAGTCGATGAATTCAAGCTGAGAGATTATGTACTGTTGAATTTTTTTCATGGATTAATTAAATGTTAAATAACAGATTGGAATTACAGTTTAGCATGGATGTGGCTGTGAATAATTAAACACTTTGGAAAAATGCAAATGTACTCCGACCTACTTTTATTTCAAATAGCAACTGTCAAGAGTTCTTTTACATGCGTACATGTGAACACTGTTTATTTGTCTCCGACCCAATAACTAGACACTGTACCCTGCCAGAGTCACAGTAGCTACCTATTTCTCATCCAAACGACTAGACACTGTTCTTTGTCAGGCCCCAATCTTGCACCACTGACAAGGGGAACTTTCTCGCCCTTCACTAGGAGTGAACCCGAGACCTCCTGGTTAGTGAGCCAGTGTATTACCTTGTTTAAACACTGTACAATATGAGCCATATCAATCCACGGAGTTCCATTTTCATCTACTTGATGGAAGAGATAATCACGGAACAACTTCAAGATGTAACGATCTCCAGTTTCAGACCAAGCCTGATCCAAACTAAACCTGAAAGTAAAATATCATTATCATTTTCTAAAATTTTATGCATTTTCAGGAGTAATTTAGGGTCATTCCATGTCAAGTTGACCGAAGTCTACTAAAAGTATTATGACTTATGTAAAACTGCAAAGTTATGCGACTCTAGATATTGACTGAGCTATGGCCTTTTGAATCAGGGTTAGTTACCATTCACATGTTTCAAAACAAATAGGCTATGATTCGATATTGGTTTTCTGATATTATTTTGACTCTCTATGAATTCATGAAGTGTCAAAAATCTTTACTTGAGAGAAAATAAATCGATATTTCGAAAAAAATGTAGTAATTTTACTGCAGTATATTAGAGGCTGTACGGAAAATTGATGTGAACCCTACTTACTCTTGTCTCTCGTTAATCGTACCAAACTTGCACAACAAACGGAATAAACGACCATTTTCAACTTCCTGAAAACATAAACAAATGTGAAAACATTGGGTTACAACAAACAGAATTTGGTCAGATTACTTTTACTACTTAACCCTTTGGCACTTGAACCGCCCCAAACCCCCTTAACTAGGGTTCCTTAGACCATCCTGTCATGTGTACGCTAAATGGTCGGTCCTACAATCTGGACAGCTATTCACATCTCTGGCGGTTTAAGACGGTCTAATTTTCTTCAAGGAACTGGGATAGTCAAGTACTAAAGGGTTAACACCCCCACCCCTTTTTAGTAATATTGCTGTTTGTAAATGTATCGATGACTGCTAATACTACAACCCAACATTGAACAAGTGAAGAAAAGATGCTTAAAAACCAAGGTCCTGTGTATACATTGGCACGCACGATAAAGAACCATTGACAACAGCTGACCATAACACCACAAAATTTCCCTTATAGCACACTGTATGGCATGTGCCAGTCTCCATTAGCTCAAACAGTGCAAAACAGTAGTATTTTTAACCCCAATTCATTTCATTTCAATTTTACCATGTTTAGTTTAGTTTCTCATTACCTTGGCAAGCTCGTTGTAAACAACGTCCCCCCGCAGCTGTGCAGCATCCAGTTGGGTAAAAAACCTTGCTCCTATCATAGGCATGACATCATTGATACTTCTAGGGCGATTCTGATTGGTCAGTAAATATCTATACAATATACAAATATACAATAATTTAACAAACAGAATAACATCAAGGTCAGAATGGATGGTGGAAGACCGAGAAACACACATTGTTACTGTTTGCTTGCCAGCAGGGTTTTCATTTCAATGACTGGCAGAGAAAGTGTGATAACTTTACCTATTGATCAATTTACATGTCAAGAAATTACAACTTAAAAGAAATTTAGTTTCTATGTGTAAAAACACTTAAAACAACATTTAAAAACTGAGGCTAAAAATTATCCTTTTCTTTGGAACGAATATCTTGATAATCCAAGAAAGTATGTCAAAGCTTGACCCACTACCATTAGGGGATTTTTTTTTTAGGCATAAAAATTAGAAAATATAATTTTAGACTGAACACAATTTCAAGAGGAAAGAAATATAAGACAAACAGGATTAGGTTCTTTAAATCTGGAGAATAGTTCCTGGAAACCAGATCCAACGCATTCTGGAGATTTTCTCTTTGCAGCGACATCACAGAATTACAGGCTAATGCTAACACTATGTTCCCCAGGGCGTACAGATCCTTTTGCTGAAAAAAAGAGAAGAGTTTGTTTCATAACACTATAATACACAGAATTATGAACTTTTGACAAGATTCAAACAGAACCCTAAAAAAACTCAGAAAATAATTTGCATTACCTGATAGTGCTGCATGACAGCCATTGGGTTGCCCTGGTTACTATCAAAGTTCAAGACATCTGCTATTCCCAAACAGTTTATTCGCAACCTGTAGGGAAATTTCAAACAAAAAAATATTTAAATATTTAATTCAATTCGAAGGAATGTTTTAGCATTTGGTAGTTATTTCCAAACCATTAAATTTGATCATTCTTTTTGTATCTTATGAAATATTTAATGATATTAATTCATTGAAATAAAGTAATGTTCAAATGTTATTATCAAAATCAACTTCAGTCATAGTAAACATTACAGGAATTTACAGTCTTCTATTTAGCGTTGTCCAGGCAAAATTTCCCTCATAGTATAGTGTATGGCTTATGCCCGACTTCATTAGCCCAGTCGTAGCAGAACACTAGCACACTAAACCCCATTTCATTTAACATTCTACCCATCAACATGAAGTGTAGCTGAATTCCAGGCACACTATCAAATGGATTATTAAATTATTATGATTTAGTTTAAAAGACCAAAGAAATTTCACCTTGATTTAAAGGAATTAAATTATAATCATTACTGTAAATGAATTGATAAAGAAAGTTTACCTCGATTTTCCGTAGATGAGAATCTTGGTTGGATCCAATGATCGACATGCCAGTCCTGTAGCATGTATAGCACGTAAAGCTGAACTCAGTTGAACTACGTATGTCCAAATCAATGATTCTGGTAATAACCCACTTCCTGATGATGGACCTGGATGAGATGCACCACCATTCATAGACACTGAAAATAACAGAGACAGGGTTTAACTTCCACTCAACACAAAGTGGGTCATTTTGGGACTAACATGGTTCCATTTTATTTCAATAATTCACTTGCGCTAAATGGTCTTTTTGCAGTGAGAGGATACCAGAGAACCTGGAGATACTCTTTGTCATGTACAAGCGGGGAAATGTAACCACTCCACTTGAATGAATAACAGGCCTTATGATCCATCACGTACACGTGGGGAATCAAAAGCTCAATTAGATGGTCATATAAAAAAATATTTATTACCATTAGTAGCACTATAGGGTCTGGCTGTGGAGGTATCCCCGTTAAATGGGCTACTATAACCATTGACAGGGGCAGGCATATTGCTGAAATGTCTGGACATCAGAGTCTCACTAGCCGGGAAGTAGTCAAACACAAATACAATGGCTGAAATAAAATAGATTAAAATTAATTTAATAATTTGTGATAAAATAAAGAAACATGGCTTGCCAGGAAATGAAACACACACAACAGCTAAGTTGGCCGAGCTGTAAATAATGGCTGTCACATTTCTATTAAACTGATTAAAGGCAACAACTCATGAAATATTATCAGAAATAATAACAATTTTGATGAAACTCATATTTCTTCCAAAATTTAATCCAAACCATGCTGTACTTGGAAATTGTCTCATGAACATAATCACTGTGTATAAATTTCAAATCAATCAGATGATATTTTTTGTAAGCAATACAGCGTTCACAAGAAATGAAATGAGGTTTAACGGCCTACTGTTCTGATCTGACTGGGATAATGAAGAAGGGCATATGTCATGCAGTGTGCTATAAGGGGATTTTTTTGTCTTGACAGTGCCGCTACGGCCTACTCGTATTTCGAACTTCAACTGTCAAGGGATCTTTTACGTGCACGCCAATGTGTACACAAGACATAGGTTTTTCATACCATCTGAATGACTATATGTTGTTGAGGGAAAACACGCTGGCATATACTTGGAAACTTTCTCGGCCCACATCGGCATTGACCATAGGACCTCCAGGTTAGAGAGTCAAAGTCTTACTCACAAGAAAATTTGTGATTGTATTTGTCAAGAACATGAACATTGTTGTATGGACAGACAGGCCGATAATATATGAATTGTGTTCATATGTAATTATTGTTCAAACTTACAATTATCACTGAAAACTTTGGTAGTAAAAACTTCTCGTAATTGGACAATATTAGGATGGTACATTTTCTTCCACATGTCAATCAGTGGCATACATTTAGTATTAACCAATCGGAATCCTGTAAAACAGAAAAATTTCCCATGAATTTACGTAGACAATAAGTCAATACTTACCATGAAGACAATAAGTCAAAACTTACCATGTACTCAACATAGACAATAAGTCAAAACTTATCATGAAGTCAATCAGTCAAAAACTTAAAATGAACTTGACGTGGACAATAAGTCAAAACTTACCATGAACTCGACGTAGACAGTAAGTCAATCCATCTTTCGTATTTACAGCTTTAAAACAGGATGTGGGATAACTAAAGATGTTTGATTTTTGAAGAGGATTAGCAGGTGGTGGTTCCAGTGGAAACATGTTATGATAATTATCAACTTCAGATGGGATCTCTGAAAAACAAACAAACCCAAACATCAAAGTTCTTGCCAGTATTTTTGTGAACATTGGCTCAATATTTATTAAACTATGTCAATGCACCTCATTATTGTCATTTGTTTCAATCAAGTTATAACTGAGAGCTAAACTCTTGAGTCTTATATATATATGTTTTGTCAATCGGTATGACCATAATTTTTGAGAAGTTTTGCCACTATAGAATAGGATATTTATTATTAGTATTACCGTATGCCGATTTTTAAAGATAAAAGTAAAAAAGAATAATGAGTAAAATGAAATGAAATGGGGTTTAACGTCCTACTGTTCTGCTCCTATGCTGGGCGAATGAAGACGGGCATACGCCATACAGTGTGCTATGAGGGAAATTTTGTCCGGGCATCGGCACTATCGCCTACTCTTATATCAAATTCCAACTGCCAAGGGATCTTTTACGTGCATTCCAATGTATACACGGGACTTTGGTTTTTCGTCTCATCTGAAGGACTAGACAGCTGTCCTTGTCAGGCCCTCCGTCCTGCATCACTGACAAGGGGGAACCACGCTGGAAAATCTGGATGAAATTTCTCGGCCAATGCAGGGATCCAACACCCGACCTCCAGGCTAGCTAGCCAGCGTCTTACCCACTTAGCCACGTGATACAGCCTCTGAAGAAATATTACAAAGACCTCTGTAGGATATGGAACTCTCCTAGAACATCTAATACCAGTTCATACACAAATGATAATTGAAGTTTGACCTCCTAATTTTCTGCACCAACTATGCAATGTGCTGTGAGGGAAATTTGCCCAGACAGCAGCACTAAGGACTACTCATTTTTCGAATTCCAGATGTCAAGGGTTTTTGTACAGGTCGCCCATGCCAACGTGTACCATCCATACGATTAGACGTTGCTCCTAGCCAGACTCTCTGTCTGCACTATTGACAAGGGGAAACCACCCCGGAAAATTCTAAGGCCCTCTCTCTCGTCCAGTCACTTGATACAGAGAAATGAGTAAAGATATATATAGATATAATAGAAGATTACCTGGATTATGTGACTGATCAATCTGGGCCATTGTTAAAGCATGCTCATTCAATATTTGCTGTAAATATAATATACATCTAAAGACAATGAAAAAATGAAATGAAATGGGGTTTATTGTCCAACTGTTCTGCTCCGACTGGGCTAATGAAGACGGGCATACCCCATATTGTGTACAATGTGGGAAATTTTTCCCCAGTCAGCGACGCTATGGTCCACTCTTATATCAAATTCAACTGCCAAAGGACCTTTTATGTGCATGGAAATGTGTATGTGGTACCTCGTTTTCTGTTCCATACGAATGACTAGACAGCTGACCTTGTCAGGCCTCCAGTCCTGCAATACTGACAACAAAGTGCTGAAATGGCATGATCTGTCCCTTGTTTAGCAGTGCTGATGGGGTTTAACTAACGTCCATTCAACACAAAGTAGGTAATTATGAGACTGACATATGGGACCATTTTTTTTTTTATCACCTTGTACATAAATTCAGGTAGAAGACAAAGACTTACCAGTTTCAGTTCATCTGGCATAAAGAATTGAGGCATGTTAGTTTTTAACTTCATGTGGGCTATGTGGGGTGGTATGCTGGGATACATGGTAAAATTTGGTAGAACCTGCAAAAGTAAATCACAACATTAATTTCAAGGGTTGAAATAGAAAAGGAGAGAGGGAGAGAGAGAGAGAGAGAAATGGGTTTAGCATCCACCAGACATAATTTAAGCTGTTGGAAAAAATAAGCTGAAAAAAAAATTGTGTGTATCTAAGATACCGTTAATGTTTACATCGCCAACAACCGGTTTGCAGATTTTAAATTTCTGGATAGCTATTTTGGGCTGCACAAGTTACAAATTAGTCAGAAAATAATAAATGATTTTTGATGATATTAGCATGCGCTTTTCATTACGCTTTTGGAAGAAGTAGCTTAAATTAAAGCGGAACAATATCGTAAATACAAAAACAACCATAATAATTAAGAGCGGGATGGGACGAACAGTGGAATTCTGCTTTAAGGCAGGAAAAAATCAGGTCTCATCCACAAACTAGGTCATTTCAGGACTAAAATATGGTTCATGCATGTAGGGGTTTTTAGCAGGAGGAGAAAACCAGAGGACCCAAAGACAACGCACGAGATTTGACAAATGAACCAACTCCAATACTAAACTTACGCTGTCTGTCTACAATTTGCTTTGCTTAAAAACAGACACTAAGCTAGTAGACATACATCTTAAGTCCTCAATCGACAATCTTAGTCGAAAACACTAAGTATATTTCGAGAATTTTGAGAAGCACATATTTTGCTTTCATTTAATAAAATTGAAATGGTTTAATTAGTCTTTTAGTGTAGAACAGGGGTGAACCAGAATAGGACCGCATTACAAAACTGTATACTAATTATTGGATATGGCTGCCTATTATTGACAGATCTTATGATCTAAAGTGCATGTGTTAACCCATTCATCCACTTACCTCTCTGGAGGTGAAAGGAGAATTAAATGGTAATTACTGATTATGCAATTAACACAACCATCGTGAAATAATAAATCTCGTTACAACTCACCACTCCTTGATGTTGAGGAGAGAAATCCTCTGGAGAATAAAAATACGTTGTACCACCAACATTTTCCTGGAAAATATTATTTAACAGCAATAAATATGTTGCTCCGATTCTTTCTTCTTCTTTTTCTATGAGCATTTAACATCTGCTTCCAGAGGATATCGCAGACAATTTGTCTTTTCTGCAGGACGAAACCGGAGTATCCGGAGTAAACCCACAAGGTTGAGAAGTCTCCTCTATCTCCAAGCCAAATACATGTACGCTAACATCAAGGATCGAAACCGTGACCTTTTATATGATAGAGACTCACTTTATAGATGAAATGGAGTCTGACATCCTACTTTTCTGCACTATCCGGGTTAATGGAGACGGGCATATGCCATCAAGTGTGCTATTAGGAATGATAATATCAATAAAACAATCAGAAAAAGACACAAAAAAATACCAGGCAGAACGACAGATGCCAGAGAAATTGTGCTTGACAATGTCTGTGACAGGTTTCTTATTTTCAATCTAGGCATGCTCATACGGAAATGAAATAGAATTTAACATGCTACTGTTCTGCTCCGACTTGGCTAATGAAGACAGGCATACGCTATTACAGTGTTCTGTGAGGGAAATGTTGCCCGGACAGTGGCGCTATAACCTAATTTTATACTGAATTCCAACTGTCTAGTGTTCTTTTATGTGCAAGCCAATGTGTACATGGGACCTCAGATTTCCGCACCATCCGAATGACTAGGCAGCTGTCCTAGTCAGGTCCTCTTGTCCCGCACCATTGACTAGGGGGAACCAAGCCGGAAAATCCTGATGAACTTTCTCTGTCAACACAGGGATCGAACACAGGTCCTCCAGGTTAGCGAGACACTGCCGCTCCTTAAAAGTGAAGGCTGACCTTTAAAATTTACATAGGATCTCCTCAGGTCATAAGAACCAACAAACCTGAACAGTGTTAGCAGACGTGCACGCTGACCTGTACACAGACAGACCATAGTTTTCCGTGATTTCAGTCCTGAAAGCGCCAGCCCTGTTAAGTGAAGGCTAGGCTTATCATGAGTTACAACATACCTGAATAGTGTTAGCTGATGATGATTTTTGTGGGATTGTCGTCTGTCTAAGTGGAGTGACTGGTGAAGCTGTACGACGTAACATGAGTGGCGAGTTGGTTGGTGATATTCCTGGACTTGGACTCGGGCTCACATTGGATGAGTAGATCAGACCTGAAAAGTTGGCAGTTGGAGAAAAACATTATCGTAAACACAGAGATAGAATCACGCTTTTACGTCCTCACAACAGCACCTTAGAAACTGTTTTTAATCATTAACACACGTTATAAATGACGATATTATTACAACACAAACTAGAAATCATTTCAATAATTCATTTCTATGAAATAGGGTTTAACGTCCACTTGACACAAAGACATTTCAATAATTCAAATGTACACAAATTACTATTACAGTATTACAAGGGGTTTTTACACATTTTTTTACAACCCAGGACATACATGTAAGTGCTGCTCAGGTCCCAAAGCATTAACAGGGGTTAAAACGAGCCATTAGGCCATAAATTCAGCTTTCTAGCACTACATGTATTTGTCTGCCTTTCATGACTGGAATCAATGGTCCATGACTGCAACTGTAGGAGGTTTGTGTTCCATAACTTCTAGAGATGTTCAGTAAAGACATTAATGTCAAGGGTTCAGTGACTCTCTGTTCAACTAGCCCAGCCCCCTTATTGGATAAAAGAGTGCAATGGCTTTCAACGTGCACTTGGTGTGTAAGTGTCTTTAGCAGTGTGGGGGAGGGAGGGGCGAAGGACCTGGAGAAATCTCATGAGGCTGGAGAGGCGACACTAGTCCTTATCCCATGCAAGCGGTGAATCTAAACCATGCCACTTGATGACAGACCTTATGATCTAGTGCACTTGTATTAAACCATTTGGTCGCCCAACCTCCCCTATTGGGTAATAGCTACTTACCAAGCCTCTAGAGAAGGAACCAGTCGCAGACTTTGTCAGACATAAATTATCACAGATAATACATGTATATGCATTGTGGGATACTTTATGTCTGACAAAGTCTGTGACAGGAGTTAGGTACATGTAAGTAGCTATGATTAATATGATTGTAGGGATAGTACTGACGACACAGGGATTGTGATTGGATAAGTAATACTTACTATGATTAATATCATTGGTGGAGTAATAGCACTGACAAACAAGATACATGGATTATGATTGGATAAGAAATACTTACTATGATTAATATGGTTGGTGGGAGTGATAGTACTGGCAGTTGACATCATGGAATATGAAGAGAACGATGGTGTACTGGCACTATGGGATAAAGTACCAGATTTAGGCGAGAAATCATTTGGAACCTAAAATAAACAATGTCAACAAGCTGAACTAAGATAATAAATGTTCCTTGTTCTCAGAAATGATTGGTTAATTATCACCCCCTGTATTTTGAAAGACCAACAGGGTGTTAAACGAAAACAGAAATCAGATGATCAAAATTACGATAACCTACATGTATTTGATGATTTCAAAACATATAATTTACAAAATATGGAGTTACAAATTTTGTCAAAATAGATTCATGATAGCGTTTTTATTTGATCTTAAAATGGCAGTTATGTACAATAATTTTCTTGTTACAGAAAAGAAAAATGGTGAATCCATTTGAATTCATAGCAATACATGTATATAGTGATGGTAATATTATTCACCTTATTTGGAAGTGATGCTGCTTGGGCCAAATTTAAAGCAGCAAAATCATTGGCTAAACCTTGCTGATCCATGGGGCCTCCAGTTGTTGGCACAAAGGGCTTAGCATTCTGGGAGAGAGACCCTAGCATACTGTTACGAGATCTTGGTCTAGGACGCTGTGAACGGAAAACAAAACTGTTAGTCAGACGAACTTTCAAAACTATGCCGTAAACTTCTTAATATTTTAGGAATATTGTGTTTTCATTGGTTACGCTTTTAACTCTCATTCAACGAAAGGGCAACAAACATAAAATTCATATTAGTGACAGCTGCAAAATTTCAACTTACGTCCAAACAAATAACCAACTGCCAATCTGCGCCAACAAGAGTAAGAAAATGATGACTTACAATCTATCTTTCTCTGTCTGCGGAGTTGTACATATATCTTCCCACCTACCCAGATCCGTCGTTGATTCATTTGGAGGCAAGTATTGAAATTTTGCAAAGTTCATTTAGTTTCATGTTTATTCAAGAAATCGACCCTTGAATGCCTCAATCCATTTAAATCTGTTGTGTGTACAAAACCCATGAACAGGTAGAAAAATAGCATATATTAGGCTTATAATTTGAAAAACTTTTAGCCTGTGTTCCTTGGCGGATAATTTATAGAGTTTAGGTCAAACTGGCCAAACCAACATAATTTTTAAGTTTTTTTAGGGTCCTGATACATAATAGCCTTACAACCCTCTTCAAAACTTACAAATCTGAAACTACATGTACATGTAAAAAAAAGTTTTTTCCCGGAAGAAATAGGATGAATAATTTTTAATAGAGATTTCCAAAGAATTTAAAATCAAATTGGTACCATACTTACTTTATATAATTAATAAGCTAAAACATCTCACAGAATTAAAGGACAGTACAGTACATGTAAAAGGACACTTGTCTCTCAAGGCCAAAACATTTGTCATAATAGAAATCGTTTTATACATGTGACATAATATTCCCACCGTTGTGATGAAAATACATGTACGTGTACTGCTTCTTCGAGCAGTTCACCCCAATGGGTCACATGAAAAGCTATCAACTATTAAGAGAAAGAGAGGGAGAAATGGGGTTTAACGTCCACTCCACACAAACTAGGTAATTTCGGGACAGACATGGTTCAATTTTATTTCAATACATCAATACATGTAATTCACTTGCGTGTAGGGGTCTTTAGCAAAAAGAGGACACCGATGCACCCGGAGAAAACCCACGAGGTGGGACAGGCGACCCTACTCCTTGTCACGTACAATCGGGGTGTCAACTATTTAAGGGCCATCTAGTTCTATTACTTCGGCAAAGGTTTATGGGGCAGTGAATTCAGTTATGTTTGCCTGTCCAATACTAGAGAAGCAATTGTGAACTGTGTATTTCCAGTTCAATTACTAAATGCCATTGGAGCAATATGGAATTAACCCTGTACTATGTACTATATGTATCTATCTTAAGTCTGGACATACCTGTCACACACTTTGTCAGACACAAATTATTACACAACATACATGTATATAATTATAAAAATACTTACACCAGCAGAAAATTGTTGGAATTCTTGAACAGAATTTGGAACTGAACAAAATGTAGCATTAAAATACTGATCCCCACTGTTGGGTAGATTCTCTGTCATTCCTGTAAGAAATAACCATTTATTAAACAAATTGTGATTCATGTTCATTGACTTAACAAAAAAACAATGCATGAAAATAACATTTACTAACTATTGCTTCTAAATTTAGAGAAATAATCAAATCTTGATGTCATTTGTTTATTTCAGATTAGAATATTACGGTATGCCAATTATTTAATCATTGTCTGTCATTGAGTCAAGTAGCCAGGTTCCAATTCACAGCTTGTTCATGATGAGTAGGGTCGCCGCCTCGCCGGTGCAACCATGTGGGTTTTCCCCAGGATCTCTGGTTTTCTCTCACAGCTACATGTACATGTAAAGACCCTAAGTGCAATACAGTTATTGAAATAAAATTGAATATGTTAGTCCCAGAATGACTTAGTTTGTGTTTAGCCTCTCTCTCTATCTCTATCTCTCTCCCTCTCATATTTTACATACATGTACATAACTTTAGTTAATAAAATGTTTAAATATCCTGCCTGTTGTTTTACATGTAGTATGATTTTGTTTATTTTTCCTCACAAGAGCTGTAAAACTGATAAAAACTGTTAATTAAAGGAGCTAAATCGCTATTCTTAGGCGCCTAACTATTGACACAAATGGGTCGCAACACATATAATAATGTAATATGAATGTATATAAACTGATTTATATTCAATCATTTCTGTTTTTACTTTAATTTCTAATCAGTTATGTTTGGCGAAATATGCAAAGAGTCTGAATCGAATGGCAGTCTTTAGCGTCTGGCTATTCCAGTCTACACCGGAAGTATTCTCCTACATGGGATATGTTTAGCCTCGTTTATTGAGTTGCTACATACAATTGGCACTCAAAAGCATTTCTGGCACACGAAAATTTTCATTTTGTCTTAAATATTGGATATCAGAAGCCCATCTTTTCAAGCTAAGATAACATCATCAATGTTGATTTAAATTTACCAATAAGTCGTATTTGTAATGTCGAAGACTGTGGATGATATTGAGTTAAAGACTTGGCTTCTTATACTTGTTTTAGATGCATGATGCAAGATTTAGATTAAGAGCTGACAGTTCTCACTATAATAGTTAAAAATAGATAACGAAAAGTAAATATATTGAATATTTCAATCAAATTACTTTATTCGCAGCGAAGTTATGAATATTTGTAGTTTTGATACAAATAGTGTAGTCTCAATTTTTATTGCTACATATGTACCATCGTTGTGATAATCAACAAAGTCTCGATAATCCATTTTTAAATTTAAATATTAAATGGCGGCCATGTTTCAATCCATTAAAAAATAGAGAGTTGATTATGAATGAGCTTGTCATGTAAATAAATGTTTAATTAATAATTCATATAACATTTGAAGCTAAAAGAAAGCTTGACAATAGTCAGATTTAGCTATTACATTACATGTACCTCATGGAACTTTAACAAAGACGCTTATTTTTAATAATTAATAGAATTCAAACATTCTTAAAATCTATAAAATAAGTGTTTTTTGGTTTTCTATTATTGAATTTATATTTGTATAGTAAATATGTTATAAATCGCTGATCTTAAACTTAAAGGTGATTAAACCTTTGAAGTTTGATCAGCTGATCAGGATAAAACAATGCAGGTGATATAATCCTTTGAGTGCCATTTAGTGATTGAGCACAATAAAAACAAAATACAATTTAATTGGAAAGCATCACATTTGTACCTGATAAAACGAGAAGAGGACACTTGCCGAAACGTTGTACTATTGTACATGTATGTGTATAAACCAGTGATTGTTTTTCATATAAATTGTGTTGTGTTTTCCATAATAATTGTGTTTTCACTGCTCGTGATGACATGCCTTTAATCAATTAAGGCATGGAAAATTATATATATATATATTGTCCCAAAAAAACAATGAGGATCAGTGTCTTTACACTAAAAAGGATTGTCTGTTTCTATTTTGGAGCTGTGGCGGTTTGGCTTGCTAATCTGAGGTCCTGTGTTCGATTCCTGTGTGGGCTGAAAAAGGATTGACTATTCCTGTTCATCAACAAATCTTTTCCCAAATTTATTTAATTTTATGATTTCAATGATCCATTTACATGTAGCATTTAACTAGTTCTGCCACCAAAACTAATCTTTTCAAACTGAAAATGAAGTTATGATGCCATATCAATATAAAATGGAACATTTGAATTACACAGTGCTATTGGTCAAAGAGTTCAAAATTATCTTAAATTTCATAAATCAAGTTTAAAAACCTGAGGCAGACTACATAAAATTAATGTCAGGTGTGTATATCTATATAAATTTTAGTTAGTAAAAAAAAATTCAACAATTAATCAAATTTGACATGACCTAGATCTAGTTTATTATAAAACAACAGTACTATTAGTATTTATTACTACAAATAAAACTCCATTAAAATAATAACATATGACGTCATGAAGTTGGATTATTCTCATATTTTTCCCCCAGACTTGTAAATTTTTTTAATCAACTTGTTATACTCATAGCGTAGGCAAATAATTAAGCTTATAAACAGGGAAATAAGCCTCACATATTTTACTTGGGTTATTTAAACAAAAAAGAATTACAACTAGAGATATTAGTATTAATAACATTGATCACCCTTAATTCAAAAGTAAAAAAAATGGTGTCCTGTTGTTATTGATGTTTTTCTTTAACATGACACAATATACAGGACATGTCATATGGCTGACACACATTTTCATTGTCACACAGTAAAAAGCATATTTTACTGTCTTCATTCGTGCCGTGGTTTACACAGTACACACAACATTGTTTACGTTCTCAATATAGTGGCTTGGCGGGGGATTTATCTAGTAAGTAGGTCACTTATTTAGTTCATGTGTAAGCCTTGAAATTTATCAATAACTACAAAATAAAAATATTGGCCTCACCTTGATTTTCTGGAACACCGTTCGGTGTGTTGGGGAACGAATTTGGCATCGAATTGGGGTTCGGATGCAGAAATTGACATTCGTCCCCGTAGAGACAGGCACCCGTATTGATAAAATAGCGGCATAATGCGGCCTTCTTTCCTAGTGGGACCGCACTAGTCATAGTAATAGGGAGGCGAAAATCACCTCTTCAGGCAATCACACCCAAAACAATTATAATTTAGACTTAATTTTCGCCAAACGTCTGTTTATTATTTCTGTCCGATTTCTCTCATTTTGAACAGGTACTCCATTACGATTGCGCACGCATAAAAGCAGTGTATTATGGGTAGGTGAATATAGGTCAAAAAAGTTTTTGTTTATTTTGTTGTGCAAGCGTTTGCGTATGTCAACTACGGAGGTCTATTAAGATCAAAGCTTTGTCTGTTTAAGTCTGTTTAGATCGAAGAACGATACAAATACATATTGTTCTGTTGGCAGGAAACCATCGAGCAGACAAAGCGTCATCGTTTAATTGGATTAAATCGGTGGGAGGGAGAAAATCCACGGCTGTGGTGGGCGTTAAATGATAAATCGAAAGTAGACTGGTATTTGACAGCTCCTCACTGAGATGTTGGTTACCAGATTTGTCCAGGAACTTTAATCATTTTCCTAGATTGATGTTGCAACTACATTATTTATCAACTCATCGTTAGATCATCACATGTAATGACACCAAGCAAACTAGCTAATAGTAATAGTTTTATATTAATCGCAGATAGTGTTGATATACATTATCACATCCTTGAGAATTGACACAAACTAATAGTTTTATGTAAGTTACAGATAGTTTTGAAGTGTTACTTCCTTATCACATTCTTGAGAATTGACATAAACTAATAGTTTTATGAGTCCCAAATAGTTTGGAAGTGTTACAATGTTATTACATTCTTGAGATAATGCTCATGGAGTAGGCACATGTAACTGATACAGACTATTTTCTGTTGCATTATAAAGAGAAAAATAGGGTTTAATGGCCACTCGACACAAACTAGGTCATTTCAGGACTAACAAATAGTTCAATTTTATTTCAATAATTCAGTTGTGTGTGTAGAGATTTTTAGCAGTGGGACGAAATAGAAGGACCTGGAGAAAACCCATGAGGTTGGACAGGCGACCCTACTTCTTGTACAAGTGGAGAATCGAAATCATCTCACTTGACTCAAAGACAGACCTTGTTTTTTTATAAAAAAAAAGATTTTACAGGTCTGATTAAGCCTAATATATTATGCTATTCGATCATAATTCCAAAAACAAAGCCAAAATATCAACAGTATTAAAATCTCATGGTTTGAATTCAATTGAATTGTAAAGAAGCAAAGAAAATCATCAATTTTTTTTTACCCGGGCATGTATAGGTAGCGCTGGCTTTTTTAATTATTATATCATTGGCTGAGGATACTGAATGTTGTTAAATTTTCATTTATCATGTAAATACTCAAAAGAATTGAACTATTTGGGAACAGTTATACTTCTAGAGATTTAAAGATGCATTATAAGATTTAGGTAAAGAGCTGGCTGTTCTTTATTGAAAATTTCATTCAAATTACTTTATTCTGAGCCAAGTTATCACTGTAATTTTGACAAAATGTGTCATTGTTTATTATCGTAACACTGGTACTTATTATTAGAGACTTAGCCTCGCTTGTCCATTTTAAATTAAATCATTAAATGGCTGAAGCATTCTAATCTACTTAAAATCGCCTGGAGAGTTGATTATGGACTATTATGTTAATAAATGTCTAAATGATAATTTATGTAACATTTTAAGCCTTCAGTAGGCATATTTAGCTCTTACAGAATGCATTTTTAACTTTTAGAATATAGTTTACAAGGAATTCAAAATCCGTCAACTGACGATCAGTGCCTTCAATAGTTTGAGTTCCCATCCTTCCAAGTCTCCTCCTCTGTACTGTCTCTCTTTGGTTTATTTGAAGTTAGTGTTGTTTCTCCTACAGTATGATACAGATTGAAAATGGCCATTCTCTGATACTGAATGCATTTTAATGGAGCAGTACAAAGTTTCCATGCAAATGAAATATTTTAATGAGATGGAATATGCCAATGGAATTTGATTGTTGACTATTTTGCAGTGTAATCTGGAGGTCCTGTATTCGATACCTGCATTGACAGAGAAAGTACCTTAAGATTTTCCCTATAAGTGGTGCGGGACAGAGGGCATGGCAAGGGACAATGTATAGTCTTTTGGATTGGATGAAAAAATGAGGTCCCGTGTACATATTGGCATGCACGTAAAAGATCACTTGGCAGTTAGAATTCGATAGGCTATAGCGCTGCTGTTCGGGCAAAACTTCCCACATAGCACACTGTATGGCGTATGCCTGTCTGCTTTAGCGCAGTAGGAGCAAAACAGTAACATGTTAATCCTGGTGTTATTTCAATTGTCGCACATGGAGAGAGAAAGAAATTGGGTTTAATATCCACTTAACACAAATTAGGTCTTTTCGGGCTAATATATGGTTCAATTTTATTTCTATCATTTGCTTGCGTGTAGGGGTCTTTAGCAGTGGGAGGAAACTGGAGGTTCCTGAGAAAACCCACAAGGTTAGACAGACAACCCTATTCCTTGTCACATACAAGCGGCGAATCAAAACTACGCCACTCGATCGACATGAGCATCCAACAGGGTTACAATTAAACATCTATGTTCTTAAAAAAATAAAAAATTAACAATTTTCGAATACATAATAGAAACACTTTATTACATGAAATTAGAACGCTGGAAACAAATGAAAGTTATAAATGTTGATTACATGTTTACATACATATATAATTATAATACTTGATTACACTACAATCTGTCTAACACAAGCGTGCGTTATCTTGGCATAGGTAGCATGTAGGGTGACTACGCAACATACTTGATTAACTACAGCCTGCCTCGCACAAGTGTGGGTTACCTTGTTGTAGGTAGTATGTAGGGTGACTCTGTGGTGACAGTGCACGCAACATTACTCTAAGTCTGCTGTAACATAAACTATAGAAACAATCGGAATTAAATAAACAAGCAACAAATCCATTAGATGCAGTAAGCCTTATATTTTAGTCCTCTAATTTCACAAGTTCTTCTCCATTCATTTCTTGTGTCTTATGAATCTATTTCTAAATTTAATAATTAACATGTCCATGCTACTCTAGAACTCGGCAAAATCACAAGTCTACAATCAATATATGACTTAACTTATGCGTGAAATAAATAATAAATTCAACTCAAATGTAATCTCAACAAGCATTTTATCCTCTTAACATACTGAACTAGATATTATGGCGAAGCAATGCAAGCAGATCCTGTCTCGCAACTGTATACACATGGCTGACATTTTACTGGTTGAGAGATAAAAATCTAATTAATATCTAATAGATCTATTAGTTTATTTATTACAAACTTAATAAACATCTAAATAGATCTATTTTTTTTATTTATTACAGGTTTGATAAGCATCTTAACAGGTCTATTATTTTTTATTTTCCATGTCATTAGACACATCATATTTTCAGATAAAATTCAATTATGTATCTGAATAACTGACCCAATTAAACTTGAGGATATACATCTTTAATGAGAGTTCTCAGTGTGTTAAATTAAAACAAGCAAATACATGTCATTAATAAAAACAAACAAATGGTATTCTAAACCAAGGGAAATAATGCCCTTCTTATATACCCTTATTTCTGATTCCATTCAATGTGCATAATTTGAACATTTGATCAAGACAACCTCTAAGTAGATTTGATTATCAAGTACTACAGAGAATTGCGTTAAAATGGAATAATACAATAAGGCTGTTTTAAATGTACGCATTTTCGTAGCACCCGTTTCCATGTAATCAATCTTAATGCGCAACGAAATTCTGCGAAATGCGTAGATAGAAAACAGACTTAGAGATAGATAGTGATGAGGCATTCAGTCAGAATAAACAATAGTGATCCGGATGGGATTCCAAATGAACATATATTCAATTAAAGCTGCTGGTAACATCTAATTTTTCATAGCTTACTTCAACGTAAAATATATTTAGATTCATTATTAGGGTGACCCACCATAAATAAATATCTCCATATATCTCGACAATTACGCCACAATATTTATATATATGCCAAGCCTCAAATCAGTTTCACACAATTATAGTCACTAAATGAACGATCATGTTGTACTTAATAAGCTATGACCATTAATCATGTATAAATAATAGACTGAAAACTGGTTCCAAGAGTCGTCCATAACATCCAGACACTTTTGAGTAAAAGATAGGTTACGTGCCCTTGTTTTGAAATTAGTCTCGCTTAACCAGTCTATCGACCATTCTACGTCTGATTGACAGGTCGGGATAATCAAGACTACTTTTTTACGAAACGTAACAGAAAGCTAGAACAAGAAATTGAATTTAGAAATAAGCACGTTAGGTAGCTCAACAATCGTTTTAAGAAGCTTGTAAAAGTAAAATGAAACTACTGCTAGTATCATGTTCCTGCCTAACCCGAGTGATTCAGAGATATTATTTGTACTAAACCAAAAGATGCCGCTCTTAACGGTACAGTTAATGATAAAGCGATTTAAAAAATGAAACGAACGTAATTTCTAAATCTGCTGTAATAACCAAGAAGCTTAATTTAACTGCTATTCAAAATCGTCAACAATAAATTTTTTACGGCTGTAATAGTTGATAGATTTGTAGAGAATTGCACGTGCCATGGCTATTTATAGTATCATACTGTCAGAAAGTTGGTCTCGGCATGGCGAATGTGCACGCTTCAGTGGTAGTCTCGAACTATCAGCAGTGGACTGTATTTCTGTGAGTACATGGATCACCCTATCATTATTTAACATTTAAAACCATAATATCAACGAAACATGTAGATAATCCTCCAGCTTGGATTCAATCAGATTAAAAAATTATCTATTTTATCGTTAAACATGACAGTGGTGTTCTAATTTACTTAAAATCGGAGGCATCAGATTAAAAGGAGGCTGAACACAAGATTTTAACCAACATTGAATGGAATTTAACCCTATAGAATTCAATTTTTACAAAATATTGTAATTGTCGATTCAAAATCTTACCAATGACTATACTGTTCCACAATTAATTGAATATATTGTAATTTGGAATTCATTAATCACACCAATCACTTGCATCTGACTGAAATACTACTGCCAATAATAGTTACATATTACACATGATTTAACTGATTGAAAAACTCTTAAAACCATAAACATTATTCTGAGAACAGAATTTGGGACAGTGGGATAAAGCTAAAAAAGACAAGGGAATGCATTTTGAAAGTGTTGCTCTGATGGGTGGTGAACGTCAAGCCAAAAGTAAATTACTTTGCCTCCCCCCACCATATATATATTTTTTGCCCTTCCTAAACATGTAAGGAATTGCTGTTCCCACCTGTTCCTCTGCAATACACAACTGTCTTGGGGTAACGGAACTAAACAGGCCCCTTGATATAAACATTAATATGAAAAGAACTAATATATAGATTATAATAATGTGAATTAAATGATGAAATAGGTAGCACTGCTGCACTATCTTGGGTATGTTTAGTCTTGCTGTTTAATTTTAAACCAATGTTGGCAAATTGTTCAAATTCATTCAGAGTCATCAAAATATATTTGGTTCCTATTGATGAGTAGTTTAAAACAGTCCATCTAGATTTGGGTTTACACACATTTACTTTCACTAGTGGTGTTGAGTAATTAACAAACTGTGGAATTTTAATAATTTGCTTACAATGGTTTGAAAATAAACATCAAATATAGAAACTCCTGCTTTATGATACCCGAGATGTAGTGTGGTACATCTTCATATTGTTAAGTATGTTACTATACTAGTATGCATACACCCAGTGACAACAACAGAACGATCTGTCTAGCATGAAATACAGGAGGACATCATCAAACACAACCACAAATAACAACAAAAACTTAGATTTTCAGGGAGGAGGACAAAGCAACACAAGTAGTCAATTGAAAGTTCTAGCTCTCCCGAGCCTATGAACAGTGACAATCAAGCAAACCAGGGAATTTATGGCCAACAACGAATAATCAGCTCTAATAATCACACCATGAAATTGACAGTTACTCTTTAAGAGAATAAGATGGGTTCAACATCCATTCGACAAAAACTAGGTCATTTTGGGACTATCATGGCTCAATTTATTTCAATAATTTGTTTGTGTGTAAGGTCTTTAACCTCGGGAGGAAACCAGGGACCCAGAGAAAACCCAAAAGGTTAGACAAACAACCCTACACCTTTGTCAATTACAAGAGTGGGATTGAAACCACATCACTATTCTTAATGTTATTGCTCTTCGATGGTCCTGGCATAATTAAAAGTCCCCCCCACCCCAACGGATAGACAAACAGTTCTATTAAAGTCGTGGATGAATACTTAGTATTATTTATCAAATGTGAAAAATCAGTAGCTCATTCATTCTCTCATTCATGTACCTGGTCTTCACTTCATTACATGTAGGTTACTGAAAAATATCAAAATATTTTAAATTAGTTTCATTCTTATTCCAATAATTTGCTTGCGTGGAGGTCTTTAGCAGTGGGAGGAAACTGGAGGACCAAGAGAAAACCTACAAGGTTGTACTACTTGTCACGTTCTAGCAGGGAATGGAAAACACACCACTTGACTCAATGAAAGACCACCCATCTCACTGATCATTTTGAGACTAACAAAGAGTAATTTTTATTTCAATGGTTACATGTGCAATGTGCTCTGGAGAATATGGCCAGGGCAGCACTGTTTCCATCTACTCTTCTACCAATTTCGAACACCAAGGTTTTTTTAATGTACTTTCCAATATGTAAATGGTTAGACTATGGATTAATTGTACTATCCCCACAACTAAGTATACACTTTCCGAACCCCAAGAGATTTGACTATAGGCTTATGTTAATAAATGTTTAAATAATAATTTATATAATATTTGAAGCCCATAAAAGAGATAACTACAATAGGCAGATTTACGATGGTCCAAGCTAGGGTTTATGAAAGATCTATGTGAAATTTCACTGAATAGCAGAGTAAATGCAAGTGCTGGGGGTCCTTGGAAATTGTCCAAATGTGCCAAGGGTCCGTGAGTGAACAGAAAGCTTGAGAATCATTGATGTAAGTTACACCACCCGGCCACCTATCCAATGGGGTTTTAACATCCTACTTTTCTGCACTGACTGGGCTACTGGATGTACTGATATTGTCAAGAATTCTTTTACATGCACACCAATGTGTACCCAGTATCACAGTTTTTCGTCCCATCTGAATGACTATACATTGTCCCATGTAATAAGTTTAATCCTGTACATATAATAACACTCACCGTGCTGTCAGGCATAGGATCTTCTGGTGAACCATCAGGCATATCTCCTGGCACACCACCAGGCATTCCTCCAGTACCAAATCTATTAGCCATTTTGTTAATAACTTGCTGAACCTTGGGATTGTTCTGATATTTAGAAATATTAGCTGGATTTGCAGACACATCCTGGAAGGCAGCCATCACCTCTGGATCCTAGATAAGTCAAAAGTATACAGTTCTTTACTAAGGCCTTCCACCCCAAAAAAATGTTTGTTTCTCAGACACTCCTTCCTAAAATTCTAATGCAGGAGTTGTTTATAGGAATGTGTTATTATCCAGTATCATATATGATAATTATTATTAATATTCATCAAGGTTGTGTACTTGATAATTGGGCCTATGTGCAATAATTAATAACACAGTTATGCTTAAATGACGCAGAAGTATACGAGAACCTGATGGCTTTTTTTTGTATGGCCTAATATTATTTTTATCCTGAGTTTTGTGATGGTAAATTGATTCATAATTGGGAAACTAGTCCAATACAATTGTAAGAGGAAGAAATTGTTAGATTCATGAATTTGTAAGCATACCCTGCACAGTGTATGACAGCTGTCACTACTTATAACAGGTTCAAGGCCCAGTTCCCTGTCAGATATATGCAAAAAGACAGAAATGGGGTTTAACAGCCACTTGACACAAACTAGGTCATTTCTTATCTAAATAGTTTGCTTGCATGTAGGGTTCTTTAGCAGTGCGAGGAAGCTAAGGGCCCGAAGAAAATCTGTGAGGTTTGACAGTCAAGTAGAAGTGGGGAATCAAAACCACATCCCTTGACTTAATGATAGACCTTATGATTGAAAAAACGCGCACACATTTAACCAAACATAGTCACATAGGATTTGTTTCAGTTTCAAACAAATATGATGGAATTTTTAGAATCAAATTAGAATGTTCAATGATAAGATACTCACTTGGAATGCTGCCATGATTTCTGGATCTGAGAAGAGTTCACTAAGGTTAGGCATACCTGGCATGCCACCCATACCCCCTGCCGCTAAAATATTAAATACAGATAATAAATATAAATAAACTCAAAGATATCTGTGTGTATGTTCATCCATCGTGCTTCGTTGCCACAATCCACCCTCACTTATGTGCTATCAAATTAACCAGCATGACCCCTTGAACGTTTTAGGTCATTGAATTTGGACCCCAGGCCAATCACGCCACATCACCACACTCCACCCCCACATGTGATATCAAATTAACCAACATGACACCATGTATGTTTTAGACCATCAAATTTGGGTCCCTGGGGCGAATTTACGCCACTGGCAAATTTAGGCACTGCTAGTAAATACTAAGATTTGTGTAGCGCAACTATTCAATGCAACTAGAAAATCTTCTCACTTTGGCGACTAAATAACCAAGTTTTCACTTTGGATTTAATAACTGACACAAAATCAATCTGCCAAATATTTTCTGCAAGAATATTCCATACAATTTATACACAGTATCGAAAAGTTCTGAATCCAAACAAATAACCAATATTAAATATAGATACAATACTAACAAACTTCAACATAAGAGAGAGAGAGAGAGAGAGAGAAATGGGGTTTAACATCCACTCGACACAAACTAGGTCATTTCTGGACTAACATATGGTTTAATTTTATTTACATAATTCGCTTGCGCGTAGGGGTCTTTAGCAGTGGGAGGAAACCGGAGGACCCGAGAAAACCCACGAGGTTGGACAGGCGACCCCACTCCTTGCCACGTACAACCAGGGATTCGAAACCATGCCAGTCGACTCAATGACAGACTTTATGATACAGCGCGCGCACGCTAACCATTCAGCCATCCACACACCCCCTCAACAAAAAAAAAAAAAAAAAAAAAAAAAAAAAAAAAATACTATAATAGGTTGATCTATATATAAAACTTACCTTGGAAACCAGGCATACCTCCTGGGAATCCACCAGCCCCTGATGGCATATCACCTGCAGCACTCTGTTGCTAAAAAAATAAATACAAAACATGATGGGTTATCGTGATTTGACAATATTCAATGGAACACACAAGCAATTATATGTTAAAACTATATTTTTCCATTCCATCCGAATGACTAGACAGAGTGTCCTTGTCAGACTCTCCGTCTTGCACGCCAGACTGAGGAACCTTTGCCCCAAACACCAGGTGGGAACTAGAGAGACCTTCAGGCTAGCATGCTAGCATCTTACTAAATGAGTCCCAGTGTTTCCAACACAATTCCGAATTGAACTAATAGAATCTCTAGGTCATCTCACCTATTTCTGCTTCTAAAAATTGAAATCTCACTTGTTTTTGTTTCTCATATTCTTCTCGCGCTTTCTTTATTCTTTCTTTTCTTTCCTTTAAAATTCTTTCTTCCCTTATTCTCTCATATCTTCGGTTGTGTTCCATGATCTTTAGTGCCTGCAAGAGAAACATAAAATGAAATGGGGTTTCACGTCCTACTGTTCTGCTACAACTGGGCTAATGAAGACAGGCATACAGAGTTACAAGGGAAATTTTGCCGGGACAGCTTAGTTAGTGATCATGGACACATACTCAGAATGTAGATCTATATGGTAAGAGATTTACCCTAATTAAGTACTTGTGTTAAACTATACACAACGCCAACTCATCCCAAATAAAACCAGCGGCTGCCAGGCAGGATACGCTCACATTTTGCAAGAGATGGATAGACAAGCTAAAAACAAACACGATTTTTTGTACAATCAGTGGGCCATAATCCAGAAAGTTATGGTCTGAAATGCACAAATATCAAAAGGGACTCAGATTTTTGGAATATAAAGATATGTTTTAGGTTTCATCAAAATCGGATAAAAATTTGCGTACAAAGAGCAGCCATTTTGTCGGGCAGTTTCATTTCGATTTTCACGAAATTCCAATTCAACCTTCATTATGGTGGAATAGTGGTATATCTAAATGGTTTTTAAAATTGGAAAAAAAAAATGTGACCTCTAGAGAATCCTCAAACTAAAAATGAATCAAGGTCCTTGATATACCATATTTTTTACACTGTTTGTGTACAAGGGGCGACCATTATGTCCAGCAGTTTTTGTCCGATTTTCATGAAATTTGAACTCAAACAGTTTATAACAGTGATAAATTCATACGTTTTTTTTAAATCTTATAAAAAATTGTGACATCTATAGGGACCACAAGCTCAAAACGAGATTTTTCGTACAATCAAGGGCCATAATTCAGGAAGTTAGGATCCGATATGCGTTAATATCGAAAGGAACCAAGATCTTTGGGTTATAATCACGCATTTCAAGGTTCATCGAAATTGGATCAAAATTGTGACCTCTAGGAGGTCCACAACCTTGATATACCAGATGTTTACACTATTTGCGTACAAGGGGCGGCCATTTTTCTTAGAATTTTGGTCCGATTTTGACGAAATTTGCACTCAACCATCATTAGGGTGTAATGGTGATATACTAACTAACATGTTTTTTTAAATTGGTTAAAAATTGTGACTTCTAGAGGGACCACAAGCTAAAAGCGTGATTTTTCGTACAATCAGGGGCCATAATTCAGTAAGTTACAATGCGATATGCGCGAATATCAAAAAGAACCAAGATCTTTGTGATATAAACATGCATTCCAAGTTTCATCAAAATCGGATGAAAATTGTTACCTCTAGAGGGTCCACAACCTTGATATACCATATTTTACACTGTACAATGGACGGTCATTTTGGTTTTTTAAATTGGATAAAAATTGTGACCTCTAAAGGGACCACAAGCTAAAAGCACGATTTTTCATACAATCAGGGGCCTTAATTCAGTAAGTTACAATGCGATATGCGCGAATATCAAAAGGAACCAAGATCTTTGTGATATAAACATGAATTCCAAGTTTCATCAAAATCGGATGAAAATTGTTACCTCTAGTAGAGGGTCCACAACCTTGATATACCATATTTTACACTATTTGCGTACAATGGACGGCCATTTTGTCCAGCAGTTGTGATCCGATTTTCACAAAATTCGAACTCATCTATCATTAGGGTGTAACGGTGATATATTAACCCTTTTAGGGGGATAACGACATTAATGTCGTTTTCCGACACATGCGCTTTACGGGGATAGCGACATTAATGTCGTTTCACCGTAAGTCGCCAAAGAAACAATGTACACGATTGGCTGTATGAGATAATTCTATTTTTATCAACTAATGGGTGAAAGAAATGCATGATCTAATTTATAAGAACGGTAACTCTTATATTGTTTTGATTTGAAGCCGGATATTACCGTTACTTAGCGATAACATAAACAGACGGCCTCGGGCTGTCAATAACATGGCGTCTGCCACGAAACCCCGTAAGCGTCCTCGCCCTAATACGTTTACTGTAGACGATGTTGTTGACATGATCCATATTTCTGATGAAGAAAATTGTTCGGCTGACAGTGGCAGCGATATTGACATTGATGAACTGTCTGCATACGAGTCAGATTCAAGTGAATCAGATCGAGATTGTCAAGAACGAGATGTAAATAATGTAAAAAAACCAAGAAGATGCTTGACGGAGTCGACGATAAATATATGGCCTAATGACGTTGAAACACTAGTACATCAAGATGATAATTTTGGTACAGAAGACCAATTAGACGACATTTGGATACATGTGAATGATAGGCAAAATGACAGGCCCCCAATCTTACATGATTTTACAGCTGAGTCCGGTCCTGTGTGGAATCCAGAGAACTGTCATGAACCTGTGAAGTATTTTGATAAATTTTTTGAATCAACCAATTTTACAAATAATAAATCTCTTTGGCAGTTTTTTGTAGACGAAACAAACAAATACTTTCAATATAGATATGATAAATATGAAAATATACCGCCCAGATCTAGACTGCATTTATGGATTCCAACAGATGTACATCAAATGAGAGCGTTTATCGGGTTGATCATAAATATGGGCTTGGTACGAAAGCATACATTAGAACAGTATTGGAATGTGAAAGACTTATCCCAAGAGACACCAATATTTAGAAACACTTTCACGTATGAAAGTTTTAAACTACTCCTTCGTTGTTTTCATGTCAGCGACAGTTCGATGGAGCCGAAAAAAGGAACTTTTAATTATAATCCCATTTACAAATTTCAGTCCGTTTTAGACCATTTTAATACGTCTTGGGCACGTGCATATCTTCTGTCATGTAACATAAGTATAGATGAAAGCATAGTTGGTTTTAAGGGCAGACACGATCTTGTGAACTACATAAGAATTAAAAAACATCATCAGTGGGGACCAAAGGAATATAACCTGTCTGATTCTAGGACTGGATATTTGTATCAGACCTTATACCACACATCAAGTATAAAAACTTCACAATATGGACAGCCGTATGATGTATGCGATAAATTGTTGAGAAACCATGGTGGAAAGTATCATCATTTAATTGTAGACAATTACTATACTAGTATAGACTTATGTAATAATATGTTGTCTAAACAAATATATGTTACAGGCACGGTTCGTTCAAACCGTAAGGGATTGCCCCCAGGAATCAAACAAACTTTAAAAAAAAAAGATGAAGTTATTGCTGTACGTAAAGGTCAGTTGTTGGCAGTCAATTGGTACGATCGCAGACAAGTTAGGTTTTTAACAACGCATGGTTCCGCTAATGATGTCAAGCTAACTAAGAAAGACAACAGACTCGTTCCTCAGTTAGTGAACGAGTACAATCACAGTATGGGAGGGGTTGACCTCAGTGATCAAATGACAGATCATTACGCAGCAGAATTGAGAACTGTAAAGTGCTGGCGGAAAGTTGTTTTTCATCTTATAGACAGAACAGTTACTAATGCATATTTGTGCTATAAGAACAATAAGAATATAAATGGAAAAAAACTAAATCATCTCAACTTCATGATCCAGTTAGTAGACAGACTTATAAATGGCTATAAACAGCCACGCCGAAAAATTGGTCGTCCCAGCCTCACAACTCAAAACAGAGTACTTTCTAGCATACAGCATTACCTAGAATCTATTCCTGATAAAAAGCGTAAACAGTGTGTGAGCTGTGCACAATCAAGGGATGTAGGGTTTAAAGGTACGTGTATAACCACATGGTGTCGAGAGTGTGGAGTGGGTCTATGCCGCAGATGTTTTCCTGGTTATCATTTAAACTAAAGTAAACATGTTAATTATTGAAACTTCAGTTTGTAAAAGAGTGCCAATATTTTGCTACATGTAAAGCTTATAGTTTATCTGAAAATGAAGAAAACATTTAGTATTACCAATATACTGGTATGAGTATTATAGCTGTAATGCTGCAATTTGATCAAATGACATTATTGATTGTTGATATGTTTTGTAATTGGTGATTGAAAATGTGTTCATTAATTGCAATTGTATTTTACATGTAATGCAATTTTGATTAGATAGTATAATTTGATTGTTGATATTTCTGCAGGTTCTTCTGTTTTCCTTGAAACTGCTGAAAATATGTAGCTAATTGCATTAATACACCTGGATTGTAAGCCTATATGTATTTCACCTGTGATGCAATTTTGATCAAATAGTCTTCTCAACTGAATATTGAATTTATTAAAAGTTGATTTTTTTCTATCCTGTTATGTTTCATTGAAATTGAAGAAATGGTGTACACAAGTTGCTTATTTATTTATTACACCTGAATTTACCTGTATTTACCTGTAAGTGCAGTTTTCACCATTGTTGTTGCGATTATATAGTTGTTACCATTTGATATATTTTAATTTAAAATGGTTAGTGAAAAAATTGGGGACAAATTGTACATTTTTCAGTACACCTCAATTTAATTGTATTTCCACATGTGACACTACTTTGACCAAATGATATTATTGATTGTTGATATTTTTTGTAATTGGTGATTGAAAATGTGTTCATTAGTTGCACCTGAATTTCACTTGTAATGCAATTTTGATCAAATAGTATTATTTGTTTGTTGATATTTCTGTAAATTTTTCTGGTTTCTTTGAAACTGCTATAAAGGTCTATGCTAATTGCTTTAATACACCTGAACTGTAAGTCTATTTACCTGTATTCCACCTGTGATGCAATTTTGATCAAATAATCCTCTCAACTAAATATTGATTTGTTCACAAATTTTTTTTTTTATCCTGTTAGGTTTCATTTAAATTGAAGAAATTGTATACACAAGTTGCCTATTTATTCATTGCACCTGAATTTACCTGTAAATGCAGTTTTCCCCATTGTTGTTGCTGTTACAGTTATTATCATTTGAAATGTTTTAATTTAAAATGGTTGGTGAAACATTTAGTGACAATTTGTATATTTCTTAGTACACCTCAATTTACCTGTATTTTCACCTGTGATACTCCATTTTATTTTTTAAACTTTTAACTTGTTGTTTCCAAAATTCATTATTTATGTTGTTTTTTCTTAAATTAATAAATTTTTGAGAAAACAAAATACTTTTATCTTGGTTTATAATTTTTACCTGAGCCACACCTGTATTTACCTGGGTAAAATTGTTCCAATTACAAAGTTTTTGCATTTTCATATAATGTGGTGTATAAGCATATGTCTCACCAAGTTTGGTGAATTTTGATAACATAGTTGTAAAGATATAATAATTTTAGATTTGATCCTAGCTTAAAATTTATTCACTAAAATTAATTCCCCCACAGTGGTTCACCAGTTGCGAAAAATTGCCCACTAAAAGGGTTAAAACATTTTTTTTTTTAGATCGGATAAAAATTGTGACCACTAGAGGGACCACAAGCTAAAAACGTGATTTTTTGTACAATCAGGGGCCATAATTCAGGAAGTTACGATCTGATATGCACGAATATCTAAAGGAAACAAGATATCTGGGTTATAAACATGCATTTCAAGTTTCATCCAAATCGGATAAAAATTGTGACCTCTAGTGTCCACAAGCTTAAAACGTGATTTTTCGTACAATCAGGGGCCATAATCCATGAAGTTATGGTCCGATACATGCCAATATCGACAGGAACCAAGATCGTTGGGAGATAGACCTATATTTCAAGTTTCGTCAAAATCGGATAAAAATTGTGACCTGTAGAGTGTCCACAAACAAATTGGAGACTGACGGACAGGGGCGACGACAATATACGTCCATATGAAAATGTGGGCGTATAAAAATATTCTTACATTAGGTTTAACTTCTTGTAACATCAGATTAGCATCATCATCATAATCTAGTTTACAAGCTGTTGTTAAATCATGGTAGGCTTGTTCCCATTTCCCTAATAATCTATAATACACATAATATATATACATTACAATATACCAGGCAAAAATTAGAAAATCTAATATCCTAATGAATACGCACATCGGTAATTCCACCTCTTCATATTCCAACGTTCAAACTACGTGCAATGAAATGAAATGAAATGGGATTTAACATCCTACTGTTCTGCTCCGAACTTGACTATTAATGAAGACAGGCATAGGCCATACAGTGTGCCATGAGGGAAATTTTGCCCGGACAGCGGCACTACAGCCTACTCTTATATTCTGGATGAACTGTCTCAGCAAATGCAGGGATCGAACACCCGACCTCCAGGCTAGCGAGCCAGCGTCTTACTCACTTAGCCACAGTGACCCCCAACTAAGTGCAAGGCCATAAGATCTAGCTTTAAATGTTAATATTAGATCCTTATTATCAGAGTTTTATATTTTTAGATTTGAAAGATTTTAATAGTCATTCTAAGAATATTTGAAGATAATTTTTTACCTGCAAGCTTTGCCTCTCCATTTATAAGGTGCAGCAGAATCTGGATTCATTTCTATTGCTCTATCACAGTCATGCATAGCTTTCCTTGGTTTATTTAACCTTATAAAAGCACTGAAATAATATAATACAGGTAATTAGCCGTGTCCGACAGTGATCTACACCCTTCCCTCCTCTGCTGGCATATTCTTTTTCTCCTACATGCACCAAATGTACCAAGTATTGCTGCCGTTTTGGTCTGGCTCCACTTTAATCCATTACAAGTAGGCATCTAAATGAGCAGAAATATTGTCTCAAAGCTTCTAATTTTATACACTTCTTGAATAAACCCCTGGACCTCACACTAAACTTGACATTATCTCCACCTTGGGTTCCCCCGCTGCTCAAATTCCTGAACAGATCCCTGGTACACCAGTATATCACTGATAGCCAACACATGACACATTGCACCTCGTAATTATAAAGGTCTAATGTAAAAAATATTAACATTTTTCTTAAATTAATTGGGCATTAAGTAAGAAAAGATAAGCTGACAGTTCTCGCTATACTAGTTTAAAAAATAGATAATGAAAAGAGAATATGCTGAAAATTCCAGTCAAATTACTTCACTCTGAGCCAAGCTATCGTCAATACAATTTTGTCTAGCCTCGATTGTCATCACTGCTGTTGTTACGATAATAAAAGTCTTGATTATCCATTTTTACAGTTGATTATGATCTTTGTATGTTAATTAATGTCTAATTAATAATTTATATAACAATTCAGGCCGAAAGAAAGACCTGCAATACAAAGCAGATTTAGCTCTTGTTGAATAATGCATGTTTAATCTTTAGAACTTATATGGCACATCTGAAGTTGTCAGGACCGCCGTGATGCACCACTGACAAGGGGCTTCAAGACTAGAAAATCTAAGGAGCTTTCTTAGCCATCACTGGGATCATATTCTCGACTAGCTCAGCCACCGTGGTTCTACTCCTAAAGAACTAACAAACAAATTTACTTGGCAATACCATTTTAACAAAAGTACTATTTTCTGGTGTAACGTTACCTGGCTCGCTTTGCATACATCAACGCTGAATGTGGATTTAGTTTAATGGCTTCTGTAAATAGTCTAACAGCTTCTTCTAAATTACCTACATAATATATATTTATCACGTTTAAAACATGTTTATAATAATAATAACTATATTCATATTTTGGAATTTATTATTTGAAATTGTTGATAATCAATAGCATTCTTTGTGCTTTCTTCTTTGTCACATTACTCATAAAAGATCCCTTGACAGTTAGAACTCTGGACAAAATTTCCCCAAATATCCCAGTCGGAGCAATACAGTAGAACATTAAACCCTATCTCATTGTCTTACGACCTTAAATGCTGTATAGTATACATATTTAATTGGATAGCTTTAGCCTCTAGAGCATCCACAGTCCCTAAGTAATGATGGGTGACGGATGGGTGTGATGACAATATACGACTATCATTGTGGGTAAGTAAAACAAAGACATGAATTGGATTAAATTGTTCCCTGACCTCTGGTGTAATAAGATATATATATATTAGTCCTGGAACAATATATCAATGAATTGATGTATCGTGATTCACCTTCTCACTCTGAATCCATTTTTCAAGATTCTTTTTTATGCTTTTTTGTTGCTCCAATAAGCAACCTGTCACTCTTAATTATCCCTGTCACACATTACACAAACACTCTTAAATTGTTTTCGTCCTTATTTTGATCCACATCAATATCGTGATATAAGATAATTTTATATCTTCGACATCGGCAATACTAAAAATATCAATTGTTCATTTATCCTATTGTTTTTTTTAGTATATATTGAGCTGGTTATAAATCATGATACGAATCATATCGTAATATCTGATTTGTAATATTATCTTATATCGTGACTACAGTGGCAATACCCAGCACTAATATCCATATATATATGTGTGTCTTACCGGAATTAAAAGCATCAAGGGCTTCATTTCGTTTATCATTAGCTTGATCAATATTTTCATCTGTTATTTCATGATCATCTGGAGCATATTCTGGCATTTCATTATCATCATCCTCAATCACACCAGTAGCATCTAATTCTATTAAATAAATAATCATACAGAATGGAACAACAATCCATTTTATATTAAAATCACTGTTGTTCACTACTGTATAAAGACAATCTATGACTTTTTAAAGATTCATTGTGCCAGCTAGTATATTTTGAAAGATGAATGTCAATAGGATCCATTCATTTGATTTGATATATATGTTGCTGATTATTTCATGCAATGTCTATGTAGTTTGTCTTGTCTGCAGGTTTATCTTGTAGATTTTGTTTTGTGTGCAGTGCGGTCATCCTGCACTTACTATTAATTAAATGATAACCAATAGGTATGAATCAAGGTGTTAGGGTCTTAAATCCATTATTTTCACAACTACTGTCCAGTAATTTCGCATAATTAGATAAGCTACTGACCAACATCACTTTCAACTTCTTCCTCTTCCTCTTCAGGTTCAGGCTCAGGTTCAGGTTCCGCAGCAGGTGTCTAAAATAGACAGTGAAAGTTATAAAATATAGTGCTGTTAAGTGAGTATAGCAATGGCTCACTAACCTAGAGGAGCTATGGTGGCTCAGTGAGTAGGATTTTCCAGCGTGGTTCCCCAATTTAATAGGTGTAGGATACAGGTCTTGGCAAGGGACAGTGTATATAAAAAAACGAGGTCCTATGTACAAATTTGTGTGCACATAAAAAAACAAAAACCTTGGCAGCTGGAATTTGATTAAGAGTAGGCCTTTGTGATGTTGTACAGGCGAAATTTCCTGATGTATGGCTTAAGTCTGTCTTCATTAGCCCAGTCGGAGCAGAACAGTAGGACATTAAACCCTGTTTCATTCCATTTACTAATCTCAAGGTTACAGGTTCATTAAAACGTGATCTGTTATTAAGTTTTGATTCCCTACTTGTACATGACAAAGAGTAGGGCTGCTTGTCCAACCTTGTGGGGTTTTTGGGGTCCTACGGCTTCCTTCCATGTCTACGCATAGGCGAATTATTGAAATAAAATTGAACCATATATTAATCCCAAAATGGCCTAGTATGTGTCAAGCAGACGTTTCTATCCCAGCCCGTCATGTGATATCATCCTGGACAAGTCAGGGTCAGGTTCCAACAATATAGACAGTAATTTAGATATAATCATGAGATAACTTACCGGCTGGGGTTCTGATTTAGGTTCGGGTTTACGGTCAGGTATCTTTCCCCCTAAACTGTTCAAAAAAAAAAAAAGTATACAGTATTAAAATTCGAAAATATACAGAAATAAATTTCTAAAATATACAGGATTAAATTGCTAAAATATAAATGATGAAATTTCAAAAATATAAATGACTAAATTTCAAAAATATAAATGATCAAATTTCTATGGCAGACTGATTACTGGAGAATTAGTTTATATATCCCTCTTCACAAAAATAGAAAGAAAATATTCATTGGATTATGTGCTATTTAATAAATGTATAATTCTCTCCTACTCCCTGAGTCTGGAACTGTCTGTCCACAAAAAAATTTCAATTACATTACTTACTTTCTTACAATTAATTGTTAAAAATTTATAATATAATAAATAAATTGTTTCCTTTGTGATAATAAATATTGACTGTGACTATAGACTCCATACCTTTCAATATAATCTTTAAAGAACGATAAAGCTGGCATGTGTAAAAGATTTGCATCTCTTTTACACATCTGGATGAAATCTTTCAACAGAGCTAATTGATTCGCATCCATCATGGATTTCCTACAAAAAATTAAAAATCAACTCATACTTTTTGTCAATTTTATCCTAATTTAACTAAATAAGGTCACTGTAGACCCAGTGTGCAGGTCTGGAAATAACAGTTTTAGATGTACCTGACAAAATGTCAGTCACTAATGAAACAGTACCTGACATTTTCAACTTAATGCCGGACATGTATTAATAACATCAATAAAAAAGACAAATCAGTGCCGGACAAAATGACAGGCACCAGAGGTTTAGTGCCTGACAAAGCCTGAATCTGTGTCTGACATTGTCTGTGACAGGTGCCTTATTTCCAGGCTTGCCAGTGTGCATGATTTCCATAAAGAGAGAGAGAGAGAGAGAGAGAGAGAGAGAGTTTAACTTCCACTCACAAACTAGGTCATTTTGGTTTAATTTTATTTCAATAATTCGCTTGCGCGTAGGGGTCTTTAGCAGTGGGAGGAAACCAGAGGACCTGGAGAAAACCCATGAGGTTGGACAGTTGTGTACAACTGGGGAATCGATTTCCATAAATAAATATAAAAAAGTAAAATTTACCGAGTACCATATTTCCATAAATACCCTCTCCATAAATAATATATTTACAGTAAACATCAGTAAAATATAACGAATACCATATTTCCATAATCAAAAAATAAAATATAGACCAACAATTTAACTATTTCCATAGTTAATTATGAAAGAAAAACCAGTGGTTGCCAGGCAAGATACCCCCACATTTTGCAAAATGTGAACAGAGAACAAAAAAAAAAAAAAAAAAAAAAATTTGATCTCTACAGTTTTCACAAGCTAAAAACGTGATTTTTTTTGTACAATCCCCATAATCCAGGAAGTTATGGACTGAAATGCGTGAATATCGAAAGGGATTGAGATCTTTGGGACATAAATATATTTCCTAAGTTTCATCAAAATCGGACAAATATTGTGACCTCTAGAGGGTCCACAACCTTGATATTACACAATTGGCGCACCAGGAGTGGCCATTTTTCTGGGCAGGTTCATTTCGATTTTCCCAAAATTCAAACTCAACTCTCTTTATGGTGCAATGGTGATATATTCAATTGGTTTTTAAAATCAGACCAAAATTGAGACCTCTAGAAGATCCACAAGCTAAAATATTATGGTCAGATATGTGCGAATATCCAAACGAAAGGAGATCTTTGGGATATAAACATACATTTTAAGTTTCATCAAAATAGGACAAAAATTGTGACTTCTCGCATGTCCTTCAGGATAAAAACATATTTTAAGTTTCATCAAAATCAGATAAAAATTGTGACCTCTAGAGGGTCCACAACCTTGATATTACATACTTTTAACACTGTCATTATGGTGTAACAGTGATATATTCAAATGCTTTTTAAATTGGATAAAAATTGGGACCACTAGAGGGTCCACAAGCTAAAAACGTGATTTTTCGTACAATCAGGGGTCATAATACAAAAAGTTAGTCCGATATGTGCAAATATTGAAAGGAATCAAGATTTTTGGGTTATAAACAAACATTTTATGCTTCATCTAGAGTGGCCACAAGCTAAAAACGTGATTTTTTGTACAATCAGGGGCCATAATCCAGGAAGTTGTGCATAAATATAGAAAGAAACCGAGATCTTTGGGAGATAAACCTATATTACAAGTTTCATCAAAATTGGAAAAAAATACAGAAAGAAACCAAGATCTTTGGGAGATAAACCTATATTACAAGTTTCATCAAAATTGGAAAAAAACTGTGACCTGTAGAGTGTCCACAAACAAAATGTGAACGGATTCACGGACGTCCGGATAGGGGCGACAACAATATATGTCCACATGAAAATGTGGGCATATAAAAACTATTTACAGCATACCAAGAACAATATACCTAGAGCAGCATTTTGACGCATATTTCAGTAAATAATATAAAAGAAAAACACCAAAATATTTTCAGTATAACCAAGTAAAATACCTGATACAATGAACTGTATTTCTGTAAATAGTTATAAAGAAAAAAAAAAACATATTTTATAGTATATATATATATAGAGAGAAAAATATACCTCTCTAGCAACATTTAAAAATGTCTGTATGTTATTATAAAAAAAAAATTCCAAAATATTAACAGTACAACCAAATAAAATACCTAATACAAGATAAAGCAACGTTCTGAACCATCATTTTCTAGTTCCCAACTTAAACTCAATTGAATATTGCTGCAAACTATGACCCACTTCGAAGCTTAAAATCAAAAGACCCAAGAGAAATTTGGTTGGTTTATAGAGAATATTCGAATTAATTCAAAATTCAACGTCTTACAAAACTAATGTTGATGACATGATCCTGTTTTAATCCATGTGAGTTACAAGAGTTGATATCATTCATGAAATAACTTTATTTTCTAGTGCCGGTTTCACAAGATTAGATCATAATTCATATACAGTTCTACTTGAAAAAAGGCCAGTATGAAAATCTTTTTGTTTGGTTTAGGACTTTGAAATAATATCTCATGAATTTCAAGTCCTGATGCACCATTTGAGCAGTATAGGAATCACTTGCAGTATTTACAAAGATGTGGAATTAAAATTTCACAGATTTAAGTAATAAGCCTGTCGCCATTTTGTTGATGGCAAAAATTTATTGGAAGGTCTTTTTTTTTTTAAATTCGATTGAATCCAAGTCGGGACATTATCTTGCGTTAATGTTTTGATTTCTTAATTAAATATTAAATAATCAGAGTAGATATTAGCATGGCTTAAGCCGTGAGAAATTTGATAATTTACCGAAAATGTAAATGGTGCATTATTAGCAATCTTGTAGATGCTAATCAGTGTTACATCAACTTAAGATCTAAACCGTTTTAAATTAAGGCCAAAATAAAGGATTGATAATTAGTGATGATGCAAGCTCTATACTATTAAATGCTTGTTTGTTTCCAAAGACGGGGGTGGGTGGTGACCAAATGGTTTAATGCGTAAAATCTTTAGGTCTGTCATTAAGTCAAGTGGCGTTCTTTCGATTCCCTGGAGATTAGTCACCTGTCATTGACAATTGCCTTATTTCCAGGCTTGCATCTAATAGATGTTATACATGTAGGTCTACATTCAAGGCAACAGGCAGATAAATATTATCTATTAGATTACATTTCTGAAACAAATTTTTTATCTTATATTGGCCTGATTGCATTACACTTTTAATTGTAGTTGAACTGGTTCTGGGAAAATTAGACTTTGAAGTTGGACAGCTTTATGAATAATAAAGGAAGCAAAACAGGTTACATGTGTCAAATAACCAGATTTTGTGAAATAAATCTTTATTTGCTGAAAATTAGAAGAAAGGATAATTTTCTGTTTCCAAACTTCCAACATTAACTGTGTTCTTAGTTCTAGCCTATTGAACCATTCTGTTAGTGTTGACGCTGTTGACGTTGTTGTGTTCGTTCCGGTAGTGTGTGGCTCCCAACCATAGAGACAAGACAAATTTAAACATATCAAACATAGATGCACTATTAATTTGATGACTTAACGCGGTCTGCTTTGCAAACAATAATTTCGATATTTTATAATGTGAAAGGAATGCTGCATAATCATTGGACACTATTATAATTTTAATATAATAATTAAAATAAGGGGAGATAACCGATACCAGATAATCTACCCACGCGACGTGCTCCAAATCTTCCACAAAAAAATATGAGACAAATATTTGGACTTAAATTGTAACCATGACATCATTTCTAATATACAAGTATCGATTATAGTCTCTGAACCATTTAACATCACGCTTGCATGGTATCATTACCTTCAAAATATGTTTACTAAAATGCAAAGTATTTCCCCCAGTATTCGGCTTCGGGAAAATTCGATTCGACCTTGACCTGCGTCATAAATTGCACTTATATCATGGACAATGTTCGTTCCTATAACCAGCTGGTCAGATACGATTCGAAGACTGGATGTGATTTATGTTGCAGTCGTGTGCTGCATCTGAAACTGTGATTTTAAATAAGAGCTGTGATAATAAACCAAATTCCGCAAATTGAAAAATAAATTGTGATTGTGAATGATGTAAACGATGCAATGGACCAAGAAAAGATAACTCTAAGACTCTTTCCAATTTTCCAAGGTAAACAATCTTCGGGTCAGGTCAAGACCTCGATCAACAACATTAAACTGTTCAAAGTTAAAACTTTTTATCTTCTTATCGGCCTTTTTACACATAACTAATTATGCTCATTTGTTGGATGTATATTTTACTGTTGGCACTGATTTGACTTAATCTGCATCTGAATTTAATTTTTGGATGTGTTTCAAGTTTTGGGTTGACTCTTCGATTATGAATAAACTACTTATAACCATTTGTTATAAACTCACCCGTGTGTTTGAAATCACCTCCCGTTAAATTAAATCCATTCTACAACTAAATATTCCACTTGGGCTAAAACATTCATGTGGTCATGCTGGTTAATTTGATAACCACATATGTGTGGGGGGTGGAGTGCGGCAACGAAACATTTTTCGCCAGTCGTCACCCAGGCCCATGCAGTTTGCCTGGGACCCAAATTCGATGGCCTAAAACATCACAGGATCAGGCTGGTTAATTTGATACAACATATGTGGGGCCGGATCGTGAGCAAAAAGCGCAATAGGCAAACACACACACATCTTTGATTTTATTTATGTAGATGATTTGTTCATAATACAAAAGGCATAAGAAAGGCCCATGGAATAATTTTCTACTTTTTTTTTTTAAAAAAAAAGAAGTTATTATTATTATAATATTATTATTTTTTTTTTCTATTTTCAGGCCCATGTCCATAAAACTGAGAGGACAGTAAAACAGACAACTAAATTTCGATATCTGTAAATTGAAGGCAAAAAACTTTAAAATGAAGTTTACTTGTAGCCTGACAAGAACTACACTTTCTCTCTCTAAATTTTACTGCCAACATTTAAAGCTACTTAACATGAAGAAAACATGGCCAAATATTTTGATTTGTCGTCATTTTGGTCAACCGGTCGCCCAAACGCATCCGCATTTGATAAATGACGGAGAAGTTACCCCAGGGTTGACAAAATCAGAATTTCTGTCCCGTAGAATAAGGCTTGTAGAGAAAGCAAGAAGGACGTTTAAAGGAGTTAAAACCGTCAAGGATCATATACTGATAATCCCAGGAGCTTCGAAAGTTTTTATGACAAACGATATACCATACCCTTTTAGACAAAATACAGATTTTCTTTATTTATGTGGTTTTCAAGAGCCTGATAGTGTGCTAGTTTTAAAAACTGGAAATGAAACCAGTGAAAGAAATCACACGTCCTGCTTGTTTGTGCCTGAGAAAGATCCTGAAAAGGAATTATGGGATGGACTACGATCGGGTACAGGAGGCGCATTAGAACTCACAGGCGTTGACCTGACGTATGATATCAAGCTATTTGAAGAATTTTTAAACAATTTTTGTAAATTAAATTCTGGATTTGTTTTGTGGTATAATTTTCTGCGTCCAGTTAACCCAAAGATTCATAATTCCGTTACTCAGGGAATGATGTTGGAATCAAAATATAAATGTATGGAAGACCCAACACGCCTTTGTCAACAATTGAGAGTGATAAAATCTCCAGCAGAAATAGAATTAATGACGCAATCTGTGGAAACGGCATCTCAGGCTTTTATTGATGTTATGAAGTTCTCCTCCCCAGAGGTATATTCCTGTGTGTAATTCCCAAGCTTGGACATAAGGCACCTGTGGCTGTCACAGACTTTGCCAGACACAAATTATAACACAATGCTTTTATTAAAACATATATAGGTTGTGTGACAATTTGTGTCTGATAAAGTCTGTGACGAGTGCCTTTGTGTCCAGGCTTTGTGATTGCCAAAACTCCAAATCTTTTTTTATGTGTGTATGATGGATGGGGGCATGGCTCATGGGTGTGTTCAGGAGTTTAAACAGGGGAAAGTGAGCCCACACCTAACTTGATATTGTCTCCACCCCAGACTCTGCCCTGCTCGAATTTCTTAACACACTCAGTAGGTCAGCGGTAGCCAGTCTATGGCACACTGCACACATATCTGTATAGGATTAGAGTGAAGTGATTCCAATGCACCAGCAATGCTTCGCACATTAGATTGTCTGATGTTATTTCGATGAATGTAGGAGTAAAGTAGTGAGTTAAGGTGTTGGTTGCTAACTGGAAGGTCTTGGTGTTACTGTTGATCCTGGTGTTGTCCAAGAAAATCCTCTGTAGTGCAGGACAGAGAGCTTCACAAGGAAGCAACATCTACATGTTCGGATAGAACAAAAAAAAATTGAGGTTCCATGTACACCTTTTCGTGGACATCAAAAAAACCATAACAGTTGGAATTCATTGCGGCCCAGGCAAAACTACGCTCGCAGCACACTGCATGGTGTATACCTGTATTTCACTTCTCTGCAGATAATCAATGTTTTAAAAAGTTATTACCTTGTTTAGAGATTAAACCCTATAGGTATATATTCAAGTTTTTCTCCCTCGGTTTTTCAGGTAAATGAATCAGCTTTATATGCTAAAATGGATTATGAGTGTCGGATCAGAGAGGCTGAATTTTTAGCTTACCCACCTGTTGTTGCTGGTCAGTATAAAAGCAAATATAAACTTGTCCGGCAGTAAATCTTAAAATGGCCAGACCGCTTTGATTAGGGTCAAAAATAGAATCCTCCTTTCCTTGGATTTACCATGAGATGCGAGATACTACACTTATTCAAAAAGCCAAATTTTCGAGAGTGATTAAGTACTCATTACTCCTGCAGATTTCATGAAAATATATGAAACTAACAGTTGACCTTGCGCTCGCTACATGGGTTGTGCCCGAAATCGAAAGTAGTAAAACTCTGAAACCGGAGGCGTAGTGCAGTGTTACCAGGTCTATGTTACTCCCATGTCTGAGCTACCCCATTACACCAACTTTCAGCCTCAGGACAGCCCTAGTGTAGCTGCCAACCCTGAACAGACAAACGACAGTCACAAATATTAGTATAGATAATGGAATATATCGTAGTAGAAATGTCATAATAATTTGTCTGTGTTAACATTGAGCTCAGTATGGGTTATAGGTGACACTGACTTGTAATGACCAAATCATCTGCCGTGGATGCTAAATACTGACAAATCTTCAAGTCATAATATCTTTGTAAATACTGAAGAGAATTGAACCATATTTTGGACTGATATAACTTTTAGAGATTCAACTTGTACAATAGTGTAGTTTACAAGAATTCAAAATCTTCAAGTGACAATCAGAGACTTTTGTATGTAATAAAGCTCTGCAGATGCTATGATCCCTTGACATCATTTTGTTGACATTCCAGAAACTCTTATCAAATACCAATGAATTATTACATAAACTTCAAGATGCATTATGTAAGATTTAGATAAAGGGCTGACAGTTCTCACTATAATAGTTTTTAAAGCAGACAATGATAAATGAGTAAATTGGGGATTTGAAATTACTTTTTTCAGAGCAAAGTTATCAGGATTTAAAGTGTTCACAATATAGTCTTAATTGTCAAGATTCATTGTTACGATAATAACCAAATTCCCGATTATCTATTTTTAAATTAAATTATTAAAGATGCATTATCACTGTTTGAAGTTTTGACTTGTTTTTAAATTAAATCATTGCATGGCGACCGTATTTTAATGTGTTAATATCTGCATTTTCTAATGTTCTAGAGAGTTGATTATAGGCTTGTCATGTGAATAAATGTCTAATTAATAATTTATATATAACATTTAAGAACCAAAGAAAGACCTGCAATAGACAGATTAGCTCTTACATCATGCATCTTTAACTATAATTTTACAATCTGTTTGCACTTTGCAGGAGGTCAAAGGGCAAATATTATTCATTATATCAACAACAATCAGCAGATTAAAGGTGGTGAAATGGTGCTAATGGATGCTGGCTGTGAATATCATGGATATACTAGTGATATTACTAGAACATGGCCAGTCTCAGGTACCACGATTATCCTTCAACATATACTCTAAATCTAAATAAACATCGCCAAAATAACACACAATGAGGTTGATTCGTTCCAAATTTGTCTCTTTTGAAATCCTCCAGCACAATCTGAACCTAAATTTGTACCTGTTTGTTTAAGTGCTTCAGCCTAGTCATATAGCGCCAAGTGTTCAATCTCTGTGTTTCCTAGAAATGTCATCAACATTTTCCGATGTGGTTCCCCCTTGTCGGTGGTGCAGGACGGGGGTGTTCTGGCAAGGAACAACATCATATAGTCGTTCGGAGGGGATGTAAATTCATGATCCCATTCGGTGCAGAACAGTAGAATGTTAAACCCCATTTCATTTCTTTTTGCTTTGAGGTGCCTGTCATGGAAATAAGAAGTCATCTGTAGTCATCATGCTTCATGGATATTGGACATGATTCACACTACTTTCGCTTTATTTCAGGAAAGTTTAGTCCAGCCCAGGAGAAGTTATATAATGGTGTCCTGTCAGTTCAAGTAGCCTGTATAAACTTGTGTACCGTTCAGTTCTCTTTAGATCAAGTTTATCATGCTATGTTAACTTTCATTGGTCAGCAGTTACAGCTGCTAGGATTGGTTGAACCTAATCTCCAAACATCTAAATTAATGCAGGTTTGTTAGCTACGCATTATTTATGTTCGATAATTCTAAAGTAAACTAACGCTAAGCAGTGGCCAAACCAGGGTTGTAAAAATCCACAAGCCCAATGCCCAGGGGTCCCTATTTAGCCGTTCTGACTAGTGCCCTTTCACTCCTGACTTTTTCATAGTTTGTGAATTTTTTTTCATGCCCCTGGGCCAAACATTGTGTGAGTATTGGTCTATAATATCACCGTTAGATCAAAATTATGGTCGATTTCAAATTCCGTGAAAATTGAACCTAGATCATCTGACAAAAATGCCGCTCCCTTTTACGCAAATAGTATGATTATATTAACATGTAATACTAAGGTTGTGGTCTCTCTAGAGTTCACAATTTTCATCTGATTTTGATGAAACGTTAAATATATGTTTATATCCTAAAGATCTCGGTTCCTTTTGATCTTGAGGCATGTCAGACCTTAAAATCCTATATTATGGCCCTTGATTGTACTAAAAATCATGTTTTTAGCTTGTGGACAATCTAGAGGTCACAATCGCTTTTTAAACTTGTTCTCTGTCCATCCCTTGCAAAGTGTGGGTGTATCTTGCATGGAAACCACTTGTTATGTTTTTCAGAAAGTTAAAGAGTTTTGTCCCCACCATGTGAGTCATTATTTAGGAATGGATGTTCATGATACCGGTGAAATATCTCGTAGTATCAATCTTCAACCGGGTATGATAGTCACAGTCGAACCAGGTACGTTACAGAATTTATTATATTTTTCTTAATACTAAACAGAATTGATTGAAGTGATATTTGTTTTAGCGAATCAAGTTTAGAAGGAATTCAAAATTCCTCAAATGGTGATCAGTTGTGAGAAACCATCATTATTAACATGAAAGTTCATCACGATTTTCTGGCGTGGTTACTCCTCATCAGTGGTGTACAACAGATTAAGGGTCTGGCAAGGGACAACGTATTGTCGTTATGATGGGACGAAAAACTGAGGTGGTGTGTACACATCAACGTGCACGTAAAAGAAGCCTTGACAGTTGTAATTCAGTATAAGAGTAAGCCGTAACGGCACTGTTTGGGTACAAGGTCCCTAATTATAATTGAATTTTTTTGTAGGAATATATATAAAAGAATCTGACACATCAGTACCAGAGGAGTTTCGGGGTATTGGTATACGTATAGAAGATGATGTGTTGATAACAGAGACTAAACCTATAGTCTTGTCGTCCAGTTGTCCAAAGACAGTAGAAGATATTGAATCTGTTATGACATCATCATTTGGATGATCATTGTATTATTTAAACCCAGATCAGCTAATTGTGTGATAATGACAATAATGAAAATAAACGTTTATATTTTCTTAACATTTTTGCTTCTTGCTCTGTTCTTATAATTTGAAAAACAAATGCAGCTACGTTTAGAATTTTTCATGAAACATCAATCAAAGTAAAGGATTTCCACAACTACGGAAAAAATGATTCTGTGTTGATACATGAATATGGTATTTATTTGTACAAGTTTCTGGGTTTCAGTTTGTCTTAGTTTGTGCACATATGATGATATTTTACTGGATAATCAACTACCTAAAAAACCCAACTGCCAGTTATGCATGGGCAATGGAACCTTAGGTAAAGTCAAGACTGAGTTGCACCCCTTTTCGAAATAAATCCCATAAAAAGTCATATGATTTGTTAACAAAAAAAGTTAATTTACTATATTTAGAATTGTATCATATTATTGATAAACCTGTGTTTTTGTTATTGACAAGAGGATACTTGTTGAAATGTTATATACTAATAATGATGCTAGTGATTGTTATCCATAAAGTTGTGTTTGTTTTGTTTTAGTGTTTTTTTATCACTAAATGCCTTACACACAGTATGCTGAGTGTCATTTTGCCCATCATTGACTTGTGTTGCTTCAGTGAGGGACTAGATTCACTAGGCTGTATAGATTCTCCCATGCAAGTTTCACTATCAGCATTAGTTTGAACTGCAAGGAAAGATTGGACTGTATGTAAACAGGGGTTAGTGTATGTTAATAGTGCTTGGCTTCATTTTAAATTCACAGAAAACTATACCACTCTATGGAATGTAACACCTGATCATATCTGGTTGAAATCCTGCAGTTAGATTGATTTGCATTATTGCCAGTACACCGGCCTCTGTTGTTAACTGTCAGAAGACCAGCACCTGTTGTTAAGTGACAGAAAACCAGTCCCTATTAAATGTATTGCTAACCGTCGGACCCTGTTGTTAATTGCAAATGGTTGCTAAAAAAATGTAAAGTTATTCTCATGGGTGGAGCATCATTTAGGTTTTGTTTTTCTACCAGACATGCCACAGTAATGTTCTGTTTTGGGAAAGTTTTTGCAATTTTGTTCCCACATTCTCTTTGGTTCAATATCTGTACTTCCCTACTCAATCACTGAGCAAGAAAACTGTAGGGAGCATACATGTAAAACACAAATATTAATATCTTGCCATGACAAGATGATAAGTGCTGTGTTAGGTGAAGAGAGGCCCTAGCTTATTCTCCTCATTAGGCCTTTCCCAATCACCACACCCTCATAAAGATCAGTGTCGTGTTTAGGTGAAGAGAGGCCTTTCCTAATCACCACACCCTCATAACTAGATGAAGATCAGTGTCGGATTTAGGTAAAGATATGCCCTAGATTATTCTCCTTGTTACACCCTTCCAAAACACCACACTCTCATAACTAGAGGAAGATCAGTGTCGGGTTAAGGTGAAGTATCGGGTAGTTTGTCCATTTATCCATTGATGGTGTGCATTAGAATACAATTAATGTCCTAGATTACATAATGGGGAGGAAACTATTCCATAAAAGCTGGCATTAGCGCTCAGTGTATGGAGGATATGATGAGATATAATTTCTATATGGCAATCTGGCAGTGTCAAAACTATTGTACACCATGATCAGATGTCCTGTAATTTTTGAGGCCCTATAGGCTTCAGTCTGTCAAATCTATAGGGAAATCTTGATGTTGAGGCCCTAGGTTTCAGTCTGTCAAGCTTATAGGTAAATCTAATTGAGGCTCTAGGTTTCAGTCTGTCAAATCTATAGGGAAATCTTGATCTTAAGGCCCTACTCTTCGGTCTGTCAAGCCTATAGCTAAATCTTGATCGTGAGGCCCAAGGCTTCAGTGTGTCAAGCCTATAGGTAAATCTTGAGGCCATAGGCTTCAGTGTCAAGCCTGTAAGTAAATCCTAGATCTTGAGGTCCTATGTTTCAGTCTGCAAAAATCTTAAAGCCCTAGGTTTCAGCCTGCCAAGCCTATAGGTAAATCTTGATCATGAGGCCCTAGGTTTCAGCCTGCCAAGGTAAATCCAACATTGAGTAAGACCAATCTGATTAAAATACAGATCTATATTTCGCTTCGTTTTTTATACTTTCGATGGCCTACACTACATGAAGATCTGACAAGTTATAGTGATAGGTCACGTCAGGGGTCAAAAGACCGACTTATGACCCTTTTGACATCAGACATTTGATTAACCAATCAGCATTGATGTTACTAGTGGATTACCCACAGTTCCGTGAAAAACACCCCTAAAGCTCGTCGTAACAGACCGTTTCATTGGCTTATCAATGACACCATTCAGAACACGAGTTAAATAACAATTCTTCCAGATCCAAGTGTAGTTAAGACAAGTAAAACGAAATTTTGAACTATAAAAACGAAACGAAATAGGATATGTGTTTTGACCAGATTGGAGTAAGACCCACCGTGGACCATTTCAATTACTCCCCTTGCCATGAGAAGATGATAAAACGTAATGATTGTATGCTTCAAACAATTTTTATACAAATACAAAATAAATTCAACAAGTTTAGATAATTTTATACAAAAGTAAACAGTTTATTTACAATACAATACTGCCATGGGTATGTTGGCTGAGCATTAATTATTTGGTTCATGGTTTAACTTGATACATTGGTTTAAATGTAAACAACACTGACAGAAATGAAATGGGGTTTAACATCTTACTGTTCTGCTCCGACTAAATTATGACAGACATTACAGAATCTGCAATGGGTATGTTGTTTGAGTATTAATTATTTTGGTAATGGTTTAACTTGGTCTATTTTTAGCATTGTATACAACATTTTAATGGGTGGTTTTCAAGTGGCTAAAACTATTTAAGGCCAGCTCAATTTTCTTCAAGGTCGCGGAGATGTAAATAAGGTTAGGACACGTGATTGTTGGCGAGATTGTAGGTTAGGGTTAGCATTGGGAATAGGTCCAGGATTAGGGTTAGGGTTGGGATTAGCGCTGGTCCTGTTTAAATCACGTGACCTTTGACCAAACTTGATGTTGGCCTTATCAAATAGATCTAACCTTTTAAAATTCATGGTCAAGGGAAATAACTATGCATCAAATTGACCTCATTTCTCTCCTCTAACCATTACCCAAACTTTTGGATTTACATGAATTAGATAATAGACCTTGTATGGTTCAATTTGTGGAATTTGGTTAATTCAAGAGCTAAATTTGCCTATTGCAGGTCTTTAGGCCTTAAATGTTTTATAAATTATTAATTAGACATTTTTTAACATGACAAGACCATAATCATCGGATGACATTACTTTCAGCAAACAGTTAATTTGTGACAGTCTTGGATTCTATTATTAGTAAGATCTTTACTTTAAACACAACAGAGATAAAATAAACTTCTAGTTTATTGTATTCACTAACCAAATGTAAAGACTTCACCTAATACGTATTATGTCTTTAATAATATTATATTTTCATCATCTCCAGACCCTCCTACACTGCTATTTGTTGGGGTTTTTTTAAATTCCCATGTAACGTGCATGTCTTTAACAATATTATATTTTCATTCAGATTCATACCCTCCTGCATTGTCTATTGAGGTAATTATTTCCATTAGGATGTTGTAAAAACTGAGCTGCCATGTCCATTAGTTAGCAAATTATATTTAGTCCCATACTGCTAACAATAACAAATTTCACAAAACATTAATATAAACACATCTATATGTATATAGCTTCTGTCTTCAAGTCTTTTTCATTAAATACACTTTACACATAGTTTACCAGTCTAATTTGACTGGATAATCCCCCGATAAACAGGCCGTACAATGTCCTACTGCCTGGCCATTGTCTTGAATTCCCTCTTGAACAGCTTTCACTAAACCTTCTATACTTAAATATTTGACACTGTCGGCACCTGAAAAATAACAAAATGGATTCCTGTAATAATAATATGTACCCTTATACCATGCTCAAGGCACTACAAAGTCTTGGTGCCAGGATAGGCTGCAATTATATAGCCAAGCAGGGATAATAAACCCAATTTCTTACATCTACCAATCCTTCCCAAAAATCTAATGCAGTAGGGAGGTTTTTATTTGTTTTGTTTTTTATTTTGTCAAAGGATCACTTACTGGGCTACATCACTTCTCATAAACATCACATTTCAAGGTACATTTATCTCATCACATTGAGTATGATTATCCAGTATCATTTACATTGTCGGTCACATTTATCAGGGTTGCCTTGATAAATGAGTCTATAGCACATTGGGGTTACTTCCTGTGAACCAGAATATATTTTTAATATGGCCATAATTTTGAATGTTTCCTGTGTGGATGTTCAGCTAGAGGCAATAAATTCCACAGGACAGGCATTATGTGAACATACAATCTGTATACAAAAGATTTTAAATAGATGAAAAGCAGACCTTAAATCCTTATTGAAAGAGAATAATCAAGAAATGGGGTGTAATGTCCACTCAAACCAAACTAGGCCATTTTGGGAGAATTTTCAAGAAATAAGGAGTACGGTAATGTCCACTCAAACCAAACTAGGTCATTTTGGGACTTACATGGTACAATTTTATTTCAATAATTTGTTTGCGCTTTTGGGGGTTTTCGCAGTGGGATGAAGCTAGAGGACCCAGAGAAACCCACCAGGTTAGGCAGGTATTGAAACCATGCCACTATATTCAATAACAGACCTTCTGATCTAAGCAAAAGCCCAGATGGGCGAGCCAATGATGCGAGTCTACTGATAAAATACTTGATTTAGAATAGGCCCTTAAGATGAAACACAATCAACAGAATTGATTAATAACAGTGTGATTCTGTGGTTTGTCATTGTGAATATTTGAATCATAATCTTCAGGGTTCTAGTGCTTGAAAACTGTTTCTTATTGCTCTTTACAGGGGTTGGGGTGCCAACTCATAATCAGTTAGACGATCAAACACATCTGCCTTTATTTTGCTGCAAACCTGTCAATAGATTTGGTTAATGTTCAAATCAATATCGCACAGTCTGATATGGAGGGCGTGTACCACCACTATATCAGGCCCCGGTTTCACAAAGCATTCTCTGACTTAAGTTCGTAATTTACTCAAAATCTTTGATCCAGAAACACAAAATTTGCATATAGTTTCTTATTGATGTATTTGGTACATTAAAACAACAAAAGCCTGAGAATGTATTTTGAAACAGGGGCCTGGCTAATTAGGTCTACAATGTATGTAGGGGTATATATAATGTTGGACACCACAGTGTGCCCAGAGATAAATGTACTTACATAAATGTTGAGGTAAATCTTCTAATGGTATTCTGTTGGCTATTAATTCTTGTTTAGTTGGAATGTTGATACCCATATAACATGGGTATTTAATAGGCGGTGACGCCACCCTGACATGTACCTATCAATATATATAATCTCATATTTAAATTTGAGGAGAAGCCTGTACTTGGATACATCACATTTAAATATGAGGAAACACCACCTGTACATCTACCTCCCACATTTAAATGGGAGAAGCCACCTATACACATCTCAATAGGAGGAGACACCACTCGTACATGTACCTATCACATTTAAATAGGAGACACCACTCGTACATGTACCTATACACATCTCAATAGGAGAAGACACCACTCGTACATATTTACATAGGAGGAGAAGCCACCCGTACATGTACCTATGCACATCTCAATAGGAGAAGACACCACTCGTACATGTACCTATCACATTTAAATAGGAGGAGACACCACTTGTACATATTTAAATAGGAGGAGAAGCCACCCATACATGTACCTATCACATCTAAATACGAGGAGAGACCTGAACATGTACCTATCACATTTAAATAGGAGAAGCCACCCGCACATGTACCTATCACATTTAAATAGGAGACACCTGTAAATGAACTTATCACATTTAAATAGGAGGAATATATACAAAAAATATAATTATCAGATTTAAATTGGAGGAGACATCATCCTCACGCATGTACCTATCAAAATATATAACATTACATTTAATAAGGAAGAGATGCCACTATTTTAGGACTGATAATCCTTTTAGAGAATCAAACCCCATAATATTGTAGTTTGTAAGGGATTTAAAATCCTTTGAATGCTAACCAGCAGCTCTAAAGAAGTTAGTACCATAAAATGAGGTTTAGTGGCTTTGATTTTTATAATCAACAAAACCACAACATGACTTACCTCTTTTGCACCATATTTTTTCAATAATTTAACAAGGGCTTGCATGGTGTTACCTCTGACGATGGAGTCATCTATTAAAACAATTCGTTTTCCATCAAAGTTATCTGTTAATGGTCCAAATTTTTTGGCCACGCCTAGTTGTCTTAATCGTGTAGTGGGCTGGATAAAGGTCCTACCTATATATCTATTTTTAGAAAAAATTTCTGTGTATGGAAGCCCAACCTGAAATAGAAAATGAAAACAAATAAGTCTAGAATGATTCCTAAAACCAGTGATCTCATTTCAGACGTAACTACCAAAGCAGGCTGTTTAGTATTAACAAAAGAAATAAAATGGGATTTAACGTCCTACTCTTCTACTCCAACTTGGCTGTTGAAGACAGGTTATGCCATACAGTGTGCTATGAGGAAAATTTTCCTCAGACTGTGGCACTGCGGCCTTTCTTATATCGAATTACAACTGCTAAAGACTATTTTACGTGCACATATAAACAACTATAGGTTGTCTCTTGCAGATTAAAAAACATTATGTAAGAATTAGTGAAGCAATAAAACACATAGTTTCAATATGATCGAAAATTAATTTAAGTCAGCTATCAATGAAATAAAATACCCACAATTCTGAAAATGCAGTGATTCGGAGGATACTTGATTGAACTTTCCAGAATTGAATTCTCTCAATCCCCCAAATAGTGACAATCACATAAAACACATAGTTTACATATCATTGAAACATTGTGTTCATAAAACTTTTTAAACTCAGTTTTTTTTTTCGTTTCAATCGCAGGCATAAAAACTTTAACATACTGTTTTTGCATATTCCACAGCTGAGGGTGTGGCTGATTCAGGAACAGTGCTAACTATGTCAGCATCTGCTGGTGCCTCTAGTGCTAGTTGTCGACCACATCGTTGTCTGGCAGTATACACCATCTGACCTATAATACAATATAAATAGATTACCTCCTAGAAATAACTTTATTTTAAGAATTAACATAAAGAACACTGCCCTATTTTTGAGGGGCATAAGTCTATATATCGAAAAAAAAATTATTAATTCGCTTGTGTGTAATAGGTTTAGCTGTGGGAGGAAACAGGAGAAAACCCACAAGGTTGAACAGGAGACCCTGGTCCTTGTCATGTACAAGCGGGGAATCGAAACCATGCCACTTGATTCAAGAACTTATGATCTAATGCGCACACATTAAATCATTCAACCACCCAACCCACTTTAGTCAAAGCAATTTTAGAGCTACAAAACACTTACTTTCAAAAATACTATCAGCCCTTGCAAAATAAACATATTCAAATATACAGAAGGCCGGTAACTGTTCATTAGGTCTAGGTACAATACCACAAGATTTTATTCCACTTTTACTGATTTCTACAATCTCACCTGAAATAACAATTGATTGATAATTTAAGTTTCTTTTCATAACTAGCTGAGTGTTAATGTCTGCTTCCAACAAGTCCGATATTGCAGACACAGTTCTGGTTAATGTTAAATCATAGCCGATCTTGGAGCACATAGCCGATCATTATGCACTCTAGTATAATATGTTTGCAAAATATTCCCTTTTTTCTTAAGTTGCTTCCCTTATCGTTAGTTTGTTTTTTATTTAGAGTGAAGCCTGTATCACTACAGGCCTGGGACCGTACAGCGCAGTGGACGTTTAGAGCTAAAACCGCATCCATTCATTTGATCTGATATGTTTATGGTGTCTGTATATAGTGTGTCAGGATATACAGAATTACCAGTATTTAAACTAATTAGCCTGGTTTATAGAATTACCAATATTTAAAATGATTACCAGGACATACAGAATTATCAATATTCAAAATGATTACCAGGATATACGGAATTCCCAGTATTTAAATTGATTAGTAAGATATACAGAATTACCAATACTCAAACTGATTAAAAGGACTCACCCGGTAAAACATCTCTATAAAATTTTGCACCAATTGTGTGAAAAGAACATGTTTCTGATCCTACGACAAAACCTTCGACATTTTCATCTGGTACCAAATCCATACCTGAAAATATACCGAATTGTTTTATGCCACACCAATTTGATTTTATGAAACAGTTGTTTTAATTTTTCTTCTTTAACAAGCAAGAGTACTTTTTGTTCCAAATTTTTAAAGTTTTGAAATTTTAAACAAAACATCTTTCACATGACTCAAGTGGCTATTTATTAATCAACACGATGAAGAACAGAAAGAAAACCCTAGTCGAAATGTTTCTTAGAAATAAGTAGTAATTGTATTCCATAGAATTGCAACCTGTGTAATGTGAATTTTTCCCATAATATGGTATTTAAACCAACTTTTCCTTTTGTGCCACAAGTTCAATTGGTAAAAGAAATTTTAAAACTTACTTTTAAAACTAGGGGGCAGTATTTTTCCTATAGAGAGTGGTCTGTTACCAAATGGATCTCGAACAGCATAAATAACATCTTTATACATTATTAACAAGGCATACGATAGGGTTGCTACTTTCATCATAGATTTTATTCTGAAATAAAAATATGAAATTAGCAGAACTTATTGAAATTAAATAGGGTTCTTCATCTCATTAATGTAAACAACATATATCAATTTCAAAGCAATCAGATGATAAATGTTGTCTGTAAAGCGTTCACAAGAAATTGTGGGCGACGTGCGGACCAACCGATGGATGGACAGACTAACGGGGCAACAGCAATATACAACCACATTTCCATGTGGGCGTATGAAAATGGATAATCAAGGCTTTGTTCATTATCGTTACAATTGTATTTGACAATTAAGAAGACTTTAAAGATAGATATCTTTGCTCAGAATAAAGTAACTTGACTAAAATATTCATTTTGCATTATCTATTTTTAAACTATTATAGCAAACCGGCCAACTTTTTTGTCTAAATTTTACATAATACACCATTAACCGTTTGGCACTGGAAAAAAACAAACTATTGGCTACACCAGTGAAGAATATTCCATTAGGAATCTGTTATAATTACCTGTTGACCCAGTTAGCACCATTAGGTTCCCCACAAGATGGAGGATGTGTTAGAAACTGTGTTATTAATTCGCTATCAGAATCTGTGGACAATCCAACACCACTCTTTAATAACTGAAAAAGAAAGTGAAATCATGAAATAATTACTAAGGAACCAAGGGGGTACACAACACTCCCTTAAAGAGTAGGAGAGGCTGGACAGACCGGTAGATCTGTGAAGCTGCTCAATCAAACAATGATGCCAGCGGAGAAAGCAGAGCATAATAATTACTATGTCTTGGTCAGCACTTAATCATGTTTCTTATCCTGAATGTGTATAGAAAAGAAATGAAACGTCACAGTTTTCTTAAAATTGCAGACAATATAAACAAATCAGTGTCACATTTTATGTGTTCGAAAAGATCTTTTGATAGACGTCTGTCTAATTCGAAAGAATGCAAGCTTAGAGATTATTTACTGATGATATTTTAGTTCAAATGCTAAATAATCATTCGCGATCGGCTGCATAGGCAGTGCTGGATTTACCTATAGCCTTGGCAGGTTGAAGCCTAGGGCCTCAAGATCTGGTGGGCCTCCGACAAATGTGCATACAATTTGTGACACTGTCATAAGCTTTTTTTTACACGCACTGTATAGTCAAATATCCGTCATCATCCTCGGCTTTGCACAATTGTGTTTAAAACAATCTTCATCTTGGTCTAGTCGTGAGGGTGGGCCTAATAATATAATTGGAATAAGCTAGGGGCTCTCTTCATCTAAGACAGGTGCCCTGATTCCAGGCTTGTTTAAAGTATAGACCTACCTTGTGTCTGAGTTCTGGTGCATTAACTATTTCACCATTATGTGCTACAGCTATTTTACCATGGGCCGTATTAACAACAAAGGGTTGTATATTGATTAATTCAGATCCTCCCATTGTAGAGTAACGAGTGTGACCTGAAAATATTCAACATCACTTCTAACTTTAAAGATGCCTTCTAACGTACAAACTGCTAGGTAATTTGTTGATATATTTGGACTAAAAACATGTTCAAACTACTTAATCTATAAAAAATTTGCTTCAAATCGCTCTCAAAACATTGTATTTGTGAGCAATACCAAACAAGAAACATCCACTTAGCACAAACTAGGTCATTTTGGGAGTAGGGGGAGACCGGAGGAAACTGACAAGATTTTGCCGGTAACCCTACTCCTTATCATGTTCAAATGTTGGGTCAAACCCATGCCACTTGACCCAATGACAGACCTAAATAATCTAAATGTACTGTATGTATCCTACTTTTAAAGATACATTATTCAAGAGCTAAATCTGCCTATTGCAGGTCTTTCTTAAGGCTTTAAATATTATATAAATTAGACAATTATTAACATGACAAGACCATAATCTACTCTTGATGCTATGTTCTAGATTAGAACAGTTTGGCCATTTAATGATTTAATTTAAAGATGAAGAAGTGAGGCTAAACCTCGAATATACTGGTACCATGGTTATGTTAAGGAACAAATCTTGCCAAAACTACAAACAGTGATAACTTGGCTCAGAATAAAGAAATTTGAATGACATTTTCAATATATTCATTTTGCATTATCTATTTTTGAACTATTATACATGTAGCCAGAATGACCAGCTAGATCTTACATAATGCATCTTTAAAATATCAAAATGTGTTAGGTTTAAAGATACTTTCCCACATACAAACTGTGTGATTTGATGTTTTTATTTGGATTAAAACATATTCAAAATAATCAATCTATTAACCCTCTCAAAACTTTGTGTTTGCTGGGGGTACCTATAGCTATATATAAACTTTTGTTAGACGCCTTGTCTGTCACCTTAGGTTCATTTATGGAGAGTCCATTTTTCAGAATATATTTATCATTACCATACATATTGAGGCCTAAGTAAATTCTTAATTATTTTCTGTCAATATCTTTTTCTGCCATTTAATTGCAGTCTTTTGTACAGTGACACCCCTCAATGTTCCCAAAACTGTCTAACCATTTCATCAAGAAATAACAACCGCTCCCTCAGTCAAGCTAGCACACAATAAATAAGCTGGCAGACAACAGTCGGGCTGACAGACGACAGTCAGGCTGGCAGTTAGTGATACCCTGACGTTTTTTCCCAGTGCTTGCCCCATGGGTGTTTTCGGTAATCCAGTATTTTTCTAGTAAGATTGGGTGTCTATACTTTCCAAAATTGCCATAATTTTTTTGGAAATAACCACCCGATAAATACTTTCGGGACAATGTATCTTTAAATGTCTGGATGTACTTACCTATTCCCATATTTCCTTTTAATCTAATCATATCTTCGTTTTTAAAGATTTGTTCCACCAGACCCATTCCTTTCTTTGTTATAAACCGACCTTCTTCACCGGTAGTTGTAACAATACCAGCACTTTCTTGTCCTCTGTTTATATTCAAACACATATTTAGTAAAGAAAATGAAATAAGGTTTAACACCCTAATGTTCTGATACAACTGAGCTAATAAAGAGGGGCATACGCCATAGAGTGTGCGATTGAGGGAGAAATCTTGCCCAAACAGCAGTGCCACGGCCTACACTTATATCAAATTCCAACTTTTAAGGAGGAGAGCATCCACGGTATCCCCAGTGTTCTCATTTTGTTGTACTCCACTATACCCTGGGTTCAATTGAATACGTGAATACCCCATGGATAAACTTAGGGTATAGTGGAGTGGAATGGAATGAGAACACTGCAGACACTGAGGACAGGAGGAGAGAGAAAGTTAATTAATCCCTATTTACCCCAGCCTAGGTTGGTTTTTTTTTTTAATTTTTCTAACCTGGTTCTCATTTATCCGGGGTGTCTTCCTGAGTGCTTAGTTACATGGATTGTATGAATAAAAATTAGGCAAATCCGTGTACACATTGGCATCCAGTCCAAAGAACTTTTGCCACTTGGAATTTGAATACCAGTATTTTCTTTTCACTGGCTGAAATCCACCGGTTTAGAGATGTTAATAATAGTGGAACTGTGTATTTCCAGTTCAATTACTAAATGCCATTGAAACAATTCAAATAAAGGCCAGTCTTACAATTCAGCTACATTATAAAAAAGCCCCAAATTTCATTCTGAATCATTTTATTATCTAATACAATAAGAGATGACAGGCCCGCTGCCATTACAGACCCATTTCCAGGGGGTAAAATCGCTAAAATATAGTGCCCTCTAAAAAGGTGAGTGCCCTCTGAAAAACAATATGTTTTTTATATAACCGATTAAATGCTCATTTCCAGGAGGTGCGTGAGGTGCCTCCCTCCCCCCCCTGAAAAGGTATGCGATATGCTCTCTGAAAAACACTATCTTTTAACTATAAAGTTGTTCCCTCACCTGTGTTGTAAACCGACAAGACCGAGTGTAATGATATGTGGTATGTCTAATTCTGTGGGCCATGGTTCTATAGCTACAGCACCAAACACACCACAATAATGTCTCAGACCACTCTCTTCATTCTCACCATGTAACATAGGCTCACACATTGTCTTGAAAATTTATTTCTTCTACAAATCTGAAAGCAAACGGAGACATTATGAAATAAAATGAAATGAGGTTTAAAGTCCTACTGTTCTGCTCTGACTGTGCTAATGAAGTAGGGCATATGCGATACAGAGTGCTATGGTGGAAATTTTGCCTGGACAGCAACACTACGGCCTACCCTTGTATCGAATTCCATCTGCCAAGGGATCTTTTATGTGCAATCCAATGCGCACAGCAGCACACAGGACCTCAGTTTTTCGTGCAATCTAGACAGCTGTCCTTGTCAGACAAAATCTACTATAAAGGAATGAAGAAAACCATGGGCATTCTTTATGATAAAATAAAAATCTCTTAATTTTTTATGTGACCTGGTTGTTAAGACACAAATAATATCCAATAATTTTAAAAGTTTGATAAGTTACACAACAGATGATAGCTCAAAATGTCGCCACTATTGACTTATAGTAACTATGCAATAAAACAATGACTAGATTTAATAATATTGAAACAAGTGTAGGAGATTAGTGTATGAATGTACCTCTTACTGGTCTCAATTACAATGTATAATATTCTGTTCTAATAAAATGACAAGAACTATATTTATTAATATACATAACACAAGAAAAATATGTTTTATGTTCAAATGCTTGGTATATAAACTCTGAAAGTATAGGAAATGAAAGGACATGAAATAGGATTTAACATCCTACTGTTTTTTCTGATTAGGCTAAATGACTAGGTGCTGTTACTTGCCAGACCCTCTGTCCTACACCACTGAGGCACTGACAAGGGGGAACCACAGAAGAAAAACATCTTGAGGAACTTACTCAGCCAACACCAAGATCACACCCGAGACCTCCAGGTAAGCGAGCCAGCATCCACCCACTGAGCCACCAAGAACGAACCTGGGACCTCCAGGTAAGTGAGTCGACACCTTACTCACTGAGCCACCAAGATTGAACCCAGGACCTCCAGGTATGTGAGTCAGTGCTTTACCCACTGAGCCACTAAGATTGAACCCGGGACCTCAAGGCAAGCGAGTAAGCGCCTCACCCACTGAGCCACCAAGATCGAATCCCGGACCTCCAGGTACGCGATTCAGTGCCTTTGCCACTGAGCCACCAAGAACGAACCCGGGACCTCCAGGTAAGTGAGCCTGCACCTTCTTCACTGAGCCACAGCAGCTCCAAAAATAAAACAGAGATATCAAAATATTAGTAGCTCCTTATAGTAAGTTCAGTAGAACCAAATCACAGATAAACTAAGAGGAAACTTACAAGGTTAGGCAAGCGATCCTACCACTTGCCTCCTTAAGACTTACATTAAGATACACATCAAAATCCTTGGCAAGAAAAAAAAAAGCTCTGCTAACAAAACAACTATAGTAGATGTGGTTTGGTTCCATTTAAGCATGTTCTTAATCTGCATGTACCGGTATTTAGCTGGTACTAGGCAATTTTTAATTTTCATTAAAACTGTGAAAAACAAAAGGCTTATATTGGATAAAAGCCTCTATACTTTTGTCTGTCAACAAGCTCATGATGACTTTTTTGACCTTGTCTGCTTGCATTTAATTCACAGTTAATTTACATGTTAAAACAAAATTTAAAAAGACGAATATTTTCCTTATACACCTAAAATATATGTGAGTCTGACAAGGAATTATTTCATACCTGCTTGCAAACAATACACACTGTTGTTAAATTTAAAAATAAGAATATCTAAAATATAAGCTAACATATAATAAGCTAACATGAGATATGCAAGAAGTGTGAAGTCTGTACTTCATGTCTTGATATGTAAACAGTCCACCCTGATCAAACTATACATGTATAATTCATATTATAAGCAGTGCTTTATTTCAGTACAATATTTAATTCCATTTATTGATGACTGACCTACAATATCCATAAATAATACAATGAAATATTACATAATGCTTGTATCAAAATGACACAGAATAACTGGCATTGAATTTATTAATACTATTCAACTGTTCAGTATTTTTCGCTCATATACACAAGCATTAAAGATGCATAATGTAAGATTTAGATAATGAGCTGGCTATAACAGTTCAAAAATAAATAATGAAAAATGATGTCTGGGCCCTTATTCACGAAAACTTAAACTAAGATACAATCGAAATTTTAAGAAATACTGCAATTCGATTGGCTGACCAGTAAAATCAATTTGCATATATCCAATTTGCATATTGGTCAGCCAATCGAATTGCAGTATTTCTTAAAATTTTGATTGTATCTTAGTTTAAGTTTTCGTGAATAAGGGCCCAGGAGTTTTGACAATAAATAGACAATTGTCAAGTACCACTGTCTCGAATGACATCCTTTTTAATGTTAACTGTGTTGTCTAAACCATTCAATAGCTCAGCCATCTGACTGTCAAGAGAGTTGATCATGGGCTTCTCATGTAAATAAATGTCTAAATAATAATTACCGTAATATAACATATGAGGCTAAATGAAACACCTGTGATAGCATATTTAGCTCTTACATAATGCATCTTTAAAAATATAGGCCTACAAAGACATTTAGTCATGGTATTATTTTTATTGTTCGATTTACAAAGCGCTTCATAAAGCATGCACACATCTTGTCAAAACCACAACCACTGATAAAGTAATTTGAATGAAATTTTCAATATATTCATTTTGCATTATCTATTTTTGAAATATTATAGCGAGGATCATTCCACATTTTAGCTGTTGTGACGGAGAAAGCATATTCACAAAAACATTTACTATATTTCGGAATCCTCAATATGCTACTATCGCTTGAAGAATGAAGTTGGTTTACCGGGGAGTATGAATGAATGTCGAGAGGAACCGGGATTGTTAGGTTATAAACATATATTTTTACCTCTAATCAGGGGCCATAATCCAGAAAGTTACGATCTGATATGCACGAATATCGAAAGAAACCAAGATCTTTGGGGCATAAACATATGTTTCAAGTTTAATCAAAATCGGATGAAAAATGTGACCTCTAGAGTGTCCGCAAGCTAAAAACGCTATTTGGGAGATAACCTATATTTTAAGTTTCGTCATAATTGGATAAAAATTGTGACCTGTAAACTGCCCACAAACAAATTGTGGATGGATGGATGTCCGGATGGACTAACAGGGGCGACGACAATATTATACGTCCACAAATAAAATATAGGCGTATAAAAATGTGATTTTTTGTACAATCAGGGGCCATAATCCAGGAAGTTAGGGACGATATGCGCAAATATCATGTTTCATCAAAATCGGATAAAAATTGTGACTTCTAGAGGGTCTACAGACAAATTGTGGACAGACAGGTGGAGGCGATGACAATATATGTCTGCATGAAAATGTAATATGCAATAATTAATAGAATACAATATCAAAAAAACATCGTTTTATCCATGTCTTATCCATCCTTGAAGAAGTTAGTATTTTTACTAACGAAATGTTGGATAAAACGATGTTTTTTTGATATTGTATTCAACTAATTATTGTATATCAACTTATCTCAATATCAAATGCATCATCAAACCTTCTGTAATTGGTTTGTGTTACCTGTTTCTATTGATGTTACCTGTTTCTATTGATTGGAAGTTTCTCACATGAAAATGTGGGCCTATAAAAATAATATTTCCAACCCTGATCCAAATAAACAAGTGAGGTCAAGTCAGGTCATTTTATCCTATTCTTTTGTACTTAATTCAGCTGTTTTTATTATTAATTTATCTTTTATCTCTCATAGTAGACCAAGTTATTGTAACCTCACCATTTGGATTTTATGCATTTGTATCAACCTTAGGAGGGTTCTGTGGAAAGATTTTAGATGTCTGCTGGATTAAATAAAGAGGAGTCAGTGAAAAAGAAATTAGTGGGTAGACTTCTTCCCACCCCATTTTTTTTTTTAAATTCCCTGCAAGAGATACCTTGATCTGGAGTATTTACTAGTAACACACTCTACAAAAATATTTGCATCTAAAAGCATCAATCAGAGATATGTCAATTTTGAAAGAAAAGTACACATTTTTATTTCTGTCAGATATGGATGGCAAGTGTCTAGTGAAGCAAGGCAGGAATTTTGTGAAAGGATTTTTGTGATGAGAGTGGGAGCAAATTCTTGTGAACAAGAGGATCAGAAATGGGGACAAACTAGAGACCTGTCAGTCAATTCTGCATTTTATGAGAGAGTTGTAATCTACATTCTATCACCCCACACACTTGTTGTATAGGGTACTGCTAACTGGGCGGTTCACTATTTTTCTACTTTGTACACTAAAATTCCCCATAGTAAATTAAAAGCTCGGTTAAAAGACATTATTCACAGTGTCTTTTCTTCTAAATTGGGAAATGTTAGATATCAATATTTAGTTGTTAATTACAATTCTACATATTTTGTTAAGAACCATAGTGATTCCAAAAATAAATTCACCGCCAACAAGATAATTCAGATGTTGGATTTTTTAATTGATAATATCTTTGTTGAATTTGGAGGGGAAATTTATCAGCAAGTGGTAGGTATCCCCATGGGCACCAACTGCGCACCTTTGCTTGCTGATTTGTTTCTCTATTCCTACGAAGCCGATTACGTACAGGCACTCGTAAAATCCAATAAACGATTAGTCAGACATTTTAATTTCACTTATCGATATATCGATGATGTACTATCACTGAATAATCCAAAATTTAGTGATTATGTAGAATTCATATATCCTGATGAGCTCGAAATTAAAAACACTACTGACAGTGACAATTACGCTTCCTACTTGGATCTGCGTCTCGATTTTGACAATTGCCATAAACTTAGTGTTAAATTGTACGATAAACATGATGACTTTGACTTTCCGATTGTTAACTTTCCATTTATTAGTAGTAACATTCCAATATCACCAGCTTATAGAGTGTTTGTGTCTCAACGAATTCGTTACGCGAGAGCTTGTTCATTTTATTCTGATTTTTTAAGTAGATCGAGGCATTTGTCATCTAAACTTCAACTACAGGGATATTTGCATACTAAACTTATTAAAACCTTTAAAAAGTTTTATGGGCGTCATATTGACTTGATTGGTAAATATAACATGTCTCTCTCAGCTATTATTCTAGATATATTTAATTGACGCGTATACAATCTCCCTGATAATATATGTCTACTACATCGTTAACACCGATAGTCCATTGGCCAATCACGCTATTATACTGAGATTTTGCCTAATAGTTTGGATGCAGCTATGGCGGGTGTGGCGCCAGGCAGGGTAAGCTTACTCTTCCGGACACCTGTTACCACTGTTTGTCGTGTATTTTGTACACGGCGAGCAGTCCATTTGCTGATTACACTATTTTGCCTGATTACACTATTTTGCCTATACCGTTTGTTTTGGGAACACAACCGGTGTAGGCTGTGATAGTCCATTGGGCAATCACGCTATTTTGCCAAGATTTCGTCTAATAGTTTGAATGCAGCTATGGCGGGTGTGGCACCAGGCAGGGTAAGCTTACTCTTCCGGACACCTGTTACCACTGTTTGTCGTGTATTTTGTACACGGTGAACAGTCCATATGCTGATTACACTATTTTGCCTTATTACACTATTTTACCTATACCGTTTTTGTTTTTTAGGACTTCGAATTTTGTCTAATGGTTTGGATTGTTCGTACTTGGTTTTATTTTATCACTATGAAATGAAATGGGGTTTAACATCCTACTGTTCTGCTCCAACTCGGCTAATGAATTCCATCTGCCAAGGATTTTTCCAAGGGACCTTGGTTTTTTATTCCATCCGAACAACTAGACAGCTGATCTTGTCAGGGACTCAATCCTAGACAACTAAAAAGGGGAAACCACATCGGAAAATCGTTATAGACTTTCTCAGACAACACCTGGAGCGAATCCGCGACCTTGGTTCTCTATAACCTTGAATACGATAATGATGAAAAAGTAAAAGACAACAGCAGAGTGGAAAAGTGATGACATAGTGGAATCGAGTGCCAAGAAAATTGCAGATAGCGATGCATAATATGTAAGCCTGTGACATCACATCACATTAAATACAATTCTAAAACTACAGTTGAGTTAACTAACTGTACACATGGTGCCACACCATTTATTCCACTAAAGATGATCTGTGTTGAATGATATTTGCACACGTTTGTTTGTATTTAGAACACGAAAGAATTTCACCAGACAAATGACCATTCGTATGTGACAAAAAAAAACCTACAAATGATCCAAGTAGCGCGCAGGTACTCACAGACATACAGGTCTTTTTTCAGTAGGCCTAACCCGTATTAAAGGAGCTAAATCGCTAATATTTGGGACCTAGAAATTGACACAAATGGGTTGCAACGCATATAATAATGTACTGGTAATATGAATGTATATGAACTGATTTACATTCGATCGTTTCTGTTTTACTCAATTTACTGTAATTTCTAATTAGTTATGTTCGGCGAAATACGCCAGCAATCTCTAGCGTCTGGTTATTCCAGTCTACACCGATAGTATTTATGATGCATTGTCTCCAGATAGGAATATGGCGTCATTGTTTGACATGACTTGTGGAAAAATGTCTAGCCTTGTTCTTCAAGTCCCTTGTTACAAATGGCACTGAAACGCATTATGGTACACGATTCGTGTATCAATGGTAAAATGTTTATTTTGTCTTAAATATATTTGATATCAGAACTAGAAGTCTATCTTTTCCCAGAAATATCACAACATCAATGTTGCTTTAAATTGACAAATAAGTCGTATTTTCAGTGTCAAAGACTTTGGATGATATTGAGTTAGAGACTTAGCTACTTTAAGTTTTATTTTTCCTAAAATTAAGTAAAGCATGGTCAGTAAAGCATGGTCGGTAAAGCAAGGGGAAAAACAAAATTAATATTCATTGAAATTCTTCTGTATTAGCTATTTTCCTATATGATTGAAATTCATCTTGAACAGGATGGGTAAAAATATAATCTCGCATTTTTACAATCATTGAAATATAAGAGAAAGATTGATTATACTTACGCTGAATTTATAGAAACACGTTGGAATTGATTCTGCTCTACTTCTAGTTTACATTCGTCGTTTGTCACATTTCTTGAATTCGCGACCTTGGCATTCCATACCGGCAATTTAACCCCTTCAAATACTTGAACTCAAATTCTTTCGCGTCCTAAATACAAACAATTTATTCTTGATTTTCAAGAAATCAAGCTCCAGATTCATATAGAATTTAATTTGAATATCTTTAATTTGAGTGGATTGACTTTTGAAATGAGATATAAGAAATACATGGGAACTATTAATCGTCGCGGATCTTTTTAGACGTTAAACGTCGCACCACGTGTTGAGATTCATTTGCGGGAAATCTCACTATTTTGTTGTTTCTGAATAAAATCGTCCCCAGAACATCGCCAGAAAAACACCATGGAAGCGAAAGGTATTACATTTAGTTCATATTATATTAATAGTTGAGAAAAAAGGATTGTCACGATCGGGATCTTATTTGATTCTTTCTGTTATTGACATATTCACTTGTGCTCGTACTCGATTTGACACGAATCGTGAACCCCTTCTTGAGTCGCAACGTGAAACAAGCTGATCAGGTCAAGGGTCACGTAAGTTCACGGCAATGCGAATTTTGTTTTTAATCTGTTAATCTTTCATCAAATAAGTCTTTTAAATATTTTGTTCATCAACGGTATTTGCACGTGGTTCAGGTATGCTTACACTTATGGACAAATCACTCCCAATTTATTGCAACATGACATTTATATTCATTCAATCATTGTTGGCCTACTTGCAGAGGTAGTACTACTACTACTACTACTTTCATTCAATGGGAATTGATTTATTATATGTTAAGCTATGTGCAGTACTGTTTTGGGTCAGTTTATGTGTAAATTAAGGGAGCTATAGGCCAGTAACCTTTTTGTAGTCATTTGACTAAAATACTTGCGCAAAGGAACTCTGTAGGCCGAGCCACTACTGTGGCTGGAGTAAGGCGGAAGACATCAGTAGTGGAACCATTTCTAACCATTCACCACCCCACCTTTAAAAATAAATCCTACTACTAGTAGTAGGATTTATTTTTAAAGTAGTACTAGTAGTAGGATTTATTTTTAAAGGTGGGGTGGGGTGGTGAATGGTTAGAAATGGTTCCACTACTGATGTCTTCCGGTAGTGGCTCGTCCTACAGAGTTCCTTTGCGCATGACTACAAAAAGGTTACTGGCCTATAGCTCCCTTAATTTACACATAAACTGACCCAAAACAGTACTGCACATAGCTTAACATATAATAAATCAATTCCCATTGAAATAAAGGTGAAGCCTTACCGCATAATTATATGATTTGATGAAACCCAACTGCTACGCGAAATTTCATTACAAGAAACATCGCTATGCAAATGTAGAACGCATAACCACAAAGAAAAACTGTTCGGTAACTATTTTAGTGGTCCAATCTTCACTATTTGTCATAGAATTACTTATTCCAATACAAACTGTAATGATATGTGTTGACAATTGTGCGTTTGAACCTATTTGAACTTGTGTAAGGAGTCTTAGACTGTATCAATAGTAACGTTAAACACAACAAAAATTTTGAAATCCCATCACTGGTTACAAGTATAGTAACTAGTGAATGGTCAGTAATTTGAGTCAAGTGGCGTGGTTTTGATTGCCCATCGGTTTGTGAAAAGGAGTAGGGTCATCTGTTCTACCTCATCTTTATCCCAAAATGACCCTCTCTTTCTACATGGACCTTATATAAGGTCCATGCTTTGTCAATTGGAAGTTCGCAATAGCTTAATTAGCCAATCAAATTTTGATTTTTCTGTTAATTACTTCATTGGTGTTTACTTTTGATATTTCTTGGCATCTTGTAAATGTTCCCAGTCCTTGAATGCAAAAATATGTGGCACCCTTTGGGGAAAACTTTGTGCCTGCAACCAATATATTAGTAGTTCAAGGTATCAAAGTCACTTATTAACAAGTTAGGGTTATGGCCAAGACCAATTTACAACACGTCAAATAAAACTTACTAATATAAGACAATGTTGCCACCACTTTTGCGTATTATGATAGAACTGGATTATTAACACATTCGAAATATAATTTTAACATTGATATCTTTACTAGGACAGGTACATAACAAGTGTTTGCAGAATTCAGAAGTTAATCAACCGAAAAAAAAATCTTTTATTATAGCTACTGCATAGATGATCTGCATGCTCACTGATAATTGGATGAAGAGTTGTTATTTTAAATGGGGGGATATTGGTGAATTTGAGAAAGGGAGTCTATGTAAATTGTTAATTTTTTATTTTAAAATTTTAACAGAACTAAAGTTGGGTGGAAAGGTTATTGAGGGGAAGACGAAGATAGTTTATGATATAGTTGATCAGCCAGGTCGGGTTCTCCTCCAGTCTAAAGATCGGATTACAGCTGGAGATGGAGCAAGATCACACGAACTTGCAGGAAAGGCAGCCATTTCAACCAGTACAACATGCGCTGTTTTCAAACTTCTGGCGGAAGCAGGTAAGCCAAAACCTCTAAACACCGTTTCAATGAAATTTAATGTGTTATGAAGTAGGGATTAAAGTCCTACTTTTCTGCATCAACTGGGCTTATGAAGAAGGTCAATGGTTCTTTTAATGCACGAAATGTTTACGCCTGACCTCAGTTCTCTATCCCATCCCAAATGACAAGATACTGTCCTTGCCAGGCCCTCCGTCCTGCACCACTGACAAGGGAAAACATGCAGGAAAATCCTGAAAAATTTCTCTGCCATGTGAGCGAACCTGAGATCACCTTGTTAGCAAACCAGCATCTTGCTCACTAAGCCACTGCGGCTCCCATTAAAAGTAGCAATATTGCTATTGATTTATGGAAACTCTCCAAAACCAGTCTTTGCATGGGTTTTCACAAATTCAAATTATCTGCCCTTGATTGTAGGGTAGGTTGATTCTACGAACCAATCAAATAATTGTTTAGATACCAGTCTTAGCGTCATTGTTTATGTTCACCACAATAATCTTAATTGCAAAAAAATGTGAGTTACTTCCCTTCGCCCATTCGATTGGTCGATAAAAATAGCTCAAGTATCAAAATGGATAAATGATTATGTTTCCCCCCCCCCCCCCCCCCCGTGATTGAACCCAAGGTATAGTGGAGTAGAATGGAACGATATCACTGGGGATACTGCTGTTCAATTTAGACTGTTCAGATATTTCACCGAACAAAATTGATTTTTTACAAAACTAAATATAAATCACATTATGCATTCTTATTACATTAATATGTGCTTTTAGGCCCATTTAAGATTCCAAAGAATAGAGCCATACACCCTTTAAACATACAAAATGTTTTTGAATTTCAGTCTAAATGTAGAGTTTATTTTGCAGGTATTCGAACTCATTTTATTAGTAAACATTCGGACACAGCGTTATTGGCGTATAAATGTGTCATGATACCCATAGAGTGGGTGACGAGACGAATAGCAACTGGATCATTTATTAGACGACACACTGGTGTACCGGAGGGATATCGCTTCTCTCCACCTAAATTAGAAACTTTCTTTAAGGTATGTATGTTGATTTTTATACGCCCAAATTGAAATGTGGTCATATACATGTATTGCCGCGAGCTCTGCCCGTCTGTCCGTCGTCCACACTTTCTTGTTAACACTCTACAGAGTAAATTTATCAACTGATTGTTTTGAAATTGATATATGTTGTTTACGTTACTGAGATGAAGAAACCTATTCAATTTCAATAATTTCTGCTGATTTCTTCTGGAGTTATGGCCCATGTTTCACTTTATTGCACCTTGTGAACGCTTGAACGACAAAAGTCATCATCCGATCTGTATGAAATTTATATGCATTATTTAAATTAGTAAAACAATAAAGGCTGTTGAATTGCAACAATTTTTTGTATATTACTTCCAGAGTTAAGGTCCTTGTTTCAGTTTGTAGCACCTTGTGACCCATCAAAGGACGAAAATTATAATCTGATCTGTACGAAATTCTCTTGTAAATTCCCCCCATTACATATAAAAAGATTAATTATGCGACAACCCTTGTTGACCGCTTGGGCGAATTAGCTGCTGTGTTCATCCTGCTTAGTTTACAAAGGTGTAGGCTTGCCTTCTTAACCACATGTTCATACTGAAATTATCTAGTTGTGTTTTGTCTTGGACAACAGCTCTACGGCCTACTCTGTTTTTCTTCCCATCTGACACTGTCCTTGCCAGGCCCTCCATCATGCACCACTGACAAGGGACACAACACTGGAAAATCTTGGGAATTTCTCAACCAACACAGGGATCAAACTCTTAAGCTCATGGTTAGTGATCCAGCGTCTTACAAACTGGACCTCCGCGGCTCCCTAGTGAATTTCAAACAATGATTATTATGGTATTGGGGTGTGATTGTTCAGATTTAAGTTATGTTTTTAAATCTTTCTAGGATGATGCTAATCATGATCCCCAATGGTCTCATGAAGAATGTATAGCTGCTAAAATAAAAGTAGGAAACCGAGTTATAGGAGAAGATGATATTAATATTATGGGCAAGATGACTGTTGCTGTATTTGAGATATTAGAACGAGCATGGGCGTCATTAGACTGCAGTCTTATTGATATGAAAATAGAATTTGGAGTAAGAGTAGACACAGGTAAAATTTGTCCTGTTTACTATATCGGGTGATCATCATTTGAGGGATTTTGAATCCCTTACAAACTACAATATTGTCAAAGATGAATCTTTAAAAGGAAATATTGACAATATATACTGAACTACTGAAAATTGTGAAATCCTCAGCATCTTCTGAAGACACATTAAGCAAGCCAGTGACAGTGTCACCTAAAAATTCTTTGATTGGCGTTATTTGAATTAATCCAAAGCAGGTAGATTAACTACCATTGATATTTTAGTTCTGTTTCCTTAATTAAATATTAGTGTTAGATAATCAGTTTGAGTAAATTTTAGTGTGGATTAAGACATGAAAAATTTAGAGCTGGGCGATATCCTGGGAAACAATTATCACTATATTTTCAGAAATTATCATAATATAATCACTATGTAGCTATAAAATGTCAATAATTTCACTTTATCACCTTTTAAGTGTAAATAACCATTCATAAAAGATTGCACATACCTACTGCCGGATTCACTTTAAACTTTGTGGTCAATATTATTAAAAAATTAATCAAAAATACAGTGCCATATTTACAAACAAAATTTAATAATCTATACAAAGAATTTCTATAAATGTTTGTTTATATTTAAATTTCAACTTGCAATACATTACTTAAGATATTTGATTTTATTAGATTATTTACTTGTGATAGAGGCATACAGTTTGTGTTGTTCTATCGGCCCTGCATCTTTTTATAGGAGCTAATAACAGTTTTTTTTGCTATTAATTTATCATTAAACAATAAAATATCGTAAATAACAAAAAAAAGACGATATATTTTCAGAAAATATCATCCAGAAAAATCAAAACCAGAATGTTCGGTTTTTCGATATTTTTCTGAAGATAGTATTTTTGACAGTTTTTATTTCTATTTTGGTTTTATATTGAAAAACCAAAATATTGCCCAGCTCTAGAAAAATTAGACATTGGTTGTGGACTTGTGGGTAATCTTATAGATAGTGATTTGTGGATTGTGTGACCAGCGGGTGACAGTAGATCAATGGAAAATCTAACTCTCTCATGGCTGTTCTGTTATCCTCACCAAATGTCTCCATGTATTAATGATTATTACGGGAGAATTGACTGTGGGTAATCTTATAGATAGTGATTTGTGGAGATTGTGGCCACCAGGTGACAGTAGATCAATGGAAGATCTGACTGGCTAATGGCTGTTAAGTTACCCTCCCCATATGTCTACAAGTGATCATTAATTGTTTCAGGAGAATTGGTTGTGGGTGATCTTATTGATAGCGATTCGTGGAGATTGTGGCCAGCGGGTGACAGTAGGCTAATGAAAGATAAAGAAGTCTACAGACAACTGAAGGATGTGACATCAGAAGGTCTTGAAACTGTCAAGAGAAATTTTCAGTGGGTAGCAGAACGAGTAGAGGTATCTAGGCTTGTTAACTTATTTTAACAGAGTATCTTTCTCTTCCCTATAGTCAGAGTTGGGTGGCTGCATTATTTAATGTTTGCGCTGTAGATCATAAAGTTGGGACACTGAGTCAGGTGGTGTGGTTTTGATTCTTCGCTTGTTTGTGACGGGGAGTGGGGTCCAACCTCATGAGTTTTCTTCGGTTTCCTGCCACTGCTAGGGCTGCAGTGTGCAAGCGAATTTATAAAATAAAATTGAAAAATGTTAGACCTGAAATGACATAGTTTGTGTCGAGTGGACGTTAAACACAACAGGGCTTATCTCGTTGGGAGCTATCGTGCACGTAAAAGATCCCTTATGAGTAATAAGTAGATGGAAACGTCTCTGTCTGGGCAACTGTCCCTGCACACTGCGTGGCGTAAGCCCGTCTTCATTAGCCTGGTTGGTGAAGAGAAATAGGTCCATTTCATTTCAGTATCTTGTTTGATTCGGTTTATTTATATCTTTTTTTTCTACAGAAATTGATCCCCAAGCCATCCAGTCGAGCTGTTGTGTTAATGGGATCCCCGTCAGACACAGCACACTGTGAAAAGATACGAGATTATTGTAAAAGTTTTGGTGTGCCGTGTGAATTGAGGGTGTCGTCTGCTCACAAGGGTTCCAAGGATACACTGCAAATACTCAGTGAATATGAAGGTTGGTAGCAAAGCTCTCGTGTTAATTTTTACATACTTTATTAACCCCGGTAGTGAGGTGGCCGAATGGTCTGTCATTGAGTCAAGTTGCGAGGTGATGGTAATGTCATGTTTTTCCAGAACACCTCATATCATCTCTCTTTGAGAGAGAGAAATGGGATTAAATGCCCAATCGACACAAGCTAGGTCATTTTGGGACTAATATATGGTTCAATTAATTTGCTCGGGGTCTTTAGTAGTGAGGGAAAACCGGAGAACCCAAAGAAAACCCATGAAGTTTGAAAGTCGACCCTACTCCTTGTCACGTACAAGCGGAGAATAGAAACCATGCCACTTGGCTCAATGTCAGACCTTATGATGCAATGTGCATGTGTCAACCATTTGGCCACCCAACCCCCTTTATTATAATCAAGCACAGATGATGTTAAACCCCATTTGATTTGTGTTTTAATTATTGTCCAGGTGAGGGTATACCTACAGTATTGATCGCAGTAGCTGGACGTAGTAATGGTTTAGGTCCCGTTTTAGCTGGTAACACCACCTGGCCTGTAATCAACTGTCCACCTGTTAGTGCCGACTGGGCAGCTCAAGATGTTTGGTCATCTCTTCGTCTTCCTTCAGGTAACATATTTTCTACCTCGTTTCAGATATGTTTCAACTTAAGCTTATTGTTAAAGATGCATTGTGTAAGAGCTAAATCTTTCATTGCTGGTTTTTCTTTGGGCTTCAAATGTTATATAAACTATTATTTAGATATTCATTGGCCAGTCAAGCCTATAATCAACTATCTAAATTGTCAAATGGCAGAGATTAAATGGATGGAAATAATTTAATTTTAAAAGGGATAATTGAGAGACAATCTTTGTTATATCTTGTCTGAACTTCCAACTCCGATAACTTGCTCAGATTAAAGTAATTTGGATAAAATTTTCAATATATTAATTTTTCATTATCTATTATTGAACTATTATAAACTGGCCTGTGTCCGTCTGTTCTTCCTTTTGGTTCAGGAGTATATTGCATATAGATATCTTAATGAAACCTAATATATAAGTTGTGCCTTTTCATTAATTATAAATTTAATCAGATTTTTTGACATGGTTTTGGGAGTGGGATGTTGATAACCAAGTATTTGTCTTGTAATAAATTTTTATTTGATATTTTAGGTCTCGGTTGTGGTACAGTCATTTCAACAGAAGCAGCCGCTCTCAATGCTGCACAGATTTTGGGTCTCTCAGATCATGTGATTTGGAGTCGATTGAGAGCAAAACAAGTGAATGCGAGAATAGCCTTAATACAAGCCGATCAAAAAGTAAGAGACAATAAATAAGGTGGTGTCTCTTTCAATTAACAAAACAGACAAGTGAGAGTTGGATACATGTGAATGTGGTATGTTTGAACAAGCTGTTGTCATTTAGTATTTCCTATTATAAACTCTAGATGTATGGCTGTCACCTTTCAATTGATATTATCAACTTTGTAAATAATAGAAATCCGTATTACAAACATGACCAATTGAGATAATAAACGTTCCAAAACAGTATTTAGACAACCCATATACATGTAGGCTGAGGTGTGGATTAATCTTCAACTTTTTTGCATTTACTGGTCTAATGAAGATGGTCTGTTTGGTTTACTCCTACTGCTAAAGATCTCTACACGCAAGCAAATTATGGGAACATAATTGTACCTATGTTAGTCCCGAAATGACTAATGAATGGACATTAAACGCAATTTCCATCTCCAAAATAGGTGTCTGGGGGTGGGGGGAATGGCCAACGTGTGCTATCGGGCGTGTTGAATCAGAAGGTCTGTCATTTGGTCAAGTGTCATGGATTTGATTCCCCACTTGTACGTGACAAGGAGTAGGGTCGACTTTCCAACCTCATGTGTTTTGTCTTGGTCCTCCAGTTGCCTCCCACTGCTAAAGACCCCTACACACACTCAAATTTTTAAAATAAATTGAACCATATGTTAGTTCCGAAATGACTACTTTGTGTCGAGTGGACGTTAAACCCTATTTCTCTCTCTCTCTCCCATCCAATATATTAGACAAGTTGAAGTGATGTGCAGTTACTTTGAATTTAGCTACCTGTTCATTAATCTGTTGGTGCAGAAAAGTAGGATGTTAAACCCCATTTCATTTCATTTATTTCACTTAACCCATACAATGACCAACCTTCCATAAGTCTTATCCTCAGTTTGTGCAGAAAAGTAGGATGTTATACTCCATTTCATTTCATTTATTTCACTTGACCCATACATGACCAACCTCCCATAAGCCTTATGCTCTGTTTGTGCAGAAAAGTAAACCCTAATCCCCATTTCATTTCATGTATCCTAATGTTAATCTATGATTTATTAATCCCAGTTTGAATCATTGTAAAAGAAAAATATAAGATTTATCCAGGCCCTGAGTTCACAAAGCATTCTCAGACTTAAGAATTTACTCAACTTTCAATCACTGTTTATGAGAAATATCTTTGATCCAGAAACACAATACCTTACACATAGTCTCTTATTGATGTATTTGATACATTAAAATAACACAAGTTTTATAAAGGACTATATGTTAACAATTTTGAGTAAATTCTTAACTTAAGTCTGAGAATGATTTGTGAACTGGGGGCCAGTATTTAGCTTAATCTATGCATAGAACTAGACTACTAAGTGGAGCACCCACTGTGTGACGTCACTACTTTATATTAAAGGCTGGTCTCTGAGAATAATACTAGATCTTTGTGTCATCTGGAGAATATCTTCTCTAGGGTTAGGGTTCGGGTTAGGTTTATAAATTACATGTCAAACGTACAAATTGAAGCTGTAACAACGGTTGATTGTGGCTAAAACTATTCTGAAGGGTTAGGGTTAGAATTGTGGGTATAAACACTGACAGATATTCTACAGATCGGTCAAGATCCAGTAGCCTGCGGTCTCTGACCCAGAGAATCAGCACAACTTACTTCAGGTTTCTACTGACCCAAATAAAATGCCTGGCACAAATTGTGTTATGTTTGGCTATTGTGTTATGTAAAAAAGAAAGAAATCGGGGCTATCCCGTTAGTATTCTAGTTCTATGATCTGTTATAGGTAGTGTTATCAACTTGTTTTATTGTTTTATTAATGGCATTATCACTCATAATATTAATGATCGACGCATCGAATTACCTATTAACACCCAAATAACACCCTCCTCATTCAAATAATGATCCGAATGAGTCTTATGATCAGAATTGGCCAAGAATATGGTCCCAATCCGCCGATTACCTTCTATACTGGTATAAAATGGAAATACCAGGTGGGAGGGTGAGATTATAATATCGGATATGGGATGAAAACACATCATGCCGCTTGAGGTGTTTATGGGATAATCTACTCGAAAAGACAATGAAAGCATACATTATGGTTTTATGAACACAAATCACATACACGAGTTATGTCCCTTCTCGCAAGTGAGCGTTAACTCCGACTTTGGCAGAAAACAGAAGCTTGTTTAACTAAATTGTTATTTTGTGGTTCTGAATTTTGAAGTTATTGGGTAATACGAGGTGCCGTAAACCGATCAAGGACCAACACACATATGATATCATTCCTATTCTCATGTACAACATTTATATTCTTTGAATAAAAATTATTAATATGAGGAATTGGGTTGCCGAGTGGTCATGAAGATATTGTTCTGTTTGGAGGAAGGGGTTGTAGAGGTCTAACAGTGTTCTGTAGATCGTATAAGATCTGTCATGGAATGAGTGGATTGGGTTTGATTCTAGGCTTGTATGGGTGTCTATGGTGTCACATGTCTAACCTTGTAGGTTCCTTCCACTGTTAGTGACCCCTACATGCATGTTAACTGTTGAAAGTAAAATTGTACCATATATTAGACCTCTAATGAATGCAAGAACAGTAAATCATTATTTCGTAAATAAAATGACAGTAATTCATGTATGGTAGTCCATTAAACAGTAAATCATGAATGTGTAAACCATTAAACAGTTAATCATGAATGTGTAAACCAATACACAGTAAATCATGAATGTGTACTCCATTACACAGTAAATCATGAATGTGTAAACCAATACACACTAAATCATGAATGTGTACACCATTATTCACACCTGCCCCCAACCTATAAAACAAATCAATGGCTACGGCTTATATTTTTTATTATTAATGCTTTCGCCGATACAGTATAAGCAACAACATTCTGAATCTTTTCAACATATTATATAAATTTATTGTATTTTGACGACCTAGACTGGACAGTCTGCTCTAAATAACGCCAGACTTGTTCCTACGTCACAGTGCTATTATATATAGGTCCGAAACGGCAGGGGATGGAGTTAAGTGGCATTTACACGAAATAACCCAATCAGTTTCACAGATTTATTGCGAAAGCCTAATGTAACGTCTGTTACCACATAAAATGACTGACCGTTTTACGTTCAAGTATGCCTTCTATATAGGTGACGCCGGATCACGAGGCTTCATGGTGCGTTTATTGTTCACATTTATAAGACGTTGTAACGTGATTTACACTAAATGGGAAATGTTTTTTATCTAGATATACATCAAACACCTTTATTTATTATTCTAATCCTTCCAAAAAATGTTCTAGAGTTTAATTAAAAGTTAATATTGCGAGCTCATTAACCCGCACCAATGATAGTAGCAGCTTGGCGAATATCCACTGCTGCTCCTTGTATGGGCCGGTTGTATTCTCTTCTGACGGACTGATGCAATAGCCAATCAAATTGCGTTATATTAGACGATGTCATATCTGACTTAGCAACCAGTTTTCCTGCCAATTTGTGTTAGCTTCGACGTCCTGTATCCACGAATTTTGTAGGGCCGCCGACATCAAATAACACTTTTTAAACATTCTTCTTCAAACGATCAAATTATGCAGCACGCGCACGAGGGTTTGGCGTCATTTTGCCATACAACGTATATAACCATTATAGGCCTATCTCGTGTCAACAGCCTTGCTATATTTTGCATGCGACGGTTGTATGAGTAAGTTGTGTCGTGTAAACGCCTCTTAAGACTGGGTGATCCGCTCTAATACACCAGATTCACTCCAACGTCACTAGTACTTTTCCGACTTTATAGAAGTCAAAATAGCTCTGTGAAATGAATGAGTGTTGGGGGGGGGGGGTGCAAGCGCCCAGTTTAAGCTGGTGCCTATAGAATACTTGCATATAAAACTAAGCTTTATAAATTATGCTCTTACAACAGACAATAAATAATGATAAATATATATAATGACTGATTTGATAAAAACATTAACCCCAAACAATTAGAAATGTTGACAGCGTTGGCGTTAAAATACAGCAAAAAGGCACCAAATATATCTAGAAAGTTGACAAATTATGTAAAATTCTGATAGCCTACAAATAAGTCTACATAACAGTACAGATAGTTGAAAAGATCGGCTTACGAGAAAATATACATATTATAATATTCCTCAAAGGTTAATTATAAATTAACATACTCAAGCTTAAAACTATGCCATTTACTAAATATACCGTATTCGATCGAATAATCGATCCCGAAATCCCAGAAAAATTGGAATTTGAAAAAACCCACAGTTTTCCATCCACGGTATCCACTATGTATCTTCCCCGTGAATGGAACAGTGACAACCACACTGTTAAATGGTGTTTTATTTGAATATCCTTGCCTCTGTCAGACAAGATGGATAGATATACAGCTAGGCTGATGTGTAACATATGACCGAAAATCAACGAACAGGAGCTTTTTTCGAGATATTAAATGATGGATGCGCGCTCATTCTATCGAATACGGTATCCGGTTTATAAATAAATAAGAAAATATGTACAATATTAATTAATATAAATTTTTGTAATTGGGGTTTATGTACAATGCGCTTTATTATACAGAATATCAGATCGGGGCTAATTTAAGCGCGGATGTTTTCTTGCTGTCAAGAGGAAACCACGTGACGCATCTCCTCTCAGAAGCCTTGAGATTCTATTTCAAGTTTTAAACTTCCAAAATGAGGTATTCAAATAAGACATACATATAAAGACAAGGGATGACGATGATATAATAAATATATAAACAAAGGCCTAGCTAAATTACACACGACACAATTCTGAGCGATGTTTCAAAAGTAGGCCTATTCTCTAGTCTATATCAAGCAATGATGGGGTTGATAAAAGCTTAGAGAATCCTAGTGTAAACGACACTCAGCAATAAACTCTAATCTAATTCTACCATTTGCTTGCTAATGACTCGAGAATCCTAAAGATACTCATTAATAATTGTATTCCGTAGAATTGTGTTCTGCGTATTTCCACCTCACTTACTAAATAACATGGAAACAACCCAAAAATAAATTGTACCCTGTTTCTACAAGAAAAACGTTGAAATAGACAGATAGAGATTCAAAATTGGGTAATATTTTCTTTCTGCGGTTAGGTTGCACGTGCTTCTGACTTACGGCATTGTGCCAAGGTAACCACCAAGAGCCGTGATCTGGAACAACTAATCATATTGTTTGCCCCTCTCGAGCGCAATTTACGTCATAATTATTAAAACTAGTAATATGCTAATATGATTATTTCAAGAGATACAACTTCTTACTTACATAAAGTAAATTGACTATTTACACTTATAAAAATGATAAATTATAGTTTGCATATGTCGCGAATACCGCTCCATGTGCCCAACAGGCGTTCCATCCAAAAAATGCAACCCGATTTGAAAAATTACAAAAACTGTTCAAGTCTTCAATTTGAGTCATTTCTTGCAGATTGTAGGCCCACCCAGTACTATCCAGAAACGCCCATAAATTAATTGAACCGAACATGCAGCCTCCAGTTGTCCATGTCATAGATCGCCCTTAAATTAGTTGACTTTCAGCACTGCCATGGCAAATTTTTGTTTAATGATTTCAGTTATCTGTCATCGCAAGTCCCGATGATTTAGTCTTTCTCGGTTTTTGCGAGGATAAATGTTGCGACACACGGTCGTTAAAACTTTGGTTCCGTTCACTCATTGATTTGTTGACAAAATGTGGGGTGAGGATGACGCCAATTTAAAATATTTCATCTTCGTCGTCTGAATGACAGCTATTGCCACGTGCATGTAGAGTAAACGTTGCTCCCCCTCTTCCCTGGAAATATCGCGATCCTTTATCTAACGCTGTCGACTGAAAATAAAAAGACATATTTATTGTTAAATATATGACTATCTCTGACAAAGGCAACCAGAGTTACCAGACAGGAAAATGAAATAAAAAGAAGTAAAATAGGGATTAACGTCCTACTTTTCTGCTCCGACTGGGTAAATGAAGACGGATAAACGCCATGCAGTGTGCAGTCGTCTCATATAAAGGGTTCTTTTACTTACACGCCAATATGTACACATGACCTCGGTTTTTCCCTCCATCCGAACAATTATAAACTGTGCCTAACTAGGGCCTCCATGCTGCACCAGTGACAAGGGCGGGGGGGGGGGGGCACCACGTCACGTCTAGCTGGAAAACACTGGGAACTGTCTCGGTCAACACCGGTATCGAACCCTTGACTCCCTGGTAACTTGTAACTTATTCAGTGTGCCCAGTGTTAAAATGAAATTAACGTCCACTTGACACAAACTAGGTCATTTCGAGACTTAATGGTTCAGTTTATTTCTATAATTCGCTTGTGTGTAGGGGTCGTTAGCAATATGGGGGGGGGGCGGAGAACCCAGAGAAAACCCACGAGATTACACAGACATCCTACTCTTTGTCACGCACAAGCTTGGGATCGAAACCACGCCACTTGACTCAATGAGACCATACGATCGACCACCCAATGAAATGATATACAGAAAACTTACGGTAATAAGCCTAATGCCAGCAGTGTCTGGTTTTCTTTTGGTCTTCTGTTCAAAATGGTTGTTTAATGTCTTAGCTATGTTGTCATGGATATCTTCATCACGTGCTGTGTCAGACTGTAAAATATTTCAAAAATTTGAAATTTCTATTGCATAATCAAGACTAAAATAAAATTATGTTTTTAAAAAAAAAAAAAAAAAAAAAAAAAATCTGTTTATAAGAAAAATAAACAATTCTGTTTTTAAAAAATATAAACAATTCAGATTTTAATAAATTATAAATAATTGTAAAAAATTCGGGTCTCTAATATTGGTACAATTGAAGCACCGCTATTAAAGACAATAATATTAGATAAAACGAATTCACGGAATCTGTGGTTATTTGAGAGTAATTATTATTGTGTGAACAAAACGCTCGTCAGGTATATTATGATATAAATATTGTATACTAACCGCTACCCATGGATGAGTGAGCACCTGTTCTGCTGTAAATCTTTGATCAGGATCCACTACTAACATATTTGTTATCAAGTCCTAAAATAACAAAAACATGAATGAAATTGGGTTTAACGTCTTGTTGTTCTGCAGTATATCATTATTGAAACGTCTTAAGGTTTAACCTAAAATAATTCTGAACAATTATTGATTTTAAGTCAACAAAGAGGTCACAATTCATTGAAAAAATAACCGAATCCCACAATAAAATGAAATGAGATGAGGGTTTAACGTCCTACTTTTCTGCACCGGCTGGGCTAACGAAGACGGGTATACCGTATAACTATACGCCATACAGTGGACTATGAGTATGAGCTAAAGTTTGCGTGGACAGAGGTACTAGGGCTTACTCTTCTTTAGAATTCTGTCAAGGGTTCTTTTACTTGCACGCCGTACCACCGACAGTGGGAAACCACACCGGAAAATCCCGACCAACACCTTGATCGAATCCTGAACCACATTTGTCACGAAATAAACTCCATAATTGATTGAACAAGTTGCTTTATATGACCTGTCCATGGACATCTCTCGGCCGATTTGAGCGAGTCCCAAGTTGTGAAATTGCAGATAAACAATGATTTTAATGGAATTATTTAAAAATGCATTATGTACGATATAGATAAAAAGCTGACCGTCCCGCTATAATTGTTCAAAAATAGATTACTTTATTCAGGGCGAAGTTATGGCCGTTTGGAGATATAGCGTAGATCGATTATTATCGTAGCAACGGTACTTGGCAACAAAGACTACTTCCCGAATATCCATTTTTAAATCTCGAACAAATGTCTAATCAATAACTTAGATAACATTTGAAGCCAGAAAAAAGAACTTCAATAGGCAGATTTAGTTCTTACAAAAAAATAATGCAATGTAAATTAGCAGAAGGTATCACTTTCACAAATACATGTATACTTACTTTAGCCGATTCTGATACGTCATCCCAATATGGTTGTTTAAATTCAAATTTTCCTTCTAGAATTTTGTCAAAGAGTTCTTCTTGGTTATCTTTAGCACTTTATAAAATAAAAAATGATAACTGTAAATGCAAGAATGTCGGTTGCCAGGTAAGAACGCCATGAGTCTGATTTCCACCACATAAAATATCCAAATTTATATTTATAATGAACGACACTACTTTTCGCCACCCACCAGAATAATGAACACGGGCATACAGTGTGCAATTAGGGAAATTTTGCGCGGATCGCTGCGTTTTCGCTTACTCTTCCACCGAATTCCAACTGTAATGGGTGCACACCAATGTGTACACGGCACCTCGGTTTTCCTCCCATCCGAACCACTAGACGACATTCCTACATCCTATACCATTGGGGGGATCATGTGGCTAAGTGGGTAAGACGCTGGTTCGCTAGCCTGGAGGTCGGGTGTTCGATCCCTGCATTGGCCGAGAAAGTTCATCCAGATTTTCCGGCGTGGTTTCCCCCTTGTCAGTGATGCAGGACGGAGGGCCTGACAAGGACAGCTGTCTAGTCGTTCGGATGAGACTAAAAACCGAGGTCCCGTGTACATATTGGCGTGCACGTAAAAGATCCCTTGGCAGTTGGAATTCGATATAAGAGTAGGCCGTAGCGCCGGATCCCGGGCAAAATTTCCCTCATAGCACAATGTATGGCGTATGCCTGTCTTCATTAGCCCAGTTTAGGAGCAGAACAGTAGGACGTTAAACCCCATTTCATTTCATTTTCATTTCCTATACCATTGCCAAGCTGGGGAATCCCGACTAACAAGCCATCACGAAGCCTGTCATCAATCATCCGCGTGAAGTGTTTTTTTTTAACACGTAATTCTTGGCAGAGAGTAAATTTTCGTGAAAGTCGAACATTACCACGTTACCCACGTTATCCTTAGAAAAAGGGGTTTGGGGTTTAACGTCTTATTAACTTTAGGGGTTGGGTGGCCGAATGGTTAATGCTTGCACGTTGGATCATGAGGTCTGTCATTGAATCAAGTTGGGTGGTTTTGATCCCCGCTTGTACGTGTCAAGGAGTAGGGTCGCCTGTCCAACCTCGTGGGTTTTCTCCGGGTCCTCCAGTTTCCCCCCACTGCTAAAGACCCCTACCGCAAGCGAATCATTGAAGTAAAATTGAATCATGTTAGTATCTCTTTTATCAACTTTATATTTTGGTCCCTCTCAGATTAACAAATGGTAGTATTTTTATTTTATTTCAATAGTCACACGTTAAAGGCGAAGGTGTAGGTGGAGAAGCTGTCATCTCGGTCCATGCCATTACATTTTGGGCTCTATAACTACACAACCACCGCGAGAACGTGCACATAAACATATTATAAAACTGTATTAGTAGCTACCTGAAAAAAGGCGGGAATCCACATAACAATATATAGGTAATAACACCAGCTGACCAGACGTCAATCTTTAAACCATATCTAGATAAAATAAAGATAAAACATACAATGAAGTTTATGACTACAATAATTATTTGTCGCCTATTCTCCAGTGCCGACGAATATCAGTGAATGTAAGACAGAACAAACAAAAGAACTGGGGTTTAGCGTCCTACTGTTCAGCCCCGACTGGGCTAATGAAAACGGGCATACACCATACAGTGTGCTATGAGGGAAATTTTGCTCGTAAAGCGGCACTACAGTCTACTCTTATATCGTATCGAATTCCAACTGCTAATGGTTATTTTAAGGCCCGTTCCCAGTGGCCGATGGACACAAAACGTATGCAAAAAGGACACAGCGGACGAGCAAACTTTCGGGGGTGGCTCCATCCGTTTTCATCCGCTCCAGAAATGGACAAAATTGACGAAAATTTGTGAAAACAGAACGGAAAAGAACGAACGTGTGAAGTATGTAGCGGATGAAAGCGGATGGAAGTGGATGACAGCTCCGAATGGGTTAGGCAAATTCCAGACATCCTTCAATATACCAGATACATCCCAGATACAAACGCTTTGTCCGTTTTGAAAACCTTATATACGAGATGCATACGCTTACACCCTTTCTATTTCCGTGCTACTAACGATGTATAGACGTTCCATGTACCTTATCTTTCCTCCCTCTTTCCGTTTTCAGCTGGAGCGGATGTGAGCTGCGAGGATGCTCAGAGGATGCAGAGAGGATACAGTGGACGTTTAACGGATGATAACGGACATGGAACGTTTAGTGCTCGTGTATTACGCGCATTTACATCGTACACGGCAGAAAGTTCATCCGTTATAAAAGTTTTGAGCAGCTCAAAACTTTTTGCGCGGATGAAATCAAAGTGAACGGATGCTCGATGGATAGAGCGTATGAAACACGTATGCAATGAGTACACAACGGATGCATGGCGTTTTCAAACGAGGGCACGTTTTTTCCCCGTTTTACATCTTCTTTGCATCCGTAAGCACAGTGGGATCGGGCCTTTACGTGCAAGTCAATGTGTATACGGGACCTCAAGTTTTCGCCCCATCCGAACGACTATACGTTGTCCCTTGCCAGGGCCACTGTTCTGCACCACTGACAAGGGAAAACCACGCCGGAAAATCGAAGAGACGAATGTAAGACACTTTCATTTCTATATGATCAGGCTGTAGGAGTTTAAAGTCCTAATTTTATGCACTGCATGCGGTGTGCTATAAGAGGAATTGTGATCAAACAGCCGCACTGCAACCTACAATTATTTCGATTTTAAATTACCTCTAAATATCGTCCCCTGAGAGGTAAAAGGTCGCAAGTGACAAAACAGGCAAATTTGATATTTTTGCACCAAAACTTTATAAATTGACCCCTCCAGGTTATAACAAACAATGGTGACAATTGCAATGATACAAACTACAATATGGGTAATTAATATTAGGTAGTAAGTGGAAAACTTTACCAAGATGTCACCGGAGAAAGGTAGTAAGTACACTGATGGCAGTGTAACAAGGTCGTAAGTGACATTTAAATATGTGCAGTAGCAACTTCTTTCTGGCAAACTTCTTTCTGGCTTTCCCACAAAAGCCTGTGTACATTTCATTTTGCGATAGTAGTGTTTAAAATTGATCAACCCGCAGTAGACTTTAATCCTTGATTGGGCACATTAAAAAACACAATACAATTTATATGGAAAAAATAATCACTGGTCTGTACACACAGCACGACGTTTCGACAAGTATCCTCTTATCGTTGTCGTTTTGTGCTTGATAACAATAAGGGGATACTTGTCGAAACGTCGTGCTATATGTGTACAAAACAGTGATTGTTTTTTCGATATAAATTGTGTTGTGTTTTTTTTTCACAGTAGACTACACAAAGAACGGGGCTGTAGGGGGGCCTTTTTGCGATACTGCATGTAAGAGACGCTTTTAATACCCCACGTTCGCCGTTTCAATGGACTGTAGTACGGTATGCGTACACACTAGAGCGAATGGGAACTAGAGAGGGATAGAGAGAGGGTTGTGATGCAATGAGACGCCCCTTGAGAGAGAGAGAGAGAGAAGGAGTGATGGGTGGGTGGGGGGTCTGAGAGCGAGAAAGAGAGTAAGAGAGATCCACATTGTAACTTAAAGATAGGGCTATAGAGAGCTAGAGGGGGGGGGGGGGGTAGTTAAAGAGGTGGGCTAGGGACAGAGAACTAGCGGGAGTGAGGGCTAGAGAGAGCGAACTAGAGAGGACGAGGGCTAGATAGAGAGAGGACAAGAGCTAGAGAGCGAGCTTAAGAGTGGAGTAGAGAGAGAGAGAGAGGGGGTGGGGGCTGAGAGCGAGAAAGAGAGATCCACATTGTAACTTAGAGAGAGACAGGGCTATCGAGAGGGAGATGGGGGGGGGGGTAGCTAGAGAGGCGGGCTAGGGACAGAGAGCTAGCGGGAGCGAAGGCTAGAGAGAGCGAACTAGAGAGGACGAGGGCTATAGTGAGAGGACAAGAGCTAGAGAGCGAGCTTAAGAGTAGAGAGAGAGAGATGGGGATTAACGTCCACTTGGTTCAATTTTACTTCAATAATTCGCTTGCGCGTAGTGGTCTTTTATCAGTGGGGAAACCGGAGGACCCGGGGAAAACCCACGAGGTTGGACAGGCAATCATACTCCTTGTTACGTACAACCGGGGAATCGAAATTACGCCAGTTGTTTCAGTGACAGACCTTATGATACAGCGCGCACATGCTAACCGTTCGGCCATCCACCCCCCCCCCCCCCACCCACACACACACACACCCTGAGAAAGATAAGAAACAAGATGGAAAGAGCTAGAGAAAGAGAGAGATGGTGAGAGCTAGAGAGCGTAAGATAGAGAGAGACCTAGAGAGATAGCGACACGGAAAGTGAGAGCTACAGAATGGGCTAGTGAGGGAGGGACTTAAGAGAGTTATCGGTAAGGGGGGGAGGAGCTAGAGGGAGAGAGATAGCTAGAGGGCGAGTGGGGAGGTCAAAAAGCGCTAGAGAGTTGGCTGCCAAGGGATGAGACTTGTCCCTCGAGAAGAGAGAGAGAGAGAAGGGCGGGGGTGGGGCTACAGAGAACAAGCTAAGGGGGGGGGGGGGGGGGGTTAGGGAGTTAGCTCGCAAAAGAAAGATGTGAGGGAGAGCTTGACCTCGAGGGAGAACAAACTAGAGAGAAGGGCGAGAGCTAGAGAGTAAGCTTAGACTATTAGAGAGAGATAGAAAGAGAGAGAATCCACAAGATAAAGAACTAGAGAAAGAGCAAGAAAGATCGGGAGAGAGGGCGTGAGCTAGATAGAAAGCTAGAGCGCGTGAGATAGAGACCTAGGAAGATAGCGAGATAGAAGGCGAGGGCTAGAGATGGAGAGATGGGGCGGGGTCTAAAGAGAACTATCGATATGAGGAGAGCAATCTAGTGGGTGAGGGGCGGAGGGGGTGGGGGGGGTAGAGAGAGATAGTGATAAGCCTGCGATGTGATGATACTATCAATCTACTGTGAGAAGGATAAAAGAGATCGAGAGAGAGAATGAGCTAAAGGCTGAGGGTAGTAGGGAGGGAGCTAGCAAGGGTAGGGAGTAGCGATAGAGAAGGGAGAGCAGAGGGGGGGCACAGCAAGGGAGAGTGGGGACTAGAGCGAGATAACAAGTGGGCGAGATAGAGAGGTGAAGAGAGTGAGATAGAGAGAAGGTTGTACGATACCGTGAGGCTTGACAGGGAGGGTGCGCGCGAGAGCCAGATAAAGGTATCAAGATAGCGTGAGGGATAGAGGGAAGAGGGGCCTGGGGTTAGAGAGGGGTATAACATCCACTGAACACAAACTAGGCCATAATTTTACTTCAATAATTTGCTTGCGCGTAGGGATCTGTATCAATGATAGAAAGTCGGAGAAAACCCAACGAGATTGAGCAGGCTACCATACTGTTAACCATGCCACTTAACTCAATTACAGACCTTAAGATCCAAAGCGTACCCGTAAGACCAATATAACTTCCACCCCATGGCAAAATCACATAAGGTCGTAAACAGCAATAAGTATGTATCTTTGGTTATAGGTAGAGAGTAGAAAGTGGTCGTAAGTGACTTTTCCGAGTTACCACACCTGATAACTGAAAACTTTATATTGTATTTCTAGCTATTCCCAATCATAACATACTGTACAAAATATTAGAAAAAACAATAAATAAACAATTTTACAGGACCATTTTCAAACCTTTAAACTCGATTTTCTCGAAAAGTGAAAAATGTCACTTACGACCTTTTCCCTCTCAGGGGACGTAATGTGTTGTCAAGGCATAAGGTTGTTTTCGTTCCATCCTAACAACTAGAGAACTTTTCCTGGAAAAGCCCTTCGTCAAGGACAAGGTGAATACTCTAGACTGGAAATACCCACGGCACTTACTCAGCAAATACAAGATTTAACCTCTTGGTTAGTAAGCCAGCGTCATGCCACTAAATATTTTATAACCTAGACCGGTTTGAACCCGAGACCTACTGGTTTATAATTATTCTATAAACTATCCCTGATTCAGTTAATATTTATATAAACTAACCCTGATTCAGCTAATATTTCAGGCGCAACATAAGTTGGTGTTCCACAAACTGTATACATGACGTCATCAACAACTGTAGCCAGACCAAAATCACCCAGTTTTAAAGATTTACTGTCGTCACCATGGTCACACACCTAGAAAATATATTACCGTATAATTAGCATGCCCAAATTTGGTAAATAATTATTGAGAGAACTTACCATAAAACTGTAAGTCGGAAAATAATATTGGTCCATTAAAATGTTTGAGTTTGAGGAATCCTAGAATAATGTAGGCTAATCAAGTCAACATTACAGTTCATTTCAATTTAGTAAACAAAGTCATATTCATCTACAAAACGGGGTTTAACGTTCTACTTTCCCGCGTCAACGGGCTAAAGAAGAGGGGTCTACGCCATACAGTGAGCTACGAGGAAAAATGCCCGGACAGTTGCACCACGTACAGCCTACTCTTATATCGAATTCCAACTATCAAGGGTTCTTTTGCGTGCCAGCCCCAAACCACCCCTTCCTGCACCACTGACAGGGGTAAACCACGCAAGAAAACCCTGTCTTGACCACTGAGCCACCGCGGCTCCTTGATGAAAAAATAAAACATACCAGCAAATTCTCTGGTTTAATATCTCTGTGTACGATGTTGAGGGAGTGAAGATATTTAAGGGCACCCGCTAGGTTATATATCATACCACTAGCATCACGTTCTGTATATTTAGTTGATGTAGATATTGCATCAAACAAATCTCCTCCCTAGAAAAAATAAAACAATATTAGTGAGCAGAAATTCGGCCGTGTATCTGTTATCACTCGTCATCGCTTCAGTCAGTTATATAGAGCGCTGACTCGTGTTTTCCCTTGGCGTTCGTCACTTCCGATTCGGGAAACCTGTATTACTCAGCAATGATTTCTGTGTTAAAAGTATATTTGGAATGTGTTTAACCAGCTCTATCACATATGTGATAATGACTGGCACCAATATTGTCCTTAAAACATATTAATATGACTTTCATCATATTCAAATCTTAATCTTCGGACTAAGTCCTTTGAAAACAGTTTCACGTTGCTCTTTTGAGGGTAACTGCCCTGAATCAACGAGGTTCATATCATTAATCAGAAAGGGAGTAAATTGGCTCATAGAGCTTGGATACGGCTAACTCTGAATGTCAGTCGGATAGCTCCACATTCCCCGCGCCCCGCTTCGGTCGCCACAAATATTGACTGACTTGTGTTGATTTAAATTCATTGTATGAAGACATGAAATAGAGTGGGGTTTAACGTCCTATTTTTATGCGCCGACATACGTCATTCAGTGTGCTATGAGGGGACCGTTATCAGGTCCTGCACCAATGGATAAGGGAGACCATCTGTAATAAAACATACCTTTACTAATTCCATCACCATAAAGAGAGAATCTCTGGTATCAAATTCTTCAACCAGTAATATAATATTGGGATGTTTCACTTTACGTAAAATAGACACTTCATTCTCTATCATCTTCTCTTCCTGTATAAAATACAACCATAATCATGTGGAGATAACTTTTTGTGTTAAATAAAAGATGCGATTTAACATTATGCTTTTTTGAATAGACTGGGCTAATGGAGATAGGCCAACGCCATACTGTGTGCTATTATGGGAAATTTTGCCAGGACAACGGCAACACGGCCTACTGTTATTTCGAATTCGAACTGCCAAGGGTTATTTAGATAGATTATGGTTTCTAATAATCCCATAATTTTTGTTTATGTCTATTGAAATCCAAACCCATGGTTTCTAATTCAGTTTTCGTCATCAAGATGTAGGAGCACCTAGTAGTATACATTGGAATATAAAATAAATAATATAATATTGTTTAACTTACCTTTCCTTGACATCTTGTTTTATCAATAATTTTCAGTGCAAATCGTCGGTTGTTAAATCTGAAAATATACAAAATAAATAATACATCACACCATAGCTTAAGGGCGCTGGACTAAAATATTCTGGGTGAAAATCCCGGCAAGAATAATCCTCGTAGACGGACACATCACATCACAAGGAGTAGAAACAGCGACCCCAAATTAAGTGAACCTGTTTATTACTCACCGACACACCATGACTCTGACAACTGATGAACCAGGAATATCTGTCATTAGTAGTAAAAGATAGAACACCTCCAATACAAATTAAGGAGAAAGTGAATAAAATATTAAGATTATACGCTTTCCGCTGAGCTGATACTCACTCTGCGTCGTGGGGTTCGCTCGCCCAACACCGGGATAGAACCCGGGACCTCCCTATTAGCGAGCCAGTACTATAATTACCGGGAATATCTTTCAATAGGAGTAAAAGGCAGAATCCCCCAAGTTATGAAATTTAGGAGAAGATTGACTTATTATTACCTATCAATACATTCTTTAACTACAGCAAAATTTCCCTCTCCTATAACCACGCCCACTTCATATCTTTCTGTTAATTCATCCGGTAGTCTCGTTTTTCCTGTAATATTATAAAATAGGTTATAGGTTAAAGGCAAGAATGGGAATATTATAAAATAGGTTATAGGACACACGACAAGAATGGGAACACACTAAAGTGATCAAGCGCCAGAGCCTTCAAAGCACAGAAACGGTGCATTGAATTCAGAAAAGGTTTATACACGATTACTGTAGTGCGTTATTTCATTTCATCTATACACGATTAATTCACATTTCACAAACTATCAGTAATAGGAAGCTCTAGAATATTGATTTTACAACTACGAGTTCCTGTTTCAACCTAGACAAATTATAAACACGTTCTCAAATAGATTTTTATACAAAGCTAACAATCTACAGCTCGTGTTTTCCCCAAGAAACCATACTTTCATGTACACGAGTAGTTCACGTTTCAACAACTCAAAAAGTTGGTATTTGGGAAATGTCTGATATTGATTTCTGGCTTATGGTAATTATTCCTTTCTAAACGTTGGAACGGGAAATTGTATGAAATGAAATGGTGTTTAACGCCCTTCTGTTCTGCACCTACTGGGCTAAAGTTGGCGGGCATACGCCATACAGTGTGGTATGAGGGGCATTTTCCCAGAACAGTGGCAATACGGCCTACTCTTATTTCGAATTCCAGCTATCATGGCTTCTTTTACGTCCACGTCAATGTGTACACGAGACCTCGGTTTTCTCATCCGAACGACTACCATACGCTGTCCATTGCATTGCCAGAGCTTTCGTCCCACACCACTTTCTCGAACACGGGTCTTTCAGATTAGCGAGCCTACCTTTTACTCACTACAGAAGTTATGTAGTAGTTTTTATTTGGCGACCTTTATAAATGAGTGATCGGTACCCGATTAGTTCACAATTCAACGATTATTAAAACAATACATCGGTGAAAGAACACTGTCTATTATTGATTTTGCATCCAACCATTTCCCTTGTAGAACTTTAACCTTGTTATAGACATGTGAAGACACATAGCCAAATTCAATAATTTCTAAACAAAGTAGAAAATGGAATGAAATACGAGTTTAAGGATTCATTTTTCTGCACAAATGAGCGAATAAAGACAGGCACACCCCATGCAATGTGATGTGAGGGCCCTACTGTCTACTCTTATTTCGAATTCCAACTGCGGAGAGAGAGGGAATGTTGAAGAAAGACGTCTATTTCGGTACCAACATATTGTTCAATTACATTTCAATAATCTGTTTGCGCGTAAGGGGTGGGGGTGGGGGCGGAACCTCCGGAGAGAAACTCCGCGCTTAGTTTGAACAGACGCCCCTACGCCTTATGGAGTACAAGCGGGAAATTGAAACCACGTCCCTTGAATCAATGACAAGCCCCCCTCTGGGTAAACAGGTAGTAAAGATATAAAACTTACCAGCAGATCGTCTGGTTGTTTTAGGTGAATTAGGTAAACTACTACTACCATTACTGGTACCATTACGATACTTGGGCTGTAAAATAATACATTTAATTTAAACAACAGAGTAAATATTACTCTTGCTAATTATTTAACTAGTTAGGTAATAATCTGTGTTGTATCTACGTTGGTGACACACGTCATGGATTTTGGCCCCGTGATTTTTTTCTACCTAATAGGCTCAGTGTTGTCTATTTTTCAGGTGGGTTAGGGATGTTTTAACGCCCGCTTCCACATAAGTAATTTCGTCGACAATCACTTTGGTGCAAACCGACATTAAATTACGGTATTTCACACAAACACGACGATATTTCCATACGGAGAATCAATCTATGGTGAATTCTGGGTTACGATTAGTGTTACCCTCCCCTAACACTTGTGTGTCGAATTTTCGACCTCCCAAACCAACCTGAAAATAGACTTCTGAAATCCTGATAGAGGTCAAATAAGGTATTCTTGTTGCTCAACCCCTTTCAATTTCTGAATAAAATATTGTTTTAGAAAAAACAAAATCCTGACGCCAACCTATGCTTTAATTAGATATATAAATAGTGGTGGTTCTCATGCACGAGATAGTGTATGCTTAATCGTTCTAGAACATCGGATACCACTTCGTAGTTGAAATGACAATTTCTGAGATTCAAGATCTACTTACTGCAGACACAGTTCTGAGTTTTCTGGGAGATTTTGGCGACGATGTCCGAGATCTGTTGGGTGATTCTAAGCCAACTGAAAAAAAATATTTATATGTTATAGGCAAGTGAATCCCAAGTATTATCATATGAGAATATAAAGGGATGAATGTTTAGTTGGTTTTCTATGCTAAACTAGGTATGCTTACCTCTCGCCATTTTTTTTTTTAAACCATATTTTTATTCAGGTTGACTGAATGGGATTGGGGAACAGGCTTAGCCTATGTAAAACCCCTCTCCCTAAACATTAAACATCTATAATGCACTTCAATGAAACGTTAAATCAGTTATTACAGCCTGTTTGACATCTGAACATTATTTTGACTGTTAAAACGAGTAGTAAAATATAAAAGCTTCGTTGTTTTTTTAGACTAACATACGGCTATTTGGTTTTATATCGAAACGAGAAAGAGAGAAAAATGGGGTTTAACGGCCACTCGACACAAACTAGGGTTAGGGTACGTGATTGTTAACCCTAGCCCTTTTACATCTTGTGACCTTCACGAAATCTGCAGGTGGCCATAATAATTATACCTAACGTCCAATATACCCCTTCCCCCGTCATCATCTGCCGGCGGGATGATGTAGAAAAGTAAGACGTTAAACCCCGTCTCCTATTTTTGTTTCGTTTCCAATTTAGCCCAGGGTCCGACTTGAAGAATTATCAGTATATCACTTACCTTCGTGAAGACTTCTAGACGAGGAAGATTTACGTGGAGTTTTTGGTGATCGCAATGTAATTCTCTCCCTTGATTGGCTCAGATTGGCTTTATACCCGCTCACTAATCTTACTTCTACAAAATATGATATATACAAAATATTATATATTCACAATATTATACATACGAAATTTAAACAAAATATTATACATACATACACAATATTATATATACACAATATTCTGATTGGCTGAATTTCATCGGACAATAATAGCCAGCATATTGCGATCCTAAAGCAATTTCAATTGCCCATATTTTTTTTATGAAATTATGAGCAGAAGATGCATATCTATCTGTACCATATCTATCCCTGTCGGTCAATTTTTTTGCAATAGCTGGGGTGCTACTGACAAACAAGTCAGTAAGACCATTATTTTAGTCAAATTGGTAAATAACTGACAATATTGGTTTGTAGTGGCTTACAAATGAATGCAGTGAAAGTTTTAGTTTCTTAATACGATTTGCGTCGTTGTTTTAAGATTAAGACTCGGAGAAAATCATCCATTCTCGGGGAGAAATCATTTATTTTATCTGTAGGCTGAAATCCAATTTGAGCGTCAGATTGAATTAGTCATTATAGTTATTCGAGCTAACCGCCCGTTAGACATGTGGTTTAAAATCTCTCTGAATAATGACGAGAACCATCTCGTCCTCATCCTGAACAAAGCTGTGTCAATCACATGACCGATGCACGCGCAACTTCCACAAACATCTTACAACACCGTGCGCGCGAGGACGTGTTGTTAGGTCAGAACAATCTGACATTAGTAACCACTATTGATTTTTACCTAAGATTTCTAACTGAGATTTTCTTTCTTTTTTCTCTAAAGAGACCTTCAATCTGTAGTTCACTGATTCAGAGAAAATGAAATACCTTTTTTGATTGTCGTAGTATAATATTAATTTGAATTGTGAGCTCCTCTTTAAGGGTGGCGGTTACGTGTTGGGGAGGGGATGGGGTGGCGTGGTAAGTGGCCGAGTTGGGGGGGGGGGGGGGTGAGTGGCCGAGTCGCATAATGTGAGTGCGTTACATCATATTTTTTATCATTGGGTCGAACGGTATGGGTTTGATTATTATCGATAATCGATCTTTCTTTCACTAAAACCACGATCATATTAAAACCAACCTACTCACTCAGCCACTGTGGCTATATGGAAAACAATCGTATCATTGGTTTGTACGTTTCGACAATTTTCTTCTTCTCGCTTTCAAACAAGAATTGTAATTTGACGATATAAAAATTTTAATTTTATATGCTCATAACATTATTTAATTAAATTATCACAATGATCGAGTTAGATATTATAATGCATTTGAAGCTGATAACAATAACACTGCCATTAGATATGGAAGCTATCAATTTATTATATAAAAGTTTAATCACGAGAAGACAATACCACAGAGACTAATGTAGTAATGATATCATTATAAACTTGATGATGTAATCAAGATCATGAGCATGTGATCAGTTTATCTGACATACATCTAGTACCTTTGTGACATGCATTAAATACAGTGGTGCCAGCACAGTGGTGTCTCTTCTCTCATTTGTGACCGGAATCAGCCGTTTATGACCGCAACTTGACGAAGCCCGCCGGTAATTAAGGTGTTGTTCTAGATGGGTTATAACTTGTTTCTAGTGTAACAGGATGCCCCTGTCGGGAATTGAACACCGCGACCCCATGCACGGAATCCAGTAGTCAACACAGCGCAGCAGTCTAAGCGTTTCCAGATATACCACCACACAGCCCACATATTTACATCCCTACTACGTCAGCAAGAAGCCCCAACTTCTAAAGTCTAAGTGGAAGATGTGCATATAACAGTTTGTGTATGTGTGTGAATGAAATTACGTTGCCTGTGAGTGACCGAAGGGTACACATATAGACACAAGGACAATAGGATGTCCATCTTGTTTATTATGAAGCGTATAGCGACAAATTCCCATTGATGGAAATCAGCTGAAGAACTGTTTTGGACTATCCAAGAAGTTTGTTTCAACGTAACCCCGACTCAAAGCGATCACCAGGTTATGGCGACTGGGTGTTAAATGGACACAGCTCACCAAATATTCCTACGCCGTCCCTTTTCCCCGGCTATTTTTGTTGAAGAAAATGGTTTGAAAATACATTTTTTGTCAGGTTTTGGTGAATATTCGTGATTTTGAGGCGGAAAGATACCAGAGTTGAGAGCTTGGTTAGGTTGAAATGTAGGGCGGAAAATTGCAATTTTTGGGGGGTCTTTACTTCCAGTTTGTGTATTTCAAGTTTTCCATGGTGTACCTCATACGTGCTTTTGAGCAAGATGTTGCCACATGTTGCTCCATCTGTGGTAGAAAGCGTTGTTACCCAGCGAAAACTTGGGGAAAAGTTAGAGTCGGTCTAAGAGACGAGAATTAACATTGGGAAAATCATTAGTGATCTGTGGCCAAACGAGGCTTGGTGGATGCGGATCAGGGGTAATAACCCAGGCAGTAAAAATAATGAGCATGTAGTTAATCATTGTCTCATCTGTTCGCCATCTTGAAGACGTAATTACTAGTGAGAATTACCGGAAATTATAGAATTAACTCCGCATCATAAACATTCAAATTATTAGATGACGTCATCTTAGCTGCTCCGGGGATTTGAATCTGTCAAATCACTGCTTTTTCATGAAACAACGCGACTTTATACGGCCACAGCACACCATTATTAATTTCCCCATTGACTCTAATTTTAACTCTCGTCTCTTTGACTGGCTCTAATATTTTCCCAAATTTTCGTGGGGTTGGACAATTTCTACCACAGATGGGGAGTCATGTGGCAATCTCTTGCTCTAAAGCATGCACGGGGATTCACCATAAAATACTCGAGACACGCAAACTGGAAGTAGCATACAAATAAACATGCAACTGTCCGCCCTACATTTCGGTGTAACCAACCTCTAAACTCACCGAAACCTGACATATATTCAAACCCCTTTCTTCGATTCAACACCTAAATGTCAACAAAATTCGCAATGCAAGAGGCAGCAGGGTGGGGGGAGAGGGAGAGAGAGAGAGAGAGAGAGAGAGAGAGAGAGAGAGAAAATGAATTTTGCACTATAATGAATTAATGGGGCCAGCTGTGTCCATACGACCCAATAATTATAATGGTACAGTTTATCTTAACATGACCGGACCTCTTCGATTTAGGACAAAAATAAAAAAAAATCCATTTTATTGGATTCTAGACCTTGATTTGGTTTGTAGCATTTCCTAAATATAGAAGCACTGCGTGGCTGCCTGCGAGTTTCCTCAAGTTGCGGTGATGAACAATTGATTCCGGTCACAAATCAACTGTCCAAGAAGATATAATCTGTAAGTGGAATTTGATGATTGGGCAACACATTTTTTATGGGAAACAATTACTAGTTTATTCTAAAAGCACGACGTTTCGACAAGTATCACCTTATCGTTATCAGCCACAATTGTTTCTCAAAGAAAAGAAAAGAACGCAAGCGGCTATTAGACCCCGTGTTGTGTTATTGTATTACATGTCGGAAAGGCAAGGATACTTTTATTTTCCAGCGCCGAACAAATTTAAGGGAGGGATACATTTTATATGGTCTCCTTGCGTTCTACTACCGCGGTTTTGTTTCCGGAGCATAAACAGCAACCTTTTATTTTGGTTGGGATATCAAACGCATGGGATGCAGATGATTGGGTCTTCTTTTTCCTAAAGACACAATTTGCGTATTAATTCTATGATATTAGGCCTCGAATTATGACCGAATAACTAGCTAAAAAATAATGTTATACTAATAGCAATACAACTGCCTGGGGCCAGATCCTTAATTCAAAACAACGAAATATTCCATAAAAACACGTCCTCCAAATTCTCCAATTACAAAAATAATGAGATTACATCATCTTTGATAGAAGCGACCTCTAGGGAAGACAATGGCGACAGAAGGTACCCGAGACATGGAATCAGTTCAAGACGCCGGGGAGTTTCTAATTTTCTATCCCAATCAGGACATGTATTCCAATCAAGAACTATAATTTGGTATGCATAACACGTTCTGATAATTGAATTTGAAGTCTTGTGACATGGCTAGTTCGTGAGGCTTAACGTCCGCTTCTGTCTAGGGTTATATCGTAGACAAATGTTTCCTAGGAAACTTGCAGAAAGAGCCATTTCCATGATTAAAGGCGTAATCGTGCCTCTTGTTACGCCATTATCTTAAAAGGGAAGGAATCCTAAAGACGCATTATTATGTAATATATAGATAAAGAGCTGACAGTTCTCGCTATAATAGTCGAAAAATAAATGATGAAAAATGAATTTATATTTAGAATTTCATTCAAAGTACTTTATTTTAGGCGAAGTTATGGGTGTTGGAAGATGTAGCGTTGATTGTTTATTATCGTAGCAAGGACACTGGACAAACTAGGCTCGATTATCCATTTTATCGTTACATTTTTAAATCTTGTAGGTGTTTAAATCCAGGCCACTCGATGATCTAGAGAGTTTATTATAAACTTGTCATGTTAATAAATGTCTAAATGACGATTTATGTAAAATTTGAGGTCAATATAAAGACAAGCAATACGCAGAGTTAGTTCTTGCATAATAAATCTTAACTGACGCATGCCGAGATTTGTTTCAGAAAGTGAGCTTTGTGGCTATTTTCGTTTATTTGATTTTTGTGCGTTGATGTTTGTCAAGGAACTAAATGGGGTTTACTTTCTGCACCAGGTGGGCCTACGATGAAAATTTGCCCAGGCAGTGGCACTTTCGTCTATACTTCATCGAATTCCAACTGTCAGTGATTCTTTTACGTGCACGCCAACGAGCACACGGATGGAACTCGGTTGTGCGTCCCATCTGAACGAATAGACGCTTTTTGTTTTCCGGCCGTCCGCCCATATAGCTGGCAATGCACGGGGAACCAGTCCGAAATATTCTGATAAACTTATTCGGTTAACACTTGAATAGAACTTGCGCCATAATCTCCAAGCCATGAAGACAGTTATGCGAAACAAAATGCCATTGACTTTAATATGAGAGTGCCAAAGATGTAAAACGATAATAAAATGTGTCCGTAGAAT